CATCTGGATAACCAGGAAGTGATCTTCATTATTATGACTACCCTAATTGAAGTCAACAAGATTCAAATTCTACACTGGAAGGAAGTAAACAATGACTTGTTCTACACTCAGGTAAGTCTTAATCATGGCAATTATATTATTATATGGAAAGAAGTAAACAATGACGTGTCCTCCACTGGGGTAAGTCCTAATCATGACAAATATAGATGCTATAGGAGGGATCTGCCCTTGGTCTAGATTAAGCTCTGCTAGCTATGCATTTATTTTCCCTTATTGCCATAGATCCCATTACTTAGTGTTAATTGAAAGTGATTTAGTAATTTGTGTTGATGATATCTACAAAAGTATACTCAAAGTAAAAGCCTAAATTAATTATAAGATCTTACTCTTTCGACTCTTTATGGCTGATGATGCTGATCTAGAATATATATATAATATTTATAGGGTCGAAAATGACTCCTTCACAGTATTACAAGCTTTCGACAAAAATTTGGATAATATAAAAACTCACCTAGCTAGGGATGAGCGCAATTTCTCTTGGGCATCACGAGCTGTCTTGGTCTCATTCTCATCATACCGGTTACAGTTGTACCAGGAGGAGCCGAGCCAGACCCAACAGAACTTGTTCTTGCAGTTCTGATTCTTGCACACCATATGGTTGCAACCGCCGTCTTTCTCAATGGCCACACTGCACTTGGGACACTCTTTGATATTGGCCGCGATCCAGTTGGACGTTTCTGAGTCGTCGTCGCACTTCTTAATCCACTTCTTTAGCCAGCGGCATTTTACCGGGTCGGGATCGGATATAAGATCGCTTGGCCGCTAGTCCTCCTGCAGCATAAGCTGCTAGACGACTGGACATTGCGCAGTTTTCCGGCTCATTAGCAGTGCTCCACCTCAGAGTCCTCATCATCGTCGTCGTCCGCATCGGCCTCGTCGTCTGTGCTGAGCTGGCTGAAAACGAAAAAATGTAAGATAACAAGAGATCCATGAAAGCCTTAACCTGTACTCACAGCTTGTCCGGCGAAGCCTTCTGTGTGTTCTGCTTGTTAATCTTGCGCAGGCGCTTCAGCTCCGCCTTGAGGTCCTGCAGCTCCTGCTGGATCTTCTGGTCGACGGGCACATAGCCTCGACGCAACGGCCTGCCTTCCAAGTCCCGCTCGATGGCTGCCGGTGATAGGGTGACCGTGGTAATTCCCGTTGACGAGTTGCCGTTCTCCAGGACAGCCAACGCCGTGCGTGTGTTCAACTTGAGGGTGTTGCTGTTGGTGTCACCAGCTTGCCCTTGATAGAGGCACCACCGGAGGCAAACTGACGCTTCTGGGGCAGGCCGCTTAGCTGCGGAGTGGAAATGGTCCTGTTGTTGAGCTTCTGTTGCGGCGGCTCCGGTGTTGAGGCAGTTAGGGCCATTGTAACGCTGCTCCTGGCGGGTGACCACGGTCAGCTTGAGCGGCTGCTGCTCCTGGTGCTTGGCCTGGAGGTTATTGTTGCTCTGCTAGGAGGCCGAGATACCCCCAGTCATCCGAATGCTGGTCATCGAGGCTCTCCTCCTTGGCGCTGTTCAAGCTTGGATAGCTCATCAATGGTGACCAGGAACGAAGTGGTCTGCACTGCCGCCGGCCGGGCTGTGACCAGCAAGCCCTGGTCTTGATCCAGCTCATCCTAATCATGTGGCTGCTCCTGAGGCCATTCACCATAACCCAAAACGTAGGATGTCAAAGCTGCACGTGGTTGTCTGCCGATAGTCAATGCTGCAAATGGCGCCATTTTAGCTGATGGTCGCTGCTTCAGATGGCTGCAGGCAACCAGCTGAAAGTCAAAGCGGTCACACTTTGATATAAAAGTAGCGAAACATGGGTTGGCCACACTGCAAAAAGCTTGTTATAATGGATTTGGTACCTTTTTTAAAAGTAGTGATGGCCGCCTCAATAACCGTCCCGTTCTCGGCATTCTTCTTGATCAGGCTTTCACACTGGGCAGTGAGGCCCCGCGATGAGGGCGCCTCTTCGGGCATCAGATCACAGGTCTGGGCCAGCGACATGGCCGGACGCATCTCAATAATGCTGCATTCAGGCTGCGATTGCCAGCAGGCTTGTGTACGTTTTCCGGCTCGTTGCTGTTGATATAAGAATGAAAATTAAATGAGGGTCAAACTTCTTTAAGTAGGTTATCTAACACTTGCCCATTTCTATCCAACTGCTGGGTGGACTGGGCATTGTGCAGTTTTCCGGGTCCATAGCAGTGCTTCACCTCAGAGTCCTCATCGTCATCTGGATCGGTCTCGTCGTCTGTGCTGAGTTGGCTGGAGACGAAAAACGTGAGATGATAAGAGGACGATTCTTGAAAGCCTTAACCTGTACTCACAGCTTGTCCGGCGAAGCCTTCTGTGTGTTCTGCTTGTTAATCTTGCGCAGGCGCTTCAGCTCCGTCTTGAGGTCCTGCAGCTCCTGCTGGATCTTCTGCTCGACGGGCACATAGCCTTGACGCAACGGCCTGCCTTCCAAGTCCCGCTCGATGGCAGTCGGTTATAGGGTAACCGTGGTAATACCCGTTGCCGAGTTGCCGTTCTCCAGGACGGCAAACGCCGTGCGTGTGTTCAGCTTGAGGGTGTTGCTGTTGGTGTCACCAGCTTGCCATGAGAGGCAATAAGCCGCTGCATCACGCCCTTGGTAGAGGCACCACCGGAGGCAAACTGACGCTTCTGGGGCAGGCCGCTTAGCTGCGGAGTGAAAATGGTCCTGGTGATGAGCTGCTGCTGCGGCGGCTCCGGTGTTGAGGCAGTTAACGCTGCTCCTAGCGGGTCATCCGAATGCTGGTCATCGAGGCCCTCCTCCTTGGCGCTGTTCACGCTTGGATAGCTCATCAATGGTGACCAGGAGCGAAGTGGTCTGCACTGCCGCCGGCTGGGCTGTGACCAGCACGCCCTGGTCTTCACCAAGCTCATCCAGATCCTGTGGCTGTGCTGAGTTGCCTGTAGACGAAAACCGTAAGATGATAAGAGGACGATTCTTAAAAGCCTTGACCTATACTCACAGCTTGTCCAGCGAAGCCTTCAGTGTGCTCTGTTTGTTAATCTTGCGCAGGCGCTTCAGCTCCGTCTTGACGTCCTGCAGCTCCTGCTTGATCTTCTGCTCGGCGGGCACATAGCCTCGACGCAACGGCCTGCCTTCTAAGTCCCGATCGATGGCTGCCGGTGATAGGGTGACCGTTGTAATGCCCGCTGGCCAGTTGCCGTTCTCCAGGACAGCCAACGCCGTGCGTGTGTTCAACTTGAGGGTGTTGCTGTTGGTGTCACCAGCTTGCCATGAGAGGCAATAAGCCGCTGCATCACGCCCTTGGTAGAGGCACCACAGGAGGCAAACTGACGCTTCTGGGGCAGGCCGCTTAGCTGCGGAGTGAAAATGGTCCTGGTGATGAGCTGCTGCTGCGGCGGCTCCGGTGTTGAGGCAGTTAACGCTGCTCCTAGCGGGTCATCCGAATGCTGGTCATCGAGGCCCTCCTCCTTGGCGCTGTTCACGCTTGGATAGCTCATCAATGGAGACCAGGAGCGAAATGGTCTGCACTGCCGCCGGCCGGGCTGTGACCAGCACGCCTGGTCTTGACCCAGCTTATCCTGATCCTGTGGCTGCTCCTGAGTCCATTCACCATAACCCAAAACGTAGTATGTCAAAGCTGCACATGGTTGTCTGCCGATAGTCAATGCTGCAAATGGCGCCATTTTAGCTGATGGTCGCTGCTTCAGATGGCTGCAGGCAACCAGCGGAATGTCAAAGCGGTCTTACTTCGGTATATAAGTAGTGAAAAATGAGTTGGTCACACTGCAAAAAGTTTCCTTAATATAAGGTTGGCAAGCTAGCTACTTTATAGCTAGATTTATGTTCTGAGCTTTAAGCTCCAAGCTCTGCTACAATATAGCTAAAAGGACAACTCTAATTTGCTGCTCTTGCACTAAAATTAATCAGCTTTCTGCGGTTTCTGTTCGCCTGGTACTTCAGGCCCAGAAATTGTGCTGAAACCGACCAAATTGAATGCTCGTTTTTGCAGGCAACAACAACAACATACAGGTATTTTTTGCAACAACAAATGTAGGCAACTACTAAAAATGCGTGTTTGTTTAGTTTTGGGTTTTCTTTATTTAATTAAATCATGTTTCTCATATCGTTATCGTATATTTATGTAAAATATAGATTAATTTGTTGATAAGCAGCTTTCGCTTTGTGTGCAGGAGAGGATTAGGAATAGGGTATCGGGCATCGGGCATCGGGCTTTGGATTGGTATCAAGTGTGGACAATACAACAATAATTTGGCATTCTCCTTGATCAGGCTTTCCCACGGGGCAATAAGGCCTCGCGGAGCGGGAGCCTCATCGGGCGTCAGATCACAGAGCTGGGCCAGCGACATGGCCGGATGCATCCCATTATTGCTGCCATTGCTGGCTCCATTGGCTATGTAGGCGGCTGCATTCAGGCTGCGATTGCCAGCGGGCTTGTGTACGTTCACCGGTTCGTTGCTGTTGATAAAGATTGAAAATTCAATGAAAATCAAACTTCTTTAAGTAGGTTATCTAACACTTGCCCATTTCTATCCAACTGCTGGGTGGACTGGGCATTGTGCAGTTTTCCGGGTCCATAGCAGTGCTGCACCTCAGATTCCTCATCGTCATCGTCATCCGCATCGGCCTCGTCGTCTGTGCTGAGTTGTCTGGAGACGAAAAACGTATGATAAGAGGACGATTCTTGAAAGCCTTGACCTGTACTCACAGCTTGTCCGGCGAAGCCTTCAGTGTGTTCTGCTTGTTAATCTTGCGCAGGCGCTTCAGCTCCGTCTCGCGTCAAGCTCCGTCTTGAGGTCCTGCAGCTCCTGCTGGATCTTCTGGTCGACGGGCACATAGCCCCGACGCAACGGCCTGCCTTCCAAGTCCCGTCGATGGCTGCCGGTGATAGGGTGACCGTGGTAATTCCCGTTGACGAGTTGCCGTTCTCCAGGACAGCCAACGCCGTGCGTGTGTTCAACTTGAGGGTGTTGCTGTTGGTGTCACCAGCTTGCCCTTGATAGAGGCACCACCGGAGGCAAACTGACGCTTCTGGGGCTGGCCGCTTAGCTGCGGAGTGGAAATGGTCCTGGTAATGAGCTTCTTCCAACAGTGCACGCTCCTTCGTCGAGGGCAGACCATGTCGAGTGTCAGCTGCTCCTTGTTGTCCATGGCCCTAGAGGAGAAGAGATTAGTATTTGGAACCACGAGGTGACTAAAGCAACTCCCACTTTGATATCTCCATGTCACTCATTTTCAGCTTGCTGAGCAGGATGGTGCAGTTCTGAGCCCGGCGTCCATCGATCACTGAGAGCACCTTTTGCTTTGCTGGTTTGCCGTTAGTTGCTCGCAGATCCTTATGTGAGCTATCGCCATTCTTTTGTTAAGCCGAAGAGCTGGTCTAACGACTCCAACTCCATGTTGTCTTACAGCTTGCTTTCGTCAAGCTCGCTCCAGACGGTGCCCTGGAGCTTGGCATCCGGCGGTTTGGACCAGTTAAAGCTCTTTAATGGATTCGTGGGCTGTGGCACGCTGTCTTTGGCAGCTTCACCTTGGGGTGCAAAGGAGCTGCAGGCAAAGGATCGGAATTAATATAAGTGACACTCCTTGGCTTGGCTTAACTCTGAACTTACCCATTGCTGGGGCCATGCACGGTGGCAGAGGCGCTGCACCCGGAAAGGGCGGCGATGTTGGTGACATCATGGCCGGCGCCATCGGTGGCGGTGGCGGCGGTATGGCCTTGTGCATGGCCGACGGCGGGCGCGACACAGCTCCACTGCAGCCAGTCAGACCGGGCACCTTCCGGTCCTCGGGTATGCTGCACTCAGTGACCAGACGCTCGAGACGGGCCCGCTCCTGCTGCTCACTAAGCAAGCGATCCTACAGATCTACAAAAAGATGTGAAAAATGACTGTCGTTTTTCGATAATAGTAGTGAAAAATTAGCTGGTCACACTACAAAAAAGTTGTGAAAAAGGACAGTCATTTTTTCGATATTAAAGTAGTGAACATAAGCTGGTCACATTACAAAAAGCTTGTGATAATGGATATGATCACACTTTTTTAAATGGCTGCATGTCATCAGCAGATCGTCGCTTCTGCGCATGGCTCTATGTCAGCTGGCTGCTAGCAGACAAATATCAATTCAAATGTAAATGACTGTCGGGGAATGGAAAACGGAAACGGACAAGGAAATGGATAGGGGAACGGGGACCGTGGCAAGTGGCGAATGAAAAGTGAGTCGGCCAACAAGAGTTACCCTATAAAAGACGCAATGCTCCAACAAATGACAACAATTGAACAGCGGAACTGTTGACACCCCGCCCAGGAGCCAGGAGCAGTAGATACGCGGCTCCTTTAGTCCAGGCCGACCCAGTGGACGAGTTCCCTTTTTTAATTCTGCAAAATCCCGAATGCCCCCGCCTGAAATGGGTAAATCGACACGACTTTTTCTCATGCTGATCTTTCACTGCGTCACAAGCTCTTGACTAAAGCTATGAGCCTGCAAGGGTATAAAAAGGGTTAACTCATCCAACCTAACCCTCCAAATCCGACCCAGGTAAATTGAAACGAAAATAAACCGGTGAAACAATCGGCAAAAACGTGTTTATATCGACACGCAAACAAAGCAGAAAAAATAAATATACAAAATATTCATGGTCAGTTGGTCGATGGCAAGGGGGAGGGTGTATTGGGTATTTCTAGCACATATATTACGTATACGCAAAAGAAGAGGGTAAGAAAATAAAACGAAACCATTAAGTCGCAAAGCCTATTAGACGACGACTAATTGACTTAGCAGCCGAAAGCATTCTATCATCCAAATATCTAAATACATAACAGACAAGAATTCGATAAGCCCGTTCTATAGCCATAATCTTTTAGCAATAAACGGGTTAGTTTCTTTTCAAAAATGAGATAGAAAGGGCTCCCTCTCTATAGGTTAATAGAAAAAAATAGTAAATAAACTCATTGTATATTTAAAATAGATTTGCTAATCCCTATAAACCTATTTTTATATACTTATGATACTTGTGCTATAACTGAATTATTTTACAATATAAAATATCCTCATAAAGTTTTGGTTTGATAAACAATGACGCCACTATTTGCTTATTATTAATTATTATTTAATATTTGACCTATAAATCTTACCTTGATATCGGTTAATCCGACAGTTAAGGACATGAACGATTTTTCTTTTATATTTAAATGTTAATCAATAAGTACCCTTAAGTTTTTAATAAGATTTAAGACTTATAAATATTATAATATAAATTAATATTTTATAAATAAATAAATATATTTATAAATGGTTACCATAATAACGATAAAAGAAATGTCTAGGAAGACGAAGTTTATACAACCTTACAATTTGCAATTTAATCAGAAAGCCGAATTTTAAATTTTTCAAAATGCATTAATTTTAAATCGGAAAGCTGTGCTATTTTAATTTTTATTAGGTTTATAAATCTGAATACTCAATTTTAAATTGAAAAAAAACATTTTTTCAATTTTTGAAAATTTTAACGATGTAACCCCTTATCTTTTTTTGAAAAATGGTAAAAAATTTCGAAAAAAAAATGTTTAACCCAGACATTGCTAGATCGACTCGGGTGTTGATGCTGATCAAGAATATATATGATTTATAGGGTCGGGTATGACACCTTCACTGAATTTCAAAGTTCTGACTATATATAGGGTATTACCTGCAAGGAGTATTAAAAATTCTATAAAGCATATTTTTCAGGAATCAACAGAAATATCTAGATCGGGTCTAACTAAGAAAATGCCTTGAATTTTACTGAAATTCACTTGTAAGTACCAGAAATTAGATTTGTATAAATACCACTGTACAACTGTATTACAAATTAGAGTTAAATCGATTCGGCTGTTGATGTATTTAGCAAAACTGACTAAAAATCAGCATAGACGGATCTCTGAACGCTCAATCATAATTAAATATGATCCCAACTTGATTTGTTTGCATCTGCGTTTCTGACGTGAGTCGCGAGGTATTCTTGGTTGTTAATGGGTTAAAAAAATAAACGCTGTAATCGATATAGCCACCTCTGCTACCGCTGCTGCTGCGGCTGACGTTAACAGCGACGTCTCAGTGGCAGCAGCGTTGCCGTTGCCACCGTCAAAACAAAACAAATCAGTTTGAATTGTGCCTTCAAGCGCTCTAGAACAAATCAGCTGGTCTCTAAAAAACACGCATTTATTGTTGATTACACCCTATCGTATCATCATCCGCGACTCTGTCTTCTTTGTTCTTTTTTTGTTTGTTTTCTTGTTTTTTAACGTTTTTTTGCAACGATTGCAAAAGAGCTTTTCATAGCTTTCCCCCAGCGATAAGAAAGTATCGGTGCCCGCACAGCTCTTAAATTTAATTTTAAAAAGTAGCTTAAATTAAAAATCAGGACAATGTCCTCTGGAAAGATTCTGCCACGTCGCCAGGCTGTGCCTGTCCTGTACACCAGGGGCACCCACTATGAGGTGGGCTTCGACATGGTAAGTACAAATGACCCGTCCTCCTCCAATGGACTCTCTTTCACATGTTAAGAATTGGTCACGATACCTCAATTTCGAATGGATTTTAAGTTAGTTCTGTAACTTTCATTGCTTCACATTTATTTTTAGAGGAACTTGGGGGAACTTTCAGTTACACAATACAAACAGAAGCTGGCGGGGGGATTGATTGTAAATTACAATATTATACATAGTAAACTCTATAGACTAGTTTATTTTTACAAGCCAAGCCCAGATAATAAATATATATTCCATTGACTCAAAGTTTCAAGTGATTGACTTTTAATTACTTAAAAATATATATTTACCTATCGGGAGTATAGTGTATTCCTATCATCAGGTAGTTTTTGAAGTAGGTCAAGTTAGTAAAACATTTCTTTTCCAAGAACTACATTCAAATGGGGGTATATAGGACACCTATCTTGGCCTTAAATTGATAACCACAAAAATTGCACGCTAATTTTTTATCTGGCCTGTGGTCTCTATAAATAAACCCCAGATGGGCTTATCTATATGGCTTTATAAAAGTGAGTTTGTGTATAAATATATAATCCCCACAGCCCTCGATTTGTTTGACCTGTCCCGGACCCAGACGCCGCTAAGTAATGCAGATGCAGATTCGTGATTCTCGTGGCTTTGTCTAGCTCTATTTTTTTATTGCCAATTGCGACTAGAAAGATTTATGCACTTGCAGAAAACTTTAGATTGAAAATATATATATTTAACAAATATTTATGTCACTTTCTAAAACTATATTAGATCAAGTTTAAGTATCTAATCTATATATTTAGTACTCCTTGGATTGCAAAGGATTTTACTTGTCTTAAACAATTAGTTTCACTAAGCTATCCTATATCTATTTATCTTAAGCTCAAATCTTTCAAAATGGTCTATCAAAATGGTTTTATCCTTCATATATGATTGAAGTCTTTTTGTAAGAGAATATATATTTAGTTTCTCAGGATCATTGATCCCCAAAATTGACACAAAGAAAGTGTTTCAACCTTTTTACTGAACCTTATAAAAACGCTTTTTATGAAAATGGATATGATAATTGCTATTGTGAATATTATACCTTAATAGGGTTTCTTTTTGTATTGTTTGCCAAAATTGTATTATTCCTATACGGATTATGGTGAATTATGGATCTCTATATAGGCTGTTGCCCGCTATATTGTCCGTATCCGTATGCGTATCCGTGTACCTGTGGCCAGCCCAATCATTAAGCTAAATTCAAATGGAATTTGTTTTACAACAATGACAGTATTCAATATATTGTTTAATTATTCATATTTTCTGTGCCTTAGTTGGTGGCTTTGTTTACACTGTGATCAGTCGTGATCGATTATGTTTCTGTTTTTGATTTCATTGTGTTAACTCTTTTTATATATTTTTTTCCATTAAACAAACACCTCGAGCGCAGATCGTGTGTTGGGATTGGAAAGCATTTAATCATTTAAATAAAATAAGTAAATGTTAATTGCTTAATTGGTAAATTGTTAATTGTTATTTGCAGGGTCGCACATTCGGTTCGATGATTAAGAATTTTCTGATCTTATCGAAGCCCCTCAACGAGACCTACTTACCTCTGTACCAGTCTCCAAAAGGCAGTAAGTATCACTGGAGATGATGGAGAGAGTTCTGAAGATGATGATTTATATTCGTGTTTTTGTTGTACGTTTTCAGGGCAAATCTATAACGAAACCCTGGGATCGGTGAAGGACAGCTTTCCGCAATATATTCGGGAACTGGAGGGCGTGGCCGATGGTGCGGAGGTGGAATTCCATAAGGTGAGTTCGCCGTGTGCCTAATTAGCGTGCAACTGTAAACACTTTGGCTAATAACTAAGTGGCTCAAACTGGGCATAATTAAACGGCCATTAAAATAAATATACAATATATTGGTCCGTTGTTGACTTAAATATTGTAATTTAACGCTAATAATCGACCAACAAGGTCCGTCGTGGGAGTGGGTTTATATATAGTATAGGAGCCCCCAAAAGCACGAGTTGCAACTTGCCGCCTCGTGTTGCGTGTCAGCAGTTGCTAGTTGCCCAGTTGTCCAATACCAATGACAACATTAAATGCAATTTGTGAGTGCACTGCACCGTGTACAGTGGTTATTGTCCAAGATGGCCAAGCTTAAGACAAACTTAGATTGAAACAAGAAAAATATATAGAGTTAACCTATACTTTTTTAATATTACTTTTATTTTAATATATTGTTCATATACTTCCATTTAAAGAACCCTCACTGTATTATGCTTTATATAATACGGTCGAACGATATCGATTGAGTGTGATCTAATCGCGGGGCAGTGCAATTAGATGGGTCACTTAATTTATTTTTGTAATTAATACACCGTAATTGCTCTTGCACAACCAAATTTATGCGAACAATACTGCTAATTGGGCAGTGGCCAAGAGTTGCCCTTATCCAGTGCTCACTGTGCTGACCGTGCAGAGCGCAGCAGACATTGAACTAGTTCCGTTTTTGCCGGCATCACGTCGCTGCCCCCTCTGCAGGCGCCTCTAAAATGAAGTGAAAGACAGCCAGTCGGTTTTGGCCAGGTGATTGTCTTTTCATACCCTCATTTAAGGGGTAGCATTACTGCCACTATTTGTTAATATATCATGTATATGATACCATTAGCTTTGAGCTTTACAAAATAACTTCTCTTGTTAAAATGATTATTATTAAACGTACGTTTTTCTTTGACCCAAATTCAAGTCAATAATTCCTATCTTGCTCAAAATAGTGAGTGATCTTGCGACTCTAAAATAAGTGGATAGACTACATATTTAACCCGCCTATTAGAAAAAGTTTCCCTATACTTCGTTTCTAGATTAATTTCTCCAAAGCCCTATATCTTTGCTATTAACCCATTAAAAAAGGGTATCTAAAGCTCTTAATGCCGGAATTCAGAAAAAAGAATCTTTATAACTCACTAAGCCAATTTGTCATTGTCATACATAGTATTTATTCATGCAAATATAGTGCTGTCAATGGCCGCGAGAAGAGGGAAGCCGCCAAAAGACAGTGACGACAAAACCCTTGCTTGGCTTCTTTGGATTTGGGTGTCGATTCTTGATTCTTTCACTTCAAAATTCGAATATCGATTCCAATGGGAATCGGATTAAGTATGCTGCGCATGAAGCCATCAATTAGACAGGCTCATTAGCATGGCTAAGTAGCGCGACTCCGCCTTGGGAGATGGAATCACTGGCTACACCTGCCACCTGATAATGTGTTATAATTTCTGCGCTCTCTCGGCCCCGCCTCCAATTAATTGCACGCAAAAATCGCACCGACCTTGGCCGGATCTGAAATCCAACGGCCACCGCCGGTCTATGGATCTGGGTATCTGGCTATATATGAGTATTCTTGAGTGCGGTGCGTCGCCATCGCATCGCCTCCGTCTTGGTTGGATTAATCATTAATGTGCTTCAGGTGGCACCCAATCGGTGGATATTTATAATTCAAATTAGCCGCATTATGAGTGCATTAGTTCTGTCGGATTTATGGGTCATCTTAATATCATACTTTAGTTACAATTTAGCAGTAAATGGCTTTAGTCATTATTATCATACAATGACTACAATTTTATTTAGAATGCAGCTGGCTGTTAAAAATCATAAAATTAAACATTATTTACTGGATTTGATTTGTGATTGACATACTACGTAATTAATTAATTAACTAATTACCCTTGCTAGGTAAGAAGTTAGCATAATTAATGAGCTCTTTGGTTCGATTTTTAGATTTAGTATTTACGTGAAAACAAACTTTTTATATTGAATTTTTTGTTGTAAAACTATTGTTGTTGCGCCCAGAAGGCAGCACAGGGAAAGTTTACTGTGAATATATTATTTTCACTGAATGCCATTATTATTATTTTTACCCATCGCACAGATCAGCTCATCTTTTCCAGTTTTCGTTCGCCTGTTACACGAAATATAGAAACGTACAATTTGTTCCCTCGATATTATAGAAATTCATAAGAAAATATTTTATTTCGCTGTTTTTGCAAGAAAAATATTTTCCCAATTTGGGAGAATCATTTGTTCTTTATTATTTTTCAGTTCAAATCCATTGGAGCGCCACCTGTCGGCAATTAACTGAATCATATTCAGGTTTTAAACCGGCGAAGCAGTGTAAAGCAGTTTTTTCGAACTCAAGATCAACCTCTTGTTCGAAAAGGCTATTCACTGCTTGTTTTAGTTCGAAAAACTGCTTGTACTGCTTTATAGGTTTAAGACCTGAGTATACTTAAGAATATTATCGGCAGGTGGCGCTAGATTTTTGTTTTAATACTGCTTTGTAGGTTTAAAACCTGAGCATACTTAAGAATATTATCGACAGGTGGCGCTAGATTTTTTTTTAAAACCTGGGTATACTTCAGCAAATTATCGACAGGTGGCGTTGAATTTTTGACCAACAAAAAAAATATATGTAAAGTGAATTCTCTTCCTAATTTTGACAAGATTCTTTTGGATTCTTGTACATATTATAATAATATAATAATAACAATGATAACGTAACAATATTATCAGTTCTTCCTTTTATTTTATATATTTTTAGTTATTTCTATTGCATCTGGATGAAATTCTACCGCAAGCTTTAAAACATCAGCCGCGTAGCAAGAACCAACCAACCGGCTGCTCCACAATCATTGTCAACCACAAAAACTGCGTGAGTATACTAACAATATATATATATATATATATATATATATATAATATTAATAAATCAAATCTGCTCTAAATAATAATAATTTTTGTTCTTAATTTTCTTTCAGCGCCTGCTGGGACACACCGAAGATGCTCTGACAGAGACCCTTAATCATTACTATTTTGTGGATGCTCACATCATCAGCGACAAGCCGCAGGGCAAGTACAACGTGAAGGAAGAGCATTTTATGTCCCTGTGCTATGCTGGTCACTTGCCTGGCTACACCATGAATCAGAATCATCACGGACTGGTCTTTAGCATCAACACTATCAGTGCAGAGCTCTTGCGAAGCGGAAAGACACGTAAGTTTACTCTTAATAAGCATTGCTGGTCAATATTTAACAAAAACTTAAGTTTGTATTGTGAAAAAATGTTTATAGTTAATATCCTTTTGATTTACAATTTTTCACAGCTCGTCACTTCATTACCAGAGCCCTTTTGGCCACAAGCAATGTGGACGATGCCTTCAGGGTGCTAAAGGATGCAGGCGTTGGAGCTGCAGATGCCTGCTCCATCAACTTTACCTTCCTGGCGTGCGTTTAATGGACATTTAGTTAATACAAGTATAATTTATATCTAATTGAATTTAACCCACAGAGATCCCCGACAAATGTGTTATAATGTGGAGATGGCTCCCTCGCCCGAGCGTAAAAATGAATCGCATTTGAGCATCAAGGAGATCCCCATTGGGGAGCATAACTACCATGTTAACCAGTGAGTAGATAGTGTTCCTTTTTTGGAACTTATATTCAATATATCCCTGCAGATTCGATCGCATCCGTCAGGACCAGGCTAATGATCTAATGATCGACTCGAGCGTCTCACGAATGACAACCTTTGGTTGCTATAAGCCGCCAGTGAGTGAGCAGGATGTCCGCCACATGCTGGGGATGTTTCCGGCGGGGTCTATTGTGTCTGGCGAGACGATGGCAGCTGCGACGAGGTCGTGAAGACCATAGCCGTGGGCATCTTTGATCTCAGTGCCAGGACCATGTCATTATACTCGGACAATCCCAGCGAGACAGAGCCCCATTGCCGCCTGCCGCTCCTCTTCAAGTAGATTCCCTGCATTTACTTAACTGAAGTGACTCTTAAACAAAATTGTTTCGAAATGGAGATAGTAGATACTATAACCGGAACCATTCCCTTTCCAGAGTGAATGTAAAGTCAAAGGAATAGAAACATCTGAATTTAATAGCAATTTTAGAACTTAAGCAAGGTCCCTGGTTTCGAGGTTATTTTATGAACAGTATTTATAAAGAAATATTATCTCTATATTTCAAATCATATTTTATTATAATTAAGCGTTATTTCATTGTATTTTCCTTACTATTCATGGCTATCAGATCATTCCAAAGTGTTTTCGATTTTGCCAAGTTGAAATAAATATATGAATTACTAATGTACTTGTGAAGTTTGAAGCTTAAGGTTTCTTGTTTTTTTTTTGTTGAGATAAATTAAATTTTTTTGTTTAATTTGGATATCAAGTAAAAGGTTTACTCCCATATTCGGTGATCTGATTGAGATATATTATATATTTTATTTGAATAAATACATTTTTGTATGCAAATTGGACTTTAAATTATTTGAAGCGTAGTTGGGGAGCCCGAAATGAAAAGGTAAACGCAAATTGAAAACAACAACAAAATTTGGTCCTTTTAATAGTCCTACATTTCATATATACATCTTTATATTTTTAATACGCTTCAATGATTTTACTTCTTAATGGTTTCTGTCATTCCGTTCTTATTTGCCGTTCTGGGGGGGAGGATGGTTCTGATTACGGATCTTCTACGTTGGTGGTGGTGCTGGTGGTGTTGAAGATGCCCAGCATCCTCCTATCTTGGCTTGGGAATCGGAAATGTATATAAACTATTAACAGGTTTTGAGCTCTAGCTGCAATTAGAGCTTCTTTAACTTGCTGGGTATGATTTGGGGATTGTCTCGACGGATTTCGCTGGCGCCCAGCTCACGGTAGTCAAAGCTGCACTCGTGGCGGTCGCTGTACCGGTGGACGGCGCAGTAGACGCCGCCGCAGCGGCAGGGGAAACCCCCGGTCAGGCCCAACTTCTTGTTGCATTTGGCGCAACGATTGGTATTCGTTGGCGTTGATGTTGCCTCCACCTCCTCCTGAGGCGCATCGGCACCTCCAATCGCCCTATGCATTGAGCTTAGTTGGGCCCGCACCTGATTGTGTTGCTCCTCCTGCTGCTGCTGCTGTTGCTGCTGCTGCTGCTGCGGCTTCTGTTGCTGCTGCTCCACCTCCTCCTTCTTCTGCTCCTCACCCTCATTCTGCTCCTTTTTGATGATCTGGAGGGCAGAGGACTTGGACCCGGTACCCAGCGACTGGCCACTCAGGGCGAAGGTGCACGAGGAACTGGACGTCGTGGTCTTGCTGCCATCGCTACTCTTTGAGGTGGCTTCAAGTGAGTCCTCCTCCGACGGAGCCAAGTCGCGTACCTCTCGATTTCTCATGCTATCTTCTTTCCTGAATTTTTCATCAAATCCCTCCGTGTGGTTTGTTCTATTTTCGAATTTAGCAGCTAAGACCTACTATGCTCATGTTTTTTGTGCTTAGCAAAAGTTTTACTGAGCATCATTGTTATTTGTAGTATTTTGGGGTCCCTTATTTTAGGATAAACCAAACGGAAATCTACTAAAAATACTGACAAGTGCTAAGCCAATTTTGAAACACAATAATTTCTCAATTTTTGTTAACAATAACACATTGGAATTAGGATAATTATAAGTCGTATATAGGCATGTTCTTGACTCTTTTAGTTTCTGACAGATGCCGGCCATCAGGGGAATGCCAAACTTCATTCACCTCAATGCCAATTACCCCGGGCATGGACATTTTCAAAGCCCCCAAAACATATATTTCTGTTCGGTTTTTGGGAATTTCGCATTTGATTTTAATACACTTAAACGCAATCAATTTTATTGCTCTCGTTGCGGTCGCCTGTCGAATCGAATTCAATTTGATTTGCTTTTGAACGTCCGAGATGCCTTCTTCTGGGGGATGCGGATGCGGACCTGGTTCGCATTTGCTTTGGTCATGGATTCTGCCTTCTGCGCCATTGGCAAGGTACCTCCTCCACTCCATTCCCCAATCATCACCTGGGGGAAATCCGATGGGATCAATACGAGAGCAAAGGAAAACTTGTTTACAAGTCGAATGCGAGCGAGGAATGCCACGAGATGCTAATGCCTGGTGCTGCTGCTGCTGCTGTTCCTATTGCTATTGCTGCCATATGCACACGGAGCACGGATGATCCAGATAACATCTAGCATTTATCGATTGCTTCGCAACTCATCTGCTAACATAAACCAGATGACGAACGATTGCCATCTATGAGCCAATCTGGTCTGGGATAAATATTATCCAACAGGATCAGAAGGTCGAGAAACACATATAGAAATACTATCGAAAAAGTTTCCTATATCTCTGCGTGTCTCCTATATCTCTCTCTTTTATTTTAACTCATTTGTTATTTAGTTTTGATAATTAACAAGAATGAGTTGTCAACTATTTCTGGGTCAGTTTTACAATACACTTGTAACTTTCTCAGATGATATTTTTACATAAGCAAATAAGGATCGGATTCGATTCTTAATTTTCAGATATACATAGCCATGGCTTCGGTAACTGTAAAGCTAATGACCAGTTTATAACGATTTGTTTGTCTGCTAAGATTGTAACATTAAAACCAGAAAGGAAACTAACTTCTGGAGGCTGGAGTTTATATTCCCTTGCAGTTTGCAATTGAATAGGATCGTAGGATCATAACTTAGCTTAAATATTCGCATTCTTTGAATGGATATTTATTGATATTTTTATATGACAAATTTTTTCCAAAAATCAAAGTATAAAAATCCCATAACTTAGCCAAAAAAGCATTTTCATTCGGAAAGCTTTTCTATGCTAGTTTTTATTAGGTTTTCAAATCTACATACTTAATTAAAAATTTCAAAATGTTGTCCATTTTTGAAAATTATAACGATGGAACCCTTATCTTTTTCTGAAAAAATTTAAAAAATTGTTTATCCTAGCTAGAAAGCTTCGCCTGTTGATACTGATCAGGAATATATATGTTTTATGGGGTCGGAAATGATTTCTTCACTGCTTTGGAGGGCTCTGACTATAAGTAGAATACCCTGCAAGGGTCGAATATAAGATCAAATTAAGCAGAGTCTGATGGAAACTTTTGATATATGTTTATATCTTTTATATTTACCAACACTATAACTAATTAATTCTTGACATTTCATGATATAAAACTCAATTGCAGTCAAATTGAGTGCGTTATGAGTGTTAAACAAAGCATGTCTCTAGGCAACGAGCCTTTTTAATAATACATACTTTTCGTGTGTCGGATCTAAGATCACAGATTGTAGTAAATATTTCCATGGATGAGCGGAATAAAAGTGGCGGTGGGGGAGGAGGAGGAGGAGGAGGAGGTTGGTTCATTCAACGCCAAATTTGCCACCATCCTCTAGACCACGTTGTTGTCGTTGTTTTGGCCATGCCAAAAGTCGCACAAAAATTTTAATTGCTAGATTTTTTTGTTGTCGTCGTCTCGTCGCATTGCATTTTAGCCTACCTTAAAATTATAAGTAAAATTAACAATTTTTAATTGACTCTGAAAATTAAAGAAGGAAAAACAAACACACAGAAAACACAACAACAAGAAAGGAAGCTAACATTGCTAAAGCGAAGTCTTTATACCCTTCCAGACTTTCAAATCGATCATAACAATAAACTAAATTATTAAAAAATTATTAAAAAAAATTATTAAAAAAGTAGTAAACATGAATCTGTTTAGAACTGTCTCCTAATTTTCTTTAATTGGGATTTAAATGGCGAATTGGAATACTTATCAAGAAGACCTGGAATATTTGCATTCCATATTTAGCGATATATTTATATGATAATTTTTTGGAAAAAACAAAGTTTAAGAAAACCATAACTTAGTTAAAAAAGCATGAATTTCGATTCGGAAAGCAGTTCTGTGACACTAATTAAACTGTTAACATATCTGCATACTGAGTGTACAAATTTAACAGAATCCAAAATTCGTTCAATTTTTGAAAATTTTAACAATGTAAAACCCCTTATCAAATTTTGCAAAAATTGGAAAAATATTTTTTTCTAGCTGGCATTTCAGATCGATCCGCCTGTTGATGCTGATCAAGAATATAAATGATTTATAGGGTCGTAAATGACTCCTTCGCTGCGTTGCAAGCTTCTGACTGAAGCTATAATACCCTGGAAAGGGTATTCAAATATCAAAACTGAAACCAAAACAGAGGCATAGGCAGAGAGCCAGCCGCGACAAGAAAATAGAGAAAATGGCATACATTTGGCTTTCAGCAAATTTTCATAGATTATTTTTGTGCAGCATGAGGTCTAGGATATAACTGAAGCATGATGAACTATAGATGCAAGTGGGATATATGCAAGAATATCTTTGTAGAGTGGAATTTTAAATCCAGGAATTATTTCCAGGAAATCCAAAGGTGCCACCTTTACGATAAAGTAGATAACTATGCGTTTTAGGTTCAGCTTTCAACAAAATAGAGGTTATTGCAGAGTTGATTGCCTATTAGTTTATTCTACCTATTTGTTTTTAAATACTTATAAACAATATTTATATAGGTATATAAATTTATATACATCCGTATATTTCAAGGGTAATATATTGGCGACTGCTGCCAGCCTTTTTTTTTTGTATTAAATTGCAAAAATATTATATTAGTATTGCGATTCTTGTGAATATTTGTTTTTCTTTCGCTTTTTACTTATTCATTGGTTGAAAATTCAGCGTTTTGCTAAATCCTCGTGCGGCACCAATGTGTTTTCATCTCGATTAACTTGTAATTGGTTCTCACTTCACTCGTCACTTTGGGGCATATCCCCCGCATTTTCCACATTTCCACATTTCCACGTTTCTACTTCTCCTTTCTTTAATTTTATATATCAGCAGCGGAAGTGCAGGTGAGAGCCAAAAATAATTATAGACTAGACAAGACATAAATAAATTTTAATGAAGAAAGTAATTACTTGCTGACATGCTAATTATCGATTAAATTGAACATTTTTCGATTTATTGTCTCAGCCTAACAATTATTAATATTATATTTATTGTTTTTTTTAGAAATCTGTCTAAAATGAAACTGTTGCATTCAAATACAAATACAAATTATGTAAGCATAAACATTAAATATTTTAAAAAAGTTTTTATGATCTTTAAGGTTTAAGAAAAACTCTCAGTTTATAATATATGTATGTATATAATCTACGGCAACACCAGCCTAAACAATCTAGTCAATTTAATGAAAATATTCACAAATTTAGATACTATACAAGTATATTTCTTTGTACCCTAAAAAATAAGAGTGTAAATAGTAGTACAGGTAAACTAATAGTCAGATAGATAAAACAAAGATAATATAGGTATGTTTTTCACTTTAAAGAAAGACTTATAGTACTCTTTTCTTTAATCATTTAAATTCAAATTGTCCACAGGTCTCTTTTCTGTTGCGTTACTAATTTTAAATATTTTTTCGCAAGTGTTTTTTGGGATCAAATCGGATTGGATCACAGAGGACGGGATGGATACTCAGTGGTGGCAAATTTGTGACGTCGATTTGGCCAGTGGTGGCGCCAAATTCTTTATTACCAGTGGAGCACGGCAAAAACGCGTCAAAGCGCCAAAAAAATGGCGCTGATGTTGTTTTTTTGGCTTTTGGCATATGCATATTTTGCAAGCCATTTGCATACATCGAATTCTATTATTTGACAAATATTTTAGTTTATTTTTCTTTTTTTTTGCGCTGCTTGATTTGCTTGGCATTATTTTTCATTTCATTAAATTAAAGTTTTTGCTGCTGTCGGAAGGCGTATCTGCGAATGCGACCGGGAAATATGTAGGAAAAGTGGTGGCCCAAATTCAGATTCACGTGAGGGCCTCGTCGTCATCGCTGGGTGACGAAGAGGGTGGTGGCAGTGGCCAATTTGCAATTTCTCGAATTCATTAGGTAGGTCGCTTTTCTGGTCTTTATTGTTTTTGTTTCTTGTTGTTTGTTTGTCACACTATTTTTTTTTCAGCCCAGAGGCTGCGCCATTTCCACGTCTCACGGTCGCCCTTGTGGGTGTAAACAAGATTATATCACAATTAAAATGTACCCAGATTCATTCAGCTCAGTACCAAAAACCTTTGGTTCCACCCTAAGAACCACAAACATAATCGAAGTTGATGCTTAGTCCCATAATATCTATGAAATATACATTGTTGAGAACCAATTCGATATGAAAACACCACTTATGTTCAACAAAGTGCCTTTAATATTTAGGAGCTGTGAGTCTTAACAAGAACGGGTTCATTGGGACACCTAAAGGTCACTTGAATGCCATTGGGCAGCCAGCTTCGTCCCCAGATATCCACATCGCACACCTTGGTAGCGCCATTACTATCGATTAGCTCCACGGTGTAGTCGTTCTTAGATCCGGATACCACTTGATATGAGGCAGACAGAATCTTGGAAATACTGGAATCAGGAGATATTCACATATTAGGAAAATCCTGTATTCCCATAAAATATACAAATCAGAGACCAAAACTTGCGTCAAATAAATTCAAGAAAGCAAGCGAACTTTGGAAAGCCAGAGTTTATACACCCTTGCCATTTGCAATTTGATTATAGGGTCGTATAGGAAATCAATCAAATCGCATTCTTCGAATCGATATTTATCAATATTTTTACAAAACAAATTTTTCAATAAGTCAATGATTAAAAAACTCATAACTAAGCCAAAAAACATTAATTTGAAATTGAAAAGGTGTCCTGTTTTACTTTTTATTAGGTCAATTAATGTGCATACTCAATTTAAAATTTAAAAAAATTCTAAATTGTGTCAATTTTTTTTTTGCTAATTTTAACGATGTAACCCTTTATCTTTTTTTGAAAAAATTTGTAACAGATGTTGATCCTGATCAAAAATATATATGATTTATATGGTCGCAAACGATTCTTTCCCTGTCTTAAATGATTAAATCCTGCAAGGGTATCATCATAAACACTTGGAGCTAAGGTCCTGTCTCACCGATAGTGGGGTCCTTCGCCAGCAGCCAATTTGTCCAGGGAAGCCTGCAAAGTCTTTTGGGCCTCGGCCAAATCTTTGCCCTCGAGTTGTGATGGAGCACCAAATGCTGGGACAGTGTGACTGGCGGCCAGGGCACACACGGTGCAAAGGATCAGGATCTTGGCGACAAACATTCCGGATGACTTGGTGCTGCTTCTGCTTTGGCAAAACAAAAAACACTATTGGATCGATCGTGCTGTCCCCGGGCTTTTATAGGAGAATCTCATTGCATCGCAAGCAATTAGTGGCGATAGCATTGTTTACTGCCCCTGATCTGTTTAGCTCGCCCATCACCTTGATAAGGTTTTTAGTTCGGTTAGAGCATAAATATATATATATACAAATTAATAGAATAGTCCAAAAATAAAGTAATAGGGGTCTTTCCACAAAGCTACTTTGCTATCACATTTTGATTAGGCTTCTTATGCCGCTTTTAATGGCTTTATGCTTTAGAAACGCACTGTATTCCGGCAAATTTTAAAGTTCAATTACACATCAGGGTCATTGCTTGGGGTCGTTACTTCCGTAGTGGTCCATCGACTAAGTACTTGTTATTAATCAAGTGCGAAACATCGTCGAAGATGGGAGACTTAAGCCGGCGACGGCGGCGGCAATGGGTTATCTCCTTCTACCCATTCATCTGGCAGCTTCCACCACTCATAGCCCACCGACACCTCCTCCGCCTCCTCCTTCCCATTAATCCTCCCCGACGCGTCGTCAGAGATCGTTCATCATTCCACTGATGGCTGAGGGGTGGCATTCTTGGCGCAACTCCAGAGCGCTGTCAAGAGTGCACAAATCCATGCTGATTCCTATACAAATATGCATGCCGAAACATTCGTTTCATATGTACGGATATCTGTACATCCGCCAGCCGACAAGTCAACCATCAATCCGTCCGTCCACCTGTCCGGGAATCCATCCATCCATCCGCCCGTCCATTCAACCGTGGTGTGTCCCCAAAAAATGTGAATATTTAATGCCCAAACTCAAGTTACACTTCAGGTGCAAAAAATAATACTAAGAAAAAGTTGTAATTGTACTTTTAAATATTCCAATTACTTTACGTTATTTGTCGTTAAATTAACAACTATAAAAGTTGTATAAATTGTAGTCAATACCTCTGCAATTTCGTCTTTCAGTGTTCAATATTTTTGCCAGCTTTCATTTAGTATTTTCCCCATACCCTACCTATTTCAGATACATTTGTAATGAGTCAGTGCTAATAACTCAATAAATAACCAACAAAAACGAGACCAAGAACCTCACACAATTCATGAGGATGTCTTGAAATATTTAGTACACTTTGGATGCAATTTTTTTCAGTGTCAAATCAAACACCCAATTGTTCGGTGTCAACAATGACACCAGGATGTCTCCTAGCCTCTCTGCCCGATCTCTCCTTCCCGTGGATCCCAACCCAATCCAATGTGATCCCAACCCCCTCTGGGTGGCCATGTCCCATCGACCTGTTCGGGGATAGCCGCTCGATCAATTTCGGGCTGGGCACGGGCACGGGCAAAGGCATGGCCACCATCGTCATCGGGGATCTTCGTGCTGTGCTTGCGCTCTGCTTTCGGCAACCGTCGACAGCTTTTCGAATTTTCAGCTTTTCGCGGACCGAATCGCTGGCCGCCCCCCGACTTTTCACATAAAAATCATGTAAGGCTGGAAAACGGCGACAGTTTACTCACGGCAGTCGCGAAACAAACGCTGCAGGCGAACCAATCCGCTCTAATACCAGATACAATATTTAAAAAAAGATATTGAAACAGTCAGTTAGATCCGCAGAAATCAATTGAGTTTGTTTACAGATTTACAAAGTTCAAGGATCAATTCAGAGATTTCATTACAAATTCGTAGAACCGATCGAAAAATCGTGGAAAAGAAGAGATTGGTGAGACGGCTTAAAGATTTGTGAGACTAGAGTTGATCGAAGATCAGAGATATTTGTTAAAAACCGAAGCTAAGATACCCAATCAGAGATTTGTTAAGGGAACTCTGTTCTTTGATTCGATCAGTGATCATCCGTCATCGATACCTGTTACCCGTGTGATCACTGTTCAGAGTCTACGATACTTTTTTTTTGAGTGACAATATACACTGAGTGTTAGATCGATATGATTTGCCCGAAACGCACCTCGGAACTGCTGGACCTTCATCTGGCCCCGTTCAAGGACAAGGATCCTGCCTGGGAGATCGGCGTCTCAAGGATTGCCGGACGCGGCGTGATGGCCACTCGAAGCCTTAAGCGTGGCGAGATTATCTTCAAGGACAGCCCGCTCCTGATTGGGTTGGCTGCCAACGAGGAGGATGCCTTGAACAGCTGCAGTGTGTGCTTGGTGGTCCTACCGGACACGAAGTTCATGTGCCGCCAAGGATGCGGCTTGCCGGTGTGCAGTCTGTGCTCCAAGAAGAAGCAGCATAAGGTCGATTGCGACATGTTCAAGTCGTGGGGCCCCAACGAACCAGATGTCGCCAACTCGGTGATCATCCGGCTGTTGTGCGTCGCTCGAGCCATCAATCTGACCAAGGAGCAGCGCGACCTCATCTATTGCCTGCAGGCCAATCTGGACAACAATCATCGCACGGAGGTGCGGAATGCGGCCAAGTGCTTCAAGCGCTTCCCCACCGACAAGAAGATCATCGAGATCATGAACCGCACCGTGGCTGTCCTCCGAACGAATGGGTTCGACAAGACCTACGACCGGAGCAACGACAACCAGGAGTTCAACTACCGGGCCCTCTATCCGCTCTTCGGGGTCGTGAACCACGACTGCATTCCCAACGCCTACTACACCTTCGAGGAGAAGACCAACAACATGATCGTTCGAGCCGCCGTTGACATCCCGGAGGGATTCGAGATCACCACCACCTACACCAAGCTCTTCACCGGCAACATTGCGCGCCATCTCTTCCTCAAAATGAAGAAGGGCTTCACTTGCAAGTGCCCGCGCTGCTCCGATCCAACGGTGAGTGGGGGACTTAAATCTCTATAAGGTGGTACTAAAATTTTAACATTCCAACAATATACCTTAAAGATAATTTTTATATTTAGAGTCTATACCAAAAAACTAGCAAGGGCCCTTCTTCGAAGTTTGTTTGTAAAAGTTTTATAATATCAAACCTGATTTAAAATACAGCTCATCTATGTTTATCGATTCAGAATCAATGTTTGCTTATAAAAGCTATAAAATTTTAATTTTGTTATGCCTATTCCAAAACCAGTAATATATAACCTTTATTCAGGAAAAATTCCCAACGAATTCCCACACATAATCGTGTTTTTGATTTAATTTATCGGCTAAACCGATTTTCGAAAGAAAAACTTGTTTTCATGTTGACCCATTATTTAATATTAGAGACAAGAAAAATAATTACTAGGGACAAAGAAATATAAACTGGAGATAAATGATAAAAATTTCGAATCGGTAGATATAATAAATTTAAAATCATAAATAAAGAACATATTCGAAGTGAATGTGGTAATCCAGCAGTGAAGATCTAGTTTGAGGTGAATATATATATGTAAATTTATCAATCTTTCCCAGAGTATATAAGATCTTTATGGATCGATAGATCAACTTGTAAGCTATATTTTTATAGCTTCACACACAATTTGATCACCAGAACTCGAAAAGTTTTGCTTTGTTTACTGGTAATTTGTATTTTTAATTGAATGATAACATTATGCCCTCCTGCGGATCAAAGACCCATTACTTTGTATCATTTGGCCCCTTAATTTGCGCATTTTCTTGGCCCAAAAGGCATGGCTGCCCCTTGAAAACACCAAGTGATGATCGATGTGGCAGCTGAATAAACTATTGGAACCACAACTTCGACAGGGAAATAATAATCAAAGATAAATTTTCATAGGCAAAGATGGGTGAGATGGTGCTGTAACCATTTTTAACCATTTTTTTGGCAATGGTGTATCAAAGAAGACAATTTCTCAAGCTTTCAAGAACTAAATAAAAGATATTCATGGTTGCTTTCATTAAGGATTTCCTGTGCCCATCAAAATTCAGCCAAAAACAATTATAAACTGGCGGCCAAAACGATCTCTCCCCTCTATTATTAATTACAAGTTGTGGCTATTGTTGTTCTTGGCAGTCGATTGATTTCCTCTCGCCGATTTTCCGATTTGCCAAATTCGCGCCGATTGGCTTTTCCGATTTCCAGGCGCAACAAGTGGCAAACAAGACGAGAGAATAATAACAACAATAATAAACATTAATAACAACCAAAAACAGAGCTATAAACAATTTTGTTTATTTTTAACAGACCGAAAACAATTCAATTAAATCACAAATAAATAGATGATTTCTAGAAAGCTTTTTAATCTTTGGGCAATATATTTGCAATACGTATAAAAATTCCAAAAACCAAACTCTCGGATCGCAAATATTGTCTGGTCTTTTCGGGTTGGACAGTGTCGGCAGTTCAATTTTGATTTCCTTCGATAGGGATCTATATACCCCTCACGCACCACCGATACACCCATTTAGCTCGGTCTCTCGGTCTCATTTATACTTTTTATTTGATTCGCCAACATTGTTGTTCTTTTTATTCTTTATATATCATATAGAAACATATTTTCTTGGCCATGGCCACATATAGCGCCTCGGATCGTAATTTCCCATTTGACATTCGTCGAGAATGCGAGGCGCTATGCAGAGGCCAAGAAATCTAGAAAACTATTAAGTATGGCCAACAGCAGGAATTATCTTAAATAATTTATGAAAAAATTCAATAAATGGTAGCCTGATAACCAGGGGAAAACCCATTTATAAAAAGACTGTATTAACCGTATTTTTATTCGGCTAACAGGATTTTTAATTTAATTATTTGATCACATGATTTGCCTCAGAAATGAGTCACGAAATTGTGATGAAAATATTAATTAATTAAATAATTAATGTGTTAATTGTGGTTATATAAATCATCTTTTTACCACGAAAGATCCTCTTAGAAACATTTTAATATATTCTTTTCAATACTACTAAAATAGTTATTTTAAAGAATATATCATTAAAATATAATTTTCAATATTTTCGATTTTCTATTTCTATCAGAATATATATTTTGCTGATCAAGAATATCATTAAAAATACACTTTTGATAGGCTATGTAAATACTTAAAAAACCTTATTATTTCAAAATTGAAAGATATTAACCTGCCTATAAGCTAAAAGCGAAATATTAACAAATCAAAAATAGTATATAATATATATAAGTAGTTCTTCTTTTTGCATTCTGATAATAAGAATGAATAACTTATTCATATGTTTAAAGATATGTTTTTTATGATCCTACGTTTGTAGTAGATCATTAAAAAAATATTCAGGAATTTTTTGTGTGGGCTGGTGAGAATATTTTAAAATCATTTTTAGGTTTTGATTTTATTTTGTTCACGATTTTCTAAAGGCAACTCCAATCGACAATTTGTTAAATGTCAAAATATGCCATGGAAATTGTGCCCTTGACTTCGACACGTGGCTGGGTGACTATATGTGTGGTGTGTGGGTTGGGTCAATTAAATAAATTATAGTTTCCACCAAGTACATAGTTCAGTGAACTCCCCGCCGACCAGAGGGATTTTACGACTGACAGAGCTTCCTCTGCTCCGATTTCCATCATCCGTTTCGACTTTCAGCAAATCTGCGGATCGGAACCATTAATTATCTGGCGAAACTTACGATCAAGCAAATAGCCGGACGATTCCGATTGAGAATTTAATGGAGATGACGTGGCCGGACACATCCTTAGCAACCTGAGTGTGGATATTTATCGATCGCACGAGCGAATATTAAAAACACGCACACGATGCGCGACATATTTGTTATTTATGTGTAAAAACACATATATAGAATATCATCGAACATATTCGCATGGCAGCGAGATATACACTGCGCGGCGATCATCACTACTTGTTCGATCCGTTTTCGGATTATTTTTAGCTGGAATCGGAATCTCAACAATGCCAACGCGATTTTCATTAGCCGAGACATTTGGCCCCAATGATTCACACCCCAAAAATCTCAAGTGCTCTCCTCCTGCCTCAGATCTAAGATCTCAAGTGATCGATGGCACTGCAAGTGCTTCATAATTATACAGATTACCTATAGCTTTGCCCACATATTCGCCTGTATGCCGAATTGTTAGTCTATTATTTGATTACATCTCAACTGGTTGGCTTTAAATTAAATCGACAAGAATGGGTAATTACTGACAAGTTGTTAAATATCCTATCACTCAAAGGGTTCTTTTAGGGAAGCGTAATTACTGATAGACCATTTTATATATCAATCGAACTTTTCCTTTTAGAAATAGTTACTTATTTCTTACTACCACCATAATAATTATTGAAAATGACTTACATGTTTTGTTTATTGTTTATCATAATGAAATATCTGCGATACTTGAGTTTTTCTTTTCGATGTTGAAGTGTAGGTGAATTGATGAAGCGCAAATCTTAGGAGGACAAAGAGGACGATGAGCTCTTGCGCACGCGACGTGGTCGTTTGGAAGACGAGCTAGAGTCGTCACTATCACTGCTGCTGCTGCTGCCTTTACGTGGTTTAGGCACTAGAATTAGAATTATTGTTAGTCTTCATTTAAAATTGGTTTTCAATCCAAGTTACTTACTTGTTGGACTCTTTGAAGCAGTGCCTTCCAGCTCGTCATCACCATCTTCAGGCAACTCATCGCTGGAGATGTTTTCGTGCATGCGATACTGCTTGGGCAGATGGCTTTCATCCTGCAGCGGTGCCGCAAACTTGGGTCGCCTTGCCTTCTCCTCCTGCTGCTGCCGTTCGCCATCGTTTTCGAGCTCGTTGCCCGTTTGCTTCTTGATGCTCTTGGCTATGACACGCTTCTGATGATCCAGTTGTGGGAATAGGTCTCTGGAGTTCTCCAGCGCCTGCTTGGCGGCATTCATCTCCGCCTGTTGGATGGACGAACCGCTGGCAGTGGCCAGTCGCTTGGAGCGGAAGTACACAGCCACCTTGTAGACGCGTGTATTGGTCGGTCCGCTGGCCTCGACCACCTTGTAGTAGGGTATATCCGGCTCGCCGCCATCCATAGTCCGCAGGGTGAGGCAGCATTGCTGCAGCTTGGACTTGGGATCGTTCCAGTCCTGGTTCATGATGAACAACTGCAGGCGCGGGAATAGGCACACGTGACAGAACTGCTCGCAGTAAAGTAGACCTTTGTCCACGTACAGGGCGCCCAGAAATGCTTCCAGCAAATCGGCACGATCCTTTGTTTTGAGGTCGGCCTTAGGATTGGCATAAACAGCATACTTGGGCATTCCGAGATCGTCGCAGACCACCGCCTGGGTGCGGTTATTAACCAGCGAGGAGCGCAGCAGGGACAAATGACCCTCGTGATGCTCGGGAAAGTGACGGTATAGGTATTCCGAGCAGATCAACTGCAGCACTGTATCGCCTAGGAATTCCAAACGTTGATTTGATCCCAGTGTCAGATGGGTGAATCCAATGGAACGATCGGTGAAGGCACGCGCCAAGAGCCGGATGTGCTTGAACTTGATGCCAATGGAGTCCTCGAACTTGGTCAGCTCCTGGAGCACACGATAGTTGCCAATGCAGCCCCGATCGCCCAGCGGTTCCTGCTCCTGCAGCGGGTGCTCCGGCAGATTCTTCCAGATGCCCAACAGCTTGTCGTCCTGTCGAAACAGGGCATCCGTAAAGACCTCGTCCGCCACCTTAATGCCTCCGTCTAGTAGTAGAGCTCCCATCAGCGCTTCAAAGCAGTTGGCCATGGCATGACGCAGCTCCAGTTCGTGGCACAGATCCGATCCATGGGCGTATAGCATGAACTCCTCCAGCTGCAGTTTCTTGGCCAGCAGTGCCAAATGCTGGTTCTGGACTATGGCCGCTCGATATGTGGCAAGGCCGCCCTCCTCCAACTCCGGGAACATGAAGAACAAGTGGATCGAGCTAAGAAATTCCACTACGGCATCGCCCAGAAACTCGAGCCGCTCGTTGTGCGTGATATTGGACACAGTTTCGTGATCCTTGCCAAAGCGAGACATTATGCTCACCAATGTATTGATGCCTCGCTTGCGGGTGTTCATGTAGTGAATCTTGCGGTCCCCATACTCCGGCTGGCGGATGCCGCAATTGGTTAGCGAGTTGCGGGCATGGTCCGGATTTGTGCCGTAGTTCTCCTTGTACGACGGATGCGTGAGTGCCAGCTGCAGTAGGTAACGATTTTTGAATCTATATCCGATGCTCTCCTCCAGCAGGTCTAGCGACTTGTGGAACCGTAGGTGGCCTGTGAGAACCGGCACCAGCATCGCATGCTGCACCACGTCACACATAATTCCAGTGCGGTAGAATCCTTCCGAGCTGATGGCCACCGTAATATTCCGCTTCATTCGCCCCTGCGTGCGCATCTCCTGCAGGCGCTGCTCCTTCTCCTCTAGCTTGCGCTTGTCCTTGAACGAGGGCTTCGACATGTTGGCCATCAGGTGACGAAACTTGACGTACTCCCGCCACGCCTTCTGGTACTCTGGATTGCCCGCATAGCTCAGTTGTGGCGGACGGATGCCAAAGTGCACAATTGCCGGATGCGAGATACCAGTCTCTCGGTCCACACACTCGGGCAAATCGGAGTTGTTCCTATCAAGCTGATCCACACGGAGCGAGCAGGGCTTGTGGCCCGGCTTGGTGACCAGCATGCCCTTAATAAAGTCTACATAGCTTTGCCACTCACTCTGACTGATCTGGTTCAGGTGCAGCAGCTGCTGGCGTTCCACCAGCTGGGCGGAGTTGTCCAGGAGATAGCGGAGCACTTCGCACATGGCCAGCACCTCCTTTCCATTGTCGGGAAGCTCGCGCACAAAGCGCGGTAAGAAGTGAAAGGCCGGACAGGATTCGGTACTGCCTTCGAAGGCGGCATTCGGCATAAGATTGAAGTCAACAAGCTCGAGAAGTTCATGGAAGAGATATTTGACTGCAACAAGAGAGAAAGAAAGTTAAAGCAATTGTTATACAAACAACTATCTACGGGGCAAACTTACAGAACAAATCCAGTTCGTGGATGGTGAAGTTCTCCGGCATTTTCTCCTCTTCATACTCAATGGTGTACTCGATGTTGAACCGGATCACCTTGCACACGGGCAGATCGGTAAGCCGCACGTGCGAAAGCAGAGAGAAACCCTCGAAGAGGAACTCGTGCTCATCGTGCTTGATGATGGTCGGTGTCTTGGTCAGAAAGTTCGTTGGCGGCGAGATGCTGATCCGGTAGTGGAAGAGCTTACCGGCATTGTTGCTGTTCCGGTCGCATACCTTGTAACCCGTCTCGCCCGGATAAATGCCATGTCGAATTCCGATGCGCCGGGATTTGGCCGAGCAGCGGCACAGTGGCCCGTCGTTCATTTCGCCTGCGTCGTTGTGCCATAGATCAGCGTGCACCCGCTGTGGATGCTGCACCTTGCGCGACAGCTCCTCCATGCAGCAGTCCTGCTCGATCTTAAAGGCATCTTCATCGGAGTCCTCATCGGAGGAGGAGGACGAGGAGCAGGCCTCCGACTTGTGTTTGTGCTTGCAGACGCGCCGGCGTGCTTTCCTCGGTGGCGGCACGTAGACGGGCAGTTTCTGGCGAACCCGGTCTGCCCGCTGCAGCAACTCCTCGTCGAAGAGGTCGCACAGTTTTTCGAGGCGGACGCGACCCTTCACCTCATGTTCGCCCGTAGAGCGCTCGTAATACGGCTCGGCTGGTGAGGATCGAACCCAGGACTCGGCTGGGGGCTCAGTTTCGCGAAGGGTGTTCATTTTCTTCACATAGTCCTCTGATTTCTCGCAATAGTTGGCGCACCACTTGCGAAGAAGCCTGTCCCTCTCGGTCTCCACCTTTGGCTTCGGTCGGGGCTTCTCCACAATTGGCTCTCTTCTCTCCCTGTCCCTCTCGCGATAGCTGCGAGATGAGTAATCTTCACTGGGTGTAGTCCTGGCCGTCGATCCGTAGTAGCCATGCTGGGATCCCTTCTGCGCTCGATGCGCATAGTGGCCTTGACCGTGTCCTTGACGGTGCTCGGAACTAGACCGGGGCCCATTACCATATCGGGGCTCATATCGTCTTCCGTAGTTATAGCCTGAATAGTGGTGATAACCCTGATTGGAGTTGTAGGAACTGTACCTGTCTCTCTCGCTGGGTGGCCGGTAGTTGGCCGAGTAGTCGGGATAACGCTCCGGGTACTTGTAGCTTTCGTACGGATACGATCCCGGTACTGATCCCGGGTACTGGTAAGAGCTATCCTGACCGTAGTACTTGTCTGGAGGCGCCGTCGGATATTGATACCCATCGTAGCCGTATGCTACCTGTTGGTCATAGGCGTTGTAGTTGCTGACGGAGCTGGGGCTGGGTGCGTCCGGATACATGTAATGCGATGAGTTAGGTGGCTGTACCGCAGGGTCATGTCTGTGTGTTTGTGGAGTAGTTGTTATGCCGGGCGGACATAGGTTATCTTCGGTTTCTGGCGGTGGTGGCGGCGGCGGAGGTGGAGGCGGGACTGACGTTGGCGGCAATGGCGGCTGGTACATGCTTTGTTATTATTAATTAAACACGATAATTGTTCACAATCTGCAACTGCACTTTTCACATTTCTTTCTGCTTAGAGCTGGAATAAACACAGATGTTACATCGATAAGCCGGCATTTCACTAATAAACTAGAGGTGGCAAAACATCGATAGGATCATCGATGCATCGATGTTTTCAAACTTTTAAAAACATCGTTACTTTTTGCGACTATCGATGATTTGGCGACCGATTTAAATGAAATAAATATATTTTTGGTTTTTTTTAAAGAAAGTAAAAACATTAGGTTACGCCATTGAAAAGTATTAAAATTATACTCAGAAGCACACATTTCAGTGAAGGAATCGTTTGCGACCCTATAAATCATATATATTCTTGATCAATAACAAAATCCGAAACGATCTAGCAATGTTTTGGAGAAAAAAAAATGTGGCAATTTTTTCAAATAAAGATAAGGGGTTACATCGTTAAAATTGTCAAAAATGGGCAAAAATGTTCTTTTTTTTTTAATTGTAAATTGAGTATGCAGATTTTTAGCCTAATAAAAACTAACATAGAAGTGCATTCTGAATTCAAATTAATGATTTTTTGGCCAAGTTATGTGGTTTTTAAACTTTAATTTTTGGAACTAATTCGTATATAAGATAATGGTTTTAACAGTGCAAACGTTTTAAGCTTTTGGGGCTACAAAAAGGTATTGATCGTTCGAGTATTTATATATATCTATATCTATTTTATTTGTAGGAGAAAGGCGCCTACATCTCGGGCCTATACTGCCGTGATACGAACTGCACTGGTCTGGTGGTGCCGGAGATCACCGGTTTACCGCATCCCAACTACAATTGTCTGGAGTGCAAACAGAAGTCGACGCATGCGCAGATGATGAAGTCGCAGGACTTCGCCTGCGGAGCTATCAACGCCAAGGCCAACTCGAACTCCTTGCGGACACTGGTGCAGTATCTGAACGAGAAGAGTGATGCCTTCATCCCGAGCAGTAACTACGTGGTGATCGAGGCCAAGTTCGGAGTACTGCAGCGCCTGCAGCAGGGCCGCGAGGACTGCTCCGAGGAGCTGGCTTCGAACACACGCCTGCGCTACAGCCGGGACATCACCCAGGTCATGGACAAGCTGGGACTGGGCGATAGCCTGCTGCGCACCCAGCTGGTGGAGACGCTGAAGCGCGAGGAGGAGCGCCGGGCCAAGCGGCTGGCGGAGGAGGCGGAGAAGCAGCGCAAAATGGCAGAGCTCCAGGCCAAGGCCGCCGAGGCTGACAAGATCCTGGCCGCCTTTGAAGCAGAACAGGCGGCCGAAGCAGCCGCCGCGGCCGCATCCTTGCCAGCAACGGATCCTTCTCCGTTGCCGCCGGCTGCCACCGAGCTGGCTTAGGGAGCAGCTGCTTCATCCCGGAATTCAATATGCCGTATTGAGTCCTATTTTTCAAGACGAATTAACCAGCTGAGTTGTCCAATATTTTGTAATTCTTCATTATTATCAAGTAGAAGATGAAAACTTGGCTCACAACGTAAAGAAAAATATATTAAATTTTCTTTTATTTATATTTTTATTTAAAAACGACTTTTCCTAATTTTAAAAACCAAAAAGAAAGCAACGAGATATATGCAACTATTATGAATATGGAATATTAACTAAGACATGGCCAACACAGCTGGGGAATCAGGTCCTGAATATGTGACTCAGACACGAGCACTCCCAATCCCCCGTACAGTACCCCCTGGTCACCTAGTTCTGTGTTGTGTGTACTAAATTAAATAATTGTATCTGTATTTGTATTTATTTATTTATAATAAATTAAAAATTATACTTGACGAGTGTGCAAAAAGGCTGCCAAAGAGCTGTCTGCTCTTTTCGGTTGGGGGCTTTTCGCGACGTTTTGTCAAAACGTTTTTTAATCCAACGGACTAGTGGATATATATTTATATATTTTGAAATTATACAGAAAATACCAGAGTATAAAATAGAAAGAGGTTAATCCAGGTTGAATAATGTATATATATGTTATGGTTGAGTTCTTTAGCAAGACTTAAATTAATTATATTAAATGGAAGAAGTAGAGAAAAGTATATTTGCGTAAAGCTTTTTTATGGGGAATTTAATATGTAATCTGATGAAATTATATGATAATAATAATTTCTATTTAACATATTTCCTCAGATATTAGATATTCCATAATCCTTTTTATTTTAAATTTAATTATGATATTTATCATATTTTGTTTACTAAACGCGTGCCAACCAAGCAACCACAAAAATAGCTTTTTTGTTGCTTTTCTGGATAATCCAAACAGATATTCTGTATAAAAATCAAGAGCAATTTACAAAAATAAGTTGGAAATTTTCTTACCAAATATCCTTAAAACTAGGACGCTCACACCAAGATTTGAGCCGAGGCCAGGCAGAGAAATCTGGGGACTTGCGAGTCGTGGCTGTAGGCACCACTAATTTAAAGCACAGACTGAGGAAAATGACCACAACTTAGCAGTATTTAAACATAACGATGTCCATCTTAAGAAATTTAAGTATATTTCACTTTTTCTGTTTTTCAATTTTATACCCTTGCAAGGGTGTTATAATTTTACTCCGAAGCTTGTAACGATGGGAAGAAATCATTTCCGACCCCATAAACATGATCAGCATGAATAGTCGAGTCGATCCAGCTATGTCCGGCCCAAAATTTTTTTTTTCGAAAATTTGTCTATTTTTTTCAAAAAAAGGTAAGGGGTTACATCGTTAAAACTTTCAAAAATTGAAAAAAAAAATTTAATTTTAAATTGAGTAAGCAGATTTATTAACCTATTACAAAAAAACAACCTTTAAAAGTTTTATAAATTAAATTTAATGCATTTTTGGCTCTGTTATGATCGATCGAAATTAGGCCTCTTAAGCAAATTGCAAAATTGAAGAGTATGAAAACTTCGGTATCCCGAACTTCTACTTCCTGTTCATTTATATATTTTTAGACCAAAAAATCAAAATAATCAAACCATTTCTCTCTTCCACACATTTTTCTGTGATATTCCTACAAATAAAATAATAAAAATAAAATAAAAATAAGGATTAAGTAATTGTGTAAGACATAGAACTAAAAATGGAATAAATAATTAAAAACTCAAATACTAAATAAATAATGTAAGTAAGTAAGATGATAAAAGCCAGCCTATTAAGCCATTAAATTTAATATACTTATATACACTACCATGTAGGCAAAGTAAGTTCCCTCAAAAAATAATTATTAAGGAAACGATTCCTCAACTTTATGCGACTTATTCATAAATTTCGATGCGATTTAATTCGATTTGCTTGCCTGGCATTTGTTTTATTCGCCATTAAAAGTTGCAGTCGACTTTGGGCGACCGTTAAAGTTGGCGGCCGAATCTATTTTTGAATGCCTTCCGAATGATCGTCGTCTCCGCCGTATGTGCCACCGCCCACCGCCCCCTCGTAACGCCTCCTTGTACCACCCCCTCGTGGTGGCAGCCACAGCAACAACAACAACAGATTGGCAAAGTCACACGGCCGTTTTACGATTATAAAAATATATAGTCATATTCATAAATTTATATAGTATATATCGCCAGCTAGTTGTAGCGTTGGTATGTATGTCTAATGAGAAATTGGCATTTGCCGTTTTCAATATTCCGATTTGATTCAGTTTTGCCCCAGTAAACTGCTCATTAAATTGAAAATCATCTACATAAACATTAATTAAATAAATCTCACACGCTCAGTAGCAAGGCTCTTCCTGCATACATATGACCGCCCAAATGGATATAGATTCGTGTTCCAATCGGCTCCACCTGTCTCATCAATTTGTTCGAGAGTCTTTGCCGCTCACCGATGTCATCGTGTGATCTTAATAGATGGCTGTGCGAAAAGATATATAGTATATTGGATACAGTAAGCCGATATATCTACATGCGCGCACATATACCATACTATACTATACTATATGGTATCTGCATAATGACAATTAAAATATCAATAAAAACCCTGAGTAGCCACAGTCACAGCCTCAGGCAGGAGCCAGAAGAGCCAAACAAATTTGAAAACTCAGAAATCATAAATAAATTTATAATAAAAATGCCAATAAATTATGCTATGTATGTATAGATGAAAATGACCCACCGACGTATGTATGCACATATACTTCAAGCTATTCGTCGATCTAGCTCTCTATTTATCTATCTATCCACATCTATCTAGAATCTAAAATTTAGAATCTACAAAATATTTCTATCTGGTCTTTCCATCTACATATATCTGACCAGTCTTGTCGTCAGATGAAAGGAAAGGAACGAGCACAACTCGCGGAGCTTGTCGCATGTGGATGTTCTAATCACATATTGCTTTTAGCTCATGGCATATTCTGGTATAAAAAATATAAATAAAAAAACTAAAGAAACTAAAAAAAATCAATATAAATAAAGGGGGTCTGGAGGTGGAGGTGGGGCTGCACTCGGTTCAACTTTGATTAATTGCACGCATTTTCCATTCACATACACGACATTTGTTAGCCAAATACCCTAAACAAGGGGTTATAACTAAACATGATAGATTTAGTATTACTTAAAACTTAAAACCATTCATTTTAAAATTAAATTGTATTAGAAAGTAAACTGATTATAGACAAGCATCACCAGAGGCATCAATCTAGCCATGTTCTAGTCTTAACTCTTTATGTCGAGCCATTTTTCTGCTTAATTTTGTAGGGCATACAAACTTCTGCTTACCCAAAACTTATTAATATTCATACACATGTTATAAATTAATAATAGATCTAGGATATAAAACTAGGTCTAGACAACTAACGCGCCGAAGAGTCCACATTTTATTTAATAAGTCTATTTGCAGAAAATTTTATGCGGCTGTCTGAGAAATCGCTATTTTTTCTTTCTTTTAAGGATTTCGACAATAAAAACAAAAAGAAATATGTATAATGACGCATATTGAACACAATTCAAATAGATATCAATTTATATAGTTTTACAAACAGTGTTAAATGTTTTAAATATATTGTACTTACTGTTCGGTACTAACCATGTCTATCCAACATTAAGAGTGATGGAGCAGTGTCTGAGAAAACGATGTGACAAAGGGCCCTGTCCTTAGTAATCTGCCACGTCCTGCTTATAAGCCATATATATTTAGTAATTTACCAGATCCTGTCGAAACTGGAAAAGTAGAAAATTAGAAAAGTCGAAAAATGGCACTGCTGGTCTCCGGCTAGACAAAACAAATTTAAATTTGTTAAGGTCTCTGGCATGCGTACTTTGGCATGCATTTCGAATTTAATTTATGGTACTACATGCATTGTATATTAATTAAGCTCTCTGATTTACTAACAGGAGGATGCCTCCCCAGTGCGCGTATAATTTATGCCGTTTTAATGGCTGCTCCGTGGGGGGGACTGGCACTCGTTATTGGCCCCCTTTCCGGGGCCAACAAAAATTTACAAATGAATAAGAAAATAAATCCAAAATGCATTCGCTTTTCTGAGATTATTTGCTGCTAGTTTAAGTTTATTGCCAATGTCATGTGCCACTGCCAATGGCGGCACTTGGCACTCACAATGTCTGCAAGTTAATGGTCAAAAAATAAGACAGCATCGTAAATTGTGATTACCAAGTCGTAAATCGTAAGTTATTTGGTTCCGAAATGGGTCCGGAACCCTTGCACATTAAATTAAAATGCATATGCCAATATTTTGTAAATAAATAGTTTCAATTGGTGTAATATTATCATATAGCAAAACTTTATCATAAATATCAAACTGCTAAATAAAAGAAAGCAATGACGAAATTCATTTAATATTAATAAAAATTAATAAATATTAATTAATAATAATAATTTAGTATATCATTGCAAGGTTTTATAATTAAAGTGAGAAACTTGCAAAACAGTGAAGGAGTCATTTCCGACCCTATAAATCATATATATTCTTGATCAGCACTAACAGGCAATTCTTTCTAGCCATTTTTTTTTTAAAAGATAAGGGGTTAGATCATTAAAATTTGCCAAAATTGTGATTTTCTTAAAATGTTATTTCGAGAATGCAGATTTATATACCCTAAAAAACTAACAGAAGTGGTTTCCGAATTGAAATTAATGCATTTTTGACGCAGTTATGTAACTTGTAAACATTGATTTTCCCCAAAAAATATCATATCAAATTTTTAAGGGGTTGCATCGTAACATTTTCAATAATCTAAAAAACACTTTTATTTTTACAAATGGTATCTTTGCGGTATACATATTTATTAAGCTTAAAAAACACAACCCAGGCCCTCTTTTCGAATTGAAATTAATGCATTTTTCACTTAGTTATGCAATTTGTAAACTTTGATTGTCCCAAAAAAATATTTAAAAGCTTATAACATAAAATCAAGAATCTTGCTTGTGAAAATATAATATAAATCAATGAAGGAGTCATTTCCGACCCTATAAATCATATATATTCTTGATCAGCATTAACAGGCGAATCTTACTAGCCATGTCTGGAGGAAAACTACTACTACTACTACTAGTAACCTTTAAAAAACTAACACAGAAGTGCCTTCCGAATTGTAATTATTGCATTAGTTATGCATAACTTTGATTTACCTAAAACATTAGCATTAGAGAATCGTCAGTGACGTACAAGTATGAAACCTGTATCATCAGGATATTAAATAAAATAAATCAAATCAATTTATAATAAATAACAACACAGAACATTCCTTACGCCAATATGTGTTAATTTAATTTATTTATTTACAAATCCATTTTGTAGCATACTTATCGGCCTTTGATGTGATAAAAGCTTATTCAAAAGAGAACAAGTGTGTAATAAAAGTGTTTCATTAAATAAACTTATTTGTCTCAAATGTGTATTAATTTGTACATTTAAATAATGTGTTTGATAGAGGAGAAACCATGAAAAGTACATCTAGATACTTAAATAAGCACTTAGTTGTAATAGCATTCTTTTGGGATGTCATAAAAACTGGCCAGATAATTCAAGGTTGCCTAGTTTTAAACTAGGCAAAACAGAAGTTCTTATGTAAATATTACTTAAGTAACTATAGAAAAAATTTTCAAATTTGGCTAAACTTCGTTAAGCCAAGATTCAAGTTACAAAATTAATGTTGCTTTAACAGAGAGTAAAGCAGAACCGGTTGCGCTCTATAAAATGACAGATCTATGCTTTTAATAATACAGTATTAACTCGTAAGTTGGCGATATGACGTATCTTTAGGTATGTAAAAGATTTTAAGAAATTTCTAAATGAATTTGAGGAAAGTTCACTAGAATTCAATGAAATAGAAAAAGTAAATAATAAAGAAATGTCTATAAGATCTAACATAGATAAAGGATTGATTTACTATAAAATACTTTATTTTCATTTAGATTTGTTAAAACATTATTATAAAATATACATACTTATGTACATATATTCTATTTTATTGTTTATATTCGCTATTTTGAGCACTGTCCGCCCGTGTTAAATGGTTTTCCTCGTATTATGTAAAGTTTGCAGAGCGAAACTGAGAGAGCAGAGAAGCAGACTAAATAAACAAGAGGGACGATCGTGTGGCACGCCTAGAAAAATAGTATCTGCACTGATAAAAATCTGATAGGGAAATTAAATAAGACTATAAACCTATAATATAATATTATCAATATTATATATATATATATCAATATTCACAATAAATAAATAACAAAACTATATGTCGCCTTCAGATAAATAAATTTGAAATATATTTATAAAAGAAATAATATGTTATTTTCAGTGTGTTCCCATTGTAAACAACTAGATTGAACACTTCTGCAAAATCAGCAGGTTGTTGTTGCGTTGGCATGGGCGCACTTCATAAAGGAAACGATCCAAAAGTAAAATATATATTCGGGTAGTATATAATATAATATAATATATAATATAATATAATATATATATATAACAAATTTTTGAAAATTGTAACGATGTAACCCCTTGCCTTTTTTTCTAAATTGAAATTTTTGAAAAAATTTTCTTTCTGCCAGCGATATCTAGGAAGATTGACCTGTTGATTCTGATCAAGAATATATATGATTTATAGGGTCGAAAATTATTCCTTCAAAGCATTACAAGCTTCTGACTAAAATTAAAATACCCTGCAAGGGTATAAAAATCTATCATTTTAGACCCTATCCCCTCCATCTATATGTAAACTATACTACGTCCATGGACAGGAGGGTATCAGCTGGTGATAGTGGGAAGCTGGCGTCGACAGCGATCAGCGATGTTGAACAGCGCCGCGGGCCGAGGCGACATTGATTTCGAAATCGTTCTCCAAGAGCCATTTTCAATTTGGCGTTTCCAGTGTGAAGACCAATTAAAGTTTTCCGTGCGTTTCGTTTTTAGTGTTTTTTACGTTGTGGTTCGCGCTTCTAATCCTATATATTTTTTTTGTTCTGTGGCCGTTTAAGAGTGTTTTCTTATTATTTTTTTTTGTAAATTAAACAAAGTTCTATTAATCGGTACGAATTTCGGCCACTAATTTTGAGTTATCGCATTGCTTGTGGCTCGAAGAAAAAAATGGGAATAAAAAATCAAAAAACGGAAACCTAATTAAGCACAAACAACTTGAGTTCTGAACTTGTTTTTCGCATTTTGACATTAGCATATTATTAACGAAAACATATATTCAGAAACTTGCCGGACCATAAAACCAAACTGATAATGGCCAGATGATGAGGGAACTGCTGGGGGGAGACTGCCATTGAACTATTATGTCAAAAATAATAAAAATTCTAATCAGACGAGAGAGATGGAGATAGAGAGAGCGTAAGAGATGGAGATAGAGAGATCGAGAAAGAGAGAGCGAGAGGGCGTGAGCCCAAGAGAGCCATAGATTGGGCATGAGCTAGGTTACAAAATATGAATTAAATTCTATTAAAACGCATATGTAACGGCACATGTTCGCAACGCTGTTAATTAGTAGTGGCTCTTATGTGATCTGTGAGATGGTTAACAGCACTGTAAAGTGCTGTACCGTGATGAAAGAATTGGTCTCGCATTAAATTAAATTAATTTAAATTAAATTAAATTTTTATTTGTTAAAATTTAATTTTAATTGATTTAAATTAAACAATTGAAGGCTGTTTGTTTCAACGTATCTGCGTATCTTCGAATAATAGCGTATTAACAATAGGTGTCTTCTCTAGTAACCACCTTGTCATACCTAGAACCAGTTGGGAATTTGATCAATAATAAAAATAACAAAACAGACCCCCCATGTCTGCGACCTTCCTTCACCCATCCGTAATCTCCGATGGGTGGCCCCATTTTTAGTTTTTTTTGTTTTGCCCAAAACTACCCGAATTTATTAGAAAGCAACTATAAAAGTATAGAAACAAAAAAGAAAAACAAAAAAAAATAGAAAAACGGGGTGGTGCCACATTAAAACCATAATCTCCCCTGTCCCCGGCAACCTTGACTGATAAATGATAAGCGCCCTTATAAATGATAAGAACTATGGTGCTATATATGCACATAGATACAGTGCTGGCTCAGGATTCGAGTGGGGGCCCCTGATAAGAGTCACAGACCCGAGATTAGAGACGATGTTGAGCAACTGGGAATCTCCACGTGGCCCTAATCCAAGATTATCCTTCTCTATCTTCCAGGAGACTCTCACTGCCACCAAACAAACACCATCAAGATGAGTCCGCCGCAACTCTTGAGCAAAGACTCCCCGGATATTGAGGTAGGTTCAACTCCAAAACAGAAGTTACAGAAATATAGAAATAATAATAATTTAGTGCTTTGGCTATCGGGTATCCTATAGTCGAGCACTTTCATATGGTGAAGCTTTCCTAATTCTTAATTGATATTGCCTGAATGGCGTCCTCTGATAAGATTTCCGTAATAATCCTCGAGTATTTGATAGTGGACTTAATGATTTATTGAACACTTAATTTCTACAGGATCTGCTGTCGCTGAATCCACGCGTCAAGACCCAGTGCTCTGTGGTGCCCACCAAGCAGACGAAGGAGAACAAAAAGCACTGGAAGCGAAATGCTGACCATGCTGCACCGCCCTGCACCACGCTGGCGAATGACTTCTCGGACATTAAGCACACGACGCTGTCGGAACGTGGAGCTCTGGAAGAGGCGGCTAGGTGCCTGAAGTGCGCAGATGCGCCATGCCAGAAGTCCTGCCCCACGCAGCTGGACATTAAAAGCTTCATCACGAGCATTGCGAACAAGAACTTTTATGGGGCCGCCAAGGCAATCTTCTCGGACAATCCTTTGGGACTCACCTGTGGCATGGTCTGCCCCACAAGTGACCTCTGTGTTGGAGGCTGCAATCTCCAGGCCTCGGAGGCGGGTGCCATTAACATTGGTGGCCTGCAGCAGTTCGCCACCGAAGTGTTTAAGCAGATGGGGGTGAGCCAGCGTAGAACGCCGCATGCGGAGGCCAACCCGTTGGCCGGAAAGATTGCTCTGCTGGGAGGAGGCCCAGCCTCCCTGTCCTGCGCCACCTTCCTGGGGCGTCTGGGCTATCGGGATGTGACCATCTATGAGCGCAGGAGCTACCTGGGCGGACTGAGTGCTGCTGAGATTCCGCAATACCGTCTTCCCATAGATGCGGTCAACTTTGAGATCGATCTGGTCAAGAATCTGGGTGTACGCATCGAAACCGGTCGCTCCCTGAGCACCAAGGATCTGACTATTCAGGTATATAATTAGATATACAAAAACCGGAAGGTATATATGTAAATACAACCTGTTTTCAGGGTCTGCTCTCCTCTGGTCACGATGCCGTCTTCGTTGGCATTGGTCTGCCGGAACCCAAGCTCAACCCGATCTTCGCTGGCCTAGATCCCAGCAATGGCTTCTACACATCCAAGAACTTCCTGCCACTGGTGTCTGATGGCTCCAAACCGGGACTTTGCGCCTGCAAGGCATCCGCCGGATTGCCCAAGCTTCACGGCAACGTCATTGTCCTGGGAGCCGGAGACACAGCCTTCGATTGTGCCACCTCGGCGCTGAGATGCGGTGCCCGGCGAGTGTTTGTGGTGTTCCGTAAAGGATCTTCGGGCATCCGGGCGGTGCCTGAGGAAGTGGAGCTGGCTCGCGACGAACGGTGCGAGCTGCTGCCTTACTTAAGTCCCCGGAAGGTGATTGTCAAGGATGGGCTGATCACCGCCATGGAGTTCTGCCGCACGGAGCAAAACGACAAGGACGAATGGGTGGAGGATGAGGAGCAGACGCAGCGTCTGAAGGCCAACTTTGTCATCTCTGCATTTGGCTCGGGCCTAGAGGATGCGGATGTTAAGGCAGCCCTGGCTCCACTGCAGTTCCGCGGAGAGCTACCCATTGTCGACAGGGTCACCATGCAGAGCAGTCTGAGCCAGGTGTTCCTTGGCGGAGATCTGGCCGGTGTGGCTAATACCACGGTGGAGTCGGTTAACGATGGCAAAGTGGCCGCCTGGAGCATCCACTGTCAGCTTCAGGGACTTCCCCTGGACACGCCAGCTGCCCTGCCACTGTTCTACACGGACATCGATGCCGTTGACATATCCGTTGAGATGTGCGGCCTGAAGTTCGAGAATCCATTCGGTCTGGCCTCGGCCCCGCCCACCACCAGCACGGCCATGATCCGACGCGCCTTCGAGCAGGGTTGGGGTTATGTGGTCACCAAGACGTTCGGCCTCGACAAGGATCTCGTCACCAATGTGTCACCTCGCATCGTTAGGGGCACCACTTCCGGCTACAAGTACGGACCCCAGCAGGGTTGCTTCCTGAACATCGAGCTCATCTCGGAAAAGCGCGCCGAGTACTGGTTGAAGTCGATTGGAGAACTGAAGCGCGACTTCCCAGAGAAGATCGTAATTGCCAGCATCATGTGCAGCTTCAACGAGGACGATTGGACAGAGCTGGCCATCAAGGCGGAGCAGTCGGGTGCTGATGCTCTGGAGCTCAATCTGTCCTGCCCGCACGGCATGGGCGAGCGGGGAATGGGTTTGGCCTGTGGCCAGGATCCCGAACTGGTGGAGCAGATCTCCCGATGGGTGAGGAAGGCCGTCAAGCTGCCCTTCTTCATCAAGCTGACGCCCAACATCACGGATATCGCTTCCATTGCGGCTGCGGCAAAGCGCGGAGGAGCTGACGGCGGATCGGCCATTAACACGGTCCAGGGGCTGATGGGTCTCAAGGCGGATGCTACTGCCTGGCCGGCGATTGGTAAGGAGCAAAGGACCACCTATGGTGGTGTCTCTGGCAACGCCACCCGTCCCATGGCCCTGAAGGCCATCTCGGACATTGCTAGACGCGTGCCAGATTTCCCCATTCTCGGCATCGGCGGCATCGATTCCGGTGAGGTGGCTCTGCAGTTCATTCAGGCAGGTGCCACGGTGCTCCAGATCTGTTCGTCTGTCCAGAATCAGGACTTCACTGTCATCGAGGATTATTGCACGGCATTGAAGGCTCTGCTCTATTTGAAGGCCAATCCGCCGCCGGTGAACGGCGCCTTCTGGGATGGCCAGTCGCCACCCACACCGGTTCATCAAAAGGGCAAGCCAGTAGTCCGTCTAACCGGCGAGGGTAACGTCACTCTTGGCTTCTTCGGACCCTATCAGCGGGAGCGGGACATCAAGATGGCGGATCTGCGCAGCAAGCAGGGCGCTCTCTGGGATGCCGAACAGGCGGCACAAGGTCCCACGGCAGTCGGAAATGGAACTACACCAAAGGCAGTGCCTAGGATTAAGGACTTAATTGGCGCCGCTCTGGAGAGGATTGGGCCGTACAACAAGCTGGACAACAAGCAGCAGAAGGTGGCTCTGATTGACGATGTGAGTGTGGAATTTCCCTTTTTTATCCATTCACTTTTCGAATTCATGGGGTTGCCTTGATAATTTCAGGACATGTGCATCAACTGTGGCAAGTGCTATATGACTTGCGCCGATTCCGGATACCAGGCCATTGAGTTCGACAAGGACACGCACATTCCGCACGTGAACGACGATTGCACGGGCTGCACGCTCTGCGTCTCCGTGTGTCCAATTATCGACTGCATCACGTGGGTCCTTAAAAGGAGCTTCACATTTATTTATTTACTGACTTATCTTCCTTATTTCCAGCATGGTACCGAAAAAGATCCCACACGTGATCAAGAGGGGGCTGGAGGAGAAGACCTACTACACCCACGCCCTCAGCCAATGCCAGTAGATGTTCCTAGTTTATATACTTATGTAATTGATATTAAATCCAATCTGTATAATCAAAGCATATACAATAAATATTACAAAAAGCAAGCATGCTAGAAAAAAGGAGGATACATAGGATACTTATCAAGCTTTCTTGAGGATGCCTATGGATATAATTATCCTTTATATCCCTGGTTATTATTAATTTTAGTTAAAAGCTTGTTACTCTATGAAGAAGTCATTTCCGATCCTATAAATCACATATATTCTTGATCAGCATCAACAGGCGTATATTTCTAGCAATCTCCGTCAGAAAAAAAATTTCAAAAGTGTTCAATTTTTTTTCAAAAAAAGGAAAGGGTTACATCGTTAAAGTTTTCAAAAATTAATCAAAAAAATTTACTTTTTTTAAATTTGAAATTTAATATGCAGATTTATTAAACTAATAAAAACTAGGATGGGACAGCTTTCCGAGTTAATATTAATGCTTTTTTGACTTAGTTATGAGTATTTTAAACTTAATTTGTCGATATGTTGAGGTAATTTTTCTATACACTTTTTTTGGACTCGTAGCTTCTATTCAAATAAAAACAATGTGATAAAGAAATCAACATCTTTAATAATGTTTTTTTTTTAATCGCAGTTCTTTTAATTTTCGTGCAGTTTTTACAATTTTTTAACGAATATTTGAATACTTGGCAGTTCTGCAAGTTCCTTTCGATTTTTATCGATAGCAGGCCAAAAGCTTACGTTTATGTGATTCAAAGCATCGTTCAGTATATTAAAGTATGCATTGCTGTTTATGTCAACCATTGACATGGTCACACTGCCTGAACACAGAGTAAAAACATTTGGTTCGTTTGGAAAACAACATTCATTTTTAGAATATTCGTGTAACTCCAAGTCTAGACAAAATTGAAAGTAAAATTTAAAAGTTACACGAAACCCGTCAGCATCCAAACCCCCAACTCCTGAGCATCACGTCTTCCAGACTCTAGTCGAAGGTGAGTGAGTGGGTTTTATTGTACCTTGGGAAAGAGCAAAGATTGCCAACGTATTTTACGCATTTGATTTGCAGAAGAGGTCGATGATATAATAATGTCACGATCCCTCAGTCGCGTACTGGGCACCTTTAGCCCCGGCAGTTGGATGCCGATGGCTGCCCTGCGTGGATTCCTGGTGCCAGACATGACCTCTGCACTTCCGATGGCCGCTACTCAGCGGGCCAGCTACGCTAAGCGGAACGGACCGCCATGGGACCCTGACATGCCTTTTAAAACAGTGTCCAGGTCGCGCCGCCGCGTCGATGATTATGACGACGAGGTTATCATTTTGGAGAACGAGCCAAACTGGGAGCTAACCGCGACAAAGAATAACCGCTTCTACCTGCCCCATGCCATCGGACCCGCCTGGCAGGGCGACACAACCACCGCCAGCCTGATGGGTCCGCTCGGTGAGTTGGTTAACTTTATGAAGGAGGACAACAAGGACGGATCACGTCTTGAGTTCGCCTGCTGCGATTGCCCGGCACTGCTTCGTGGATCGATCACGGAGCTGTTCCCCATGCGCATAGGATCACATCGGCATTCGCCTATAACAATGCTCACCTTGAGCAATGAGGGGGACATTGAAAAGGGAGCAATAAAGGTAAGTGTAACCGGAGCAGTGAGCCCCCTATGTGTAGTAATCATTTCATGTCGTATCCATTTTACCAGTTTGTTCTCGCTGCTCGCGATATTTGCTTTCGTCTGATGGCGTTTGGCTATTGGGCAGACTTTCTCAATCCGTTCAGCGGCAAACCATACATTATGCCTAAGGAGGGACTCACCTTGTACAAACAGGACCAACGGTTCCGTGGTATAAACATGTTACTGACCCAGAAGAGCCACTGCTTAGTTATTAGTGCCGCTAAGAACGATCGCACCAAATTCTCAGGCACTATCTATTGCACTGCGCCGAGTGACTATAAGGAAATGTTGGAGCTCCTAGTGTGGCACGATTTCGAAGAAGACGAGCCGTTGCCTATGTCGCGCCGCAATCTGCCGCAATGACACCGCTACGCCAGAAGACTAAGCTTTTTAGTGATAACTGTGTTAACTATTCATCAAATCGTTCTGTTTACCGACTTAATGCTGTATATATAGCTGATAAGCTACTGTTAAACATATATATTTCTGCGAAATATAAACATTAAGAATGTCATGCTCCTCCTAAGCCACGGCCATCTGGCTGCAGTGTCTCTCTATCTCCTTCAGGCGGTTGATCAAAGACTGCAGCTCTTCGGCGTTGCACACAAACTCCACGACGGTTACTCGCTCTCCACTACTCGGCCGGAAGTTGCCCAGATTGATGTAGAAGCTAGCTACACCAGTGCTGCAATCGGAAGTGGAGGACTTCACATCGCAGGCGATGCGCCATTGGATGTCAGTGATGTGCGGAAAATTGTGGCCCAGTTGCAACTGCCGCAGCACCAGATCCTTGCGATTGTCCTCGTACACGCGGGCTAGCTCCTCGATGGCCACGCTGTTAATGGACAGCTGATCCAACTGTTGGCGGAGCGTGAAGCCATCCCAGCCGTGCTTGGTGGCCAGCGAGAGCAGGGTGACAACAGCATATTCACTTTGCTTGGCACAGGCCGCGTTGCTGGCATAAATCTCCGGCACGGGGGCAATAGCTGCAGAAGTCCATATAAGTAATATGTATATCGTAGCACTTCTGCACTAATCCTCACTCACTTGCATCCGGGTGAAGGGTTAGTTTCAGCGCGTTTGCGATGAGTATCTTGGTCAGAGCGGGCGTAATAATGTTGCCCAGGCTTTTGAGACCGGCCACCACGGTTGCGGAGAGCAGTCCACTCTCCTCAGTGGTTGCATCCACAGCGGGAGGCTTCTCCGTTTGCGTCGCCATGTGGCAACCACTTCTTCCTCAATGAATTATTCGTATCAAGCAATAATTAATAATTATTAGAGCCAAAGCGGCTGTAAACAATAACAAACAATAAACGCGCTTAACAGCACTTACTAACAGAACTGTTAATGTATCGAACTGGACAGAAATGAACTGGAACCAGCGAAAGCAATTTACACTAAAAAAAAATACTAACTTTATTACGAGTTAAGTACAGGTATTTACACATTTAGGAGCTGTAAGCTTATACCCTATAGAAGCATTCCTGCGCCCGCGGCGCACAGTTGTCGTAAGGTTTGAGCATAGCATCCCCAATGGCTGCCTTGCCGCTCGCATCGATCTCATCCAGTTCCTGCTCGGGCACACAAGCGCACTGGAAGCTCTTGTTGCCGCGGCTGTAGAGCTTTCGTGGATGCCCGGCCCAGGAGCGCTCCTTGCCATCGCCGCTGGAATTCGTGCACCACACCCGTGTACCCGTGGACTCGCTCCACTCGATGTTGCAGCCGGGATAGCGGGAGCGCAGCTCCTCGACCTGCTTCTTGGATTCCTGCGCAAGCAGCAGCAGCTCTAGGTACTTGTGGTGATAGGCCGTTGGATTACCCTGCTCGTCATAAAAACGACCTATGAGCTTGCCCTTGTAGACGTAGTCCTTCTCGTAGAAGTCACGCCAGTTGGCCAGCCCTATCAGATCATCCGGCTTCAGGGTCAGCACATCGTCCGCCGTTTCCGGGTCGTAATTCTCGAATTCCCCGGAAATAAACGACACGGAGGCATCTCGACCGACAAAGAAGTTATAGCTGCAGCCGGTTCCATAATGCTTTATACCCCGGGAGACATCGAAGACCGATCCCAGCAGTGCCAAGTAAATCGGACGACCATCCTCGCCATCGAACTGCAACAGTTCAGCCGGTGTAAAGAGCCCGGCTTGGAACTTCACCGGAATGGCCTCCTCCAGGCCGGCTGTGTTCAGATAGAGGTCCGAGTATTGACGCAGGACTTGCCTGATCTCAACGTGGTAAATTCCGGCGAAAACGGCAACAACCACGAAGAGAAACTGCAACTTGAACAGGTGTCTTAAAAGCCCGAACATTTTGTGCAATTTACCACACTGTTACCAGTTTAGCTGGAACTAGTTCTTATATTAAACCAGTTGGTAAGAGGGAAATGTTAAAGAACCACTGAACTGGAACAAGAAAAAATACTAGAAAAATTTGAAATTTGAAATTTAAAAATTAACAACTGTGTTTTCCCCCAACTAATCTTACATAAATTGTAGCTTTTGGCACTTTTATTTGCAATAATCAGACGGCTTTCTGTAAGGAGTTAGCGGCGTCGGGAGACACAGGCGTCGATGTGATTGTTAACCTTCTGGAGGCTGGACACTGCCTGTGCAGAGGCGTCGTGGGTGCACACATTGCTGTCAGCGAAAACAGCCGGGATGCGCTCATTGGTAGACTTACGGATGGTTTTGATCGAAGAGCGGGCACTGACTAGGTAGATGGTACCCTGCATGTAGAACTTAGCCATACATGTGCTCTTCAACACGCTGTTCTTATAGCCCTGGCATTTGTTGTAGGTGGCTCCAAGATTGTAGGCCCCGAAAACCAACTGCTGGGTAGCCTCATTGACGTCAGAGGCGATCTCGGCAGAGGTATGGGCGGCCACCACGCCGCACGAGTGGAATTCCTCATGAGCGGCATCTACAATGCGGGTGATTTCTTCGTCCTCGGCGGCCACACACTCGGGACTCTCTTGACGACGAGCTTCCACCGCATCGACGGCATCCTCCAGCTCATGATGGGGTTCCAGAACAATTTCCTCGTACTGATGAACCAAAGCCTCGCCGGTTGACTTGCCCAGCTCAGTCATCTCGTCCACAACACTGCGCACCTGGGCGTCCAACTGGGCTGGCATATCCAATGGCTGGCCCCAACCACTGGCCACGAAAAGGGTCAGGATAAAGACAACGATACACTTCATGATTACTGCTGTATTGCTCCTAGGAATTCTTGGAAGGCTACTGCTGCTTCGGACCATCCGAACATTGCCATTTATATCCCAGTAGGGTAGACTGTCAGAATATTAATCTGGATTGCAGGCCATAAATTTATGGCGAACATTGTAAATCAATCATTTGCGGTTTGGATTGATTAGTGAACTTTAGTTTACATTTGCCATGCTATTCATAGAGTTCACTTATTTGGATTTAGATTAAGATTGTTAAAGTCGCACAATCGTACCAATCTCACGAGTCATATCATAAAAAGTAAACAAATCGCTAATGCGGGATAAATGTACAGCTGAGGAAAAGGTCATAAACGTATCACAAAAATTATTACTAAAGTATTTGAATGGTGTAACGTCTAAAGTAAGCTTAATAATTAAATTCCGTATTCTTTGCTAGACTATAAACGAGATGAGGAGCTGTCTTATTATATTCTCAATGTCTCAAAGCATGCTTATATTTATTTTTAGCACTTCCTTTCACGTATTTCTCATGCAATAAATTATTAATTTTTTAAATGCGAAAATATTGTACTTGTTTGTAACAATTTAATTATCAGACTGGCCTTGAAAATTCCGCCCATAATTTGAAATACATATGTGAAGGCACCCGCTCTAAAAATACTACAACTGTACCAAATCCTAAAAATACCAAACAAAACATACAAGTACAAGCGCTGAGTAGTCGAGTTATCGAAAAATTTACATTTCTAATTTACGTTGTCACTTGCAAATCTGCAATTAAGCAAAGTTTTCGCACAAATACTGGAAGGCACATGGCCTGATCTCAGTTCTGCTAATCTGCAGACGACGCTCCTAAATAATACCCAGACATCGCCATCTATACAGACATCCTATCGTGTACGCACGGAGCTACAATGGACATTGACTGGCAGAATGGTATGACCGAGATGAAGGACCGCGGCCAGTATCTGCTGCACTCGGAGAAGTGGGCTGACTGCCGCTTCCTGGTGGGTTCGGTGCCGAACCAGCGGGTGATTGCCGGCCACAAGCTGCTACTTGCCATGGCCTCGCCGGTGTTTGAGCGTATGTTCTACGGACATTTGCCGGACAAGACTGACCCAATCGTGATACCGGACGTGCAGCCTGAGGCATTCGAGGCATTGTTGGAGTACATATACACGGACCGCATCACCATCGGCGGCTTCGACAAGGCCTGCGAGCTGTGCTATGTGGCCAAGAAGTACATGCTACCGCATGTGGTTACGCGTTGCACGCACTTCCTCTGGGCGGACCTTAGTCCGAAGAACGCCTGTCGCGCCTACGAGTTCGCCAAGCTGTTCGACGAGCCGCGGCTGATGCAGAGCAGCATGGACCTTATTGCGGCCAACACCCGCGAGGTGCTCTCCGATCCCAGCTTTCTGGATATCGAGGTCTCAACGCTAATGGCCATTCTGGATCAAAACCGCCTCAATATTGACTCCGAGCTGGATTTGTTCAACTGCCTGCTCAAGTTTGCCAGCGAACGGGGCATTCTGAATGAGAGCGAAGGCGGGCAAGAGGATGCTGGTGACCGCGACGGCGAGGCCAGGCTAGCTAAAGAGTCACCAAACTATTCTGGCGGTCATGTAATGGTCGAGGAGATAAAGATGGAGCCCGATGTAGCGGCTATGGTGCAGCACATGCATCAGGACGATGAGGGCGACAACTTTGAGACGGACTCCGGCATGGCCTCCACTTCCACTTCGGCGGCTGCTGCAGCCGCCGCTGCTGCAGCTTCTGCCGCTGCCGCCCCAAAAGCCATTGCCCCTGTCTCTGTATCTGGCTCGCCGCCCCTGGACGTGGCAACCGGCTCTAATGACTTGGTTATCATTGATAGCGACGCCTCTGGCGATGCCGCTGCAAACATGATCAACATTATGGACGCTCAGCGTACCATTCTTGATAGCGCCATGCTGCGCCAGGCAGTGAAGAAGATCCGCTTCCTTACTATGACGCCGCAACAGTTCGCTGAAGGACCGGCGCGCTCCAAACTTCTGCAACAGCACGAGGCGCTGGCTATTCTCATCAAGATCTCCAGCCCCACACTTAATGACTGTCACATGCCCGAGGGCTTTTGCGTGTCGCGCAGCACGCGCAACTTCTACGAGTTGGGGCACCGGCATGGACAGCGGGAACTGTCCTCCTCATCCTACCGTCACACTGGCCCTGGACTCCCTCCTGCCGGTGTTTGCTTCCCAATTCAGGGACCGACAGTACGTAGTGGAGGGGGCGGCGGTGGTGGTGGTGGCAATGGCGGAGGCATGATAATGGGCAATGCACCGCGCTTTGGATCCATCAGCGCCGGATTTGGCTTCGGTGGCGAAGACTTGGGAATGCGTGCCCCAGAACCCGTGGGCGTTCCAGAGCCGGCACCGGCGCCTGCCACACTACGCTGCTTCGGCGATGCCTACGAAGGCGGAGCAGCTGCCCCGGCGTCTGGCAGTGATAACGAGGGCAGTGGAGGAGGAGGCGGACCGGCAGCACCTGGATCGGCGGCAGCTGGAGGCGCTGGTGCAGCCGCTGGAAACTCGCACAACGACATGGTGCGCGCATACTGCTTGCGCTCCCTGAACCGCCAGTTTGACTTCCGCAACACGAGCGTAACAGATGCAGGCGTTACCTTCCAAGTGGACACGAACATATGGATCCTCGGCGTACAGGTGCCCACGCGAGTGCTGTGCGGTGAGTTGATGACCTCGGCCGGCTTCACGGAGCGCTATACGGAGGTGCTGTACGCCCACATTCAGGACATGCATGGCTCACGAATCACATACACACATTGCACGGCCCGCGTGCGTTACGATTCGCTGCTGGACATCACCTTCGACCGACCCGTATACATCTATCGCAATCAGATTTACAAGATCTACGTGGTGTTCAACAAGACCGGCTGGTATCCCATGTACTCATGCGTGCCTGACGCCAACTGTAACCGTGTCAAGTTCATGTTCAATGTGGGCAATCCCACGGAGTCCGTGCGCGACGGCCTCATCTACGCGATTATCTTCTCCACTCCCCAGGACCACAACCGTCACCTGGTGGACTAAATCCGTAGCAATACCTTAGCCTTAATTGATTTATGTATTTTCGATGTGATAGATTTATGTTGATTAGCCATGGAAATCGATGGATCTGCAAGCTAAACTTGACCCAATGCATTGGGAGAAGGGAGCCACTTCCGCAATCTTTTGTACATCGAATCGTATTAATCGAAATACTGTATTTATGCATATTTGTAAAAACTTTTTTTAACCGAAAAATAGTTTCATATCTCTATTTGTTCTAAGTGTCATGATTTACAGCAGGTGAGGATTCGGTAAGACCTCCAGTTTTGAGATCACTCAAGATTTTATACAAGTTATACGTTTGTTTCATGATCCTCCAAAAAGTATTGTATTATAAAATTATATTAATTGTTCCTTTTCTAACTTGACAAGAGCTAGCCTTTCGGTTTTATTATATTGCTTCCACAACGCATTTTTGTCGAATTTACAGTTTTTTGTATCAACAAGCTAATATTTTACTATTCAAATAAGGTAATCAATGGTATAATGTAATATTTAATAAAATATTTTGAATAGGTTTATTTTACAACACTAACACATTGCATTTTTTTGAATGTGAAAATAAATCCTTGATATCTTAATGGGGTAGAAGATAATAAAAGGCAATGTAGTAAAAATATTTGTTCACATATTTCCTTATATCCATTATATATATCTCTAGGATTTTTTAATAAGATGAAAGAGGATCGGGTTTGAATGATTCAATTGCAAACTGCACGCTTTCTGACTTGGCTTCAATTTAGTTTATAAATTTTTAGGTTTCTATCTGTTTTTTCTGCTGTCATCGGCTCCTAAACTTCCAAGTGACCCCCCTAAACATAATTTCACTTAATCAATTTCGTATATTGTGCCTTGAATAAATGTACAATAAATAAAATTAACTTTATTGCGATTCATATACAAAGGAAGAGACCAAATAACAAAAAAAAGAGTTAATATTACAGAAAAAGAAACATGTGAGGAGAAAGAGACGACGGCGACGTCGGTTAACAAGCGAAACTGATTGCGCAACATTTTTCAATGTGGCTTTATCTTGGGCTAGGAAATCGGGACAGTGCAGGCGTGTGTCAAAAAACAGAGGAAACATCAATAGTGGGGCAGTGGAGCTTGATTTTTTGAGCTTTACACATATGTATAGTATGTACGTATATACAGAGCGATCTCCGCAATATATTGCCTATTTGCCATAGTTGGCACAGCTACCGCTGGCATATTCGGGCTCCTCGCAAGTGAGCGTATGCTCATCAAAGACCTTGTCCTCACCGCAGCTAATCAAACGGGGATGTCCCTCGACGCAAGTGATCAGGCGGTGGCAGTCACCGGAGACGGGGAAGCGGGGGAAGGGCCAGAAGCGAGCGGCCACCGAGTTGGGATCCACCTTGGTGGGGCACTTGAAGCCAACAACAGCTGAAACAAAATCCATTTAGTGGTTAATATCTCCTTCCTCCGTAAGAAAGCAATCAATCAAGTAAAATCTTACCTTCGGGATTGCAGTGGTCCAGCAGCTGATCCGGCCAGTTGCAGCCATGGATGCGCTCGTCGTAGGCCAAACCAGCATCACAGTCCTGCTCATGGGGCTCTCCATGGGCGCACTTGATGTACGTCGTGGAACAGTCCTTGGATACCGCATACAAACCGAACTGGTACTCGCAGCCGGGTGTTGAGATGGGAGTGGCTAGTGAAATGGGTAAGCAATCAACCAAGTTAAAGATATGTATGGGATACCGGCTAAAGACAATTAAACTTACGATCCCACTGGCGACCCTTGCAGTCCACCGCCCAGTTGTAGTTGCAGTGATTATGCACCGCACCCTTGCCGTCGAAGAGCAGTCCATTCTCGCAGGTCTCCAGGGTCAGAGTGCCATTGGTGCAGAGGAAGAACTGATCACAGTTCTCCGTGTGGGCATATGCCTGTACGCCGTACTTTTCCGGGCATTCCGGAGAGCCCACGGCCAGGGCATGGCCTGAAATTAATTAAGAACAAGTAATTATAGAAACCTAAGGATATATTTAAATGTAATTTAAAAAGAAATTTAAACCCCCTATTAATTTTTCAAATAAAACCAGGTATTGGTGCCCATTGATTTATGCCCTTAATCAAGATGGTAGCTAACTAAGCTTCAATTTTGATAAGATATAGAGAATGGATGGGCTTTTAAATGCCAGAGTGCATCGATTGTTAGACAGTTGTGAAAACTGTTCCCACCATTGTCAAACCCGAATCACAATTGCAGCCGGAGCCCCATCCACTTCCTTCCTGTCTGCCAGTCCGTCTAACTGTCTGACTCGCAGCTCCATCCGAATCCGAATGCGAATACCCCTGCTCAACTGGTTTTGGGGCAAGTGCAAGTGACGCCACCGCCACGACACTTTCGCGCATCTTCGCACCGTCTAGCGGCACTGCGATCCGAATCCCATGGAGCGGAGTGGAGCAGCATGAGTGTGTGTGATGTAAGCGGACGCTTGGAATGCCGATGCCATCGAGATTGGGAGGGCGGGCAACGGGTTGATTGCCTGGCTGCCTGCCTGTCTGCCGACACTTTTCTCGAAGCCCACAGCCGAGAAGCCAAGAGTGAGCCAAGCTCACTAAGCATATATTTAAATTTGTGAAGATTTCCGGTAATACGTTTTCCACACAAATAGCTGTCAACAGGTCTTGATACAGAGTAAGAGGGAGAGTGTCATCGATCCTTAAGGATTAAGTCCCAGCACGAGAGATTCCAGAATCTAAATCTAAAAAGATTTATCAATACCAAATTGCTAATCGATTGTCTTGATTGACAATTGACAATTGATCAAGCGAATTATATCGAGACTTAAGGACCATGAAGTGAAGCTCGCATCAAACTATAAAAGATCCTGCAAATGCCGGCAAAAAACCTCCTTCCTTATTATAATTTTTCGATAATTTATCGATGCCTTATCGATAAGGTAAAAACCTGCGATTAGTTATTCCATTATAAATCCAATCCGATCTATCCAACCTTTTGAGACTGGTCGAAACTGGTCGCGTTGGTTAACCCAGAACTAGATCGTATAATGCGATCGCTTTCAGAGTCTTTGTCTTATTTATATTCTTACTTAATTATCAACTGGTTTGACAAGACCGAGTTCTACTTTGACCGGGCCTGGCATTTGCCTCAGTTCATTAGGCAGACATACTATAACACATATGATATAAGATATATATTGGTGTACCAAGATCTGGCCCACACCCAAGTGAGTCAGTCCAGTTGCTTGGCTGAAACAAAAGCAAAAGTGATTGGAGGATTGGAGGTGATCGTTGATCGGCACCCGATCTGCATGCCAAATTAGCTATGGAACGGTATCAGTATCGGTATCGGTGTAAGGGGTACAGAGCTCAGGGTTAAATGGAGCAGAGTGGCTAATCTGTGGACATAGCCTTCGGTTAGAAACCAGTAATTAAACATGGACTTCCACTTGGTACTATGGTGAACTCCAAACACCATACCACACACACCCTCCTGCGATTGCAATTGGAATTTATTTCGTTTTTAAATTTGTTCGTTTTTTTTTTTTGAAAGTAAAAGCTTTGCCGTTAAAAACCACACACGCGAGGCAATCGAAAGGTTGCGCTAATTGTGAGTCCATTCCAAGGCCCTATTTGGACATTGGGTAACCACTTGACCACCAACACTTACCGCTGGTAAAGCAGGCCGCCAGGATTAGGGCGCTGCACAGTTGAAGTCCCTGCATGTTTCTGCTTTAAAGTTATGTTCGACCGGAAGTGCGAAATGGGTAAGCGAATAATAAAATTTTCAAACACTCGCGAAGCACACCGAAAAAAATTGTATATTCAAATATATTAAAACACTCGAATCCAAATCAAAAAAAAAAGTAATAACAAAAACTTCCGCTGGGCACGTTTCAACGGTTACGCGTTCCAAACTCAACTGGAAAGATTTATGCCGCGCTCAAAGAAGAAGAAGCAGAAGGAGCAGAGCAGCGACTGCGCCGGCGCAGCGTCGCACGGTGGCGACAGCCATCACAAACCACCACACACACATACAAAAACCCCAAAGCAAAGCCCACAACCGAAAAATACCAAAGCAAACGAAAACAAAAACAACAAACAAACAAAAACCCCCCCAAAGGCGAACCAAAGTTTTCGCAAAGCTTTAAATTTTGTATTGGTTTTTCAATACTTGGGGGCGTTGGGGAGGCGTTTCAGGGGGTGGTGAGTGAGATGGAGGAGGGGGTGGTGTTGTCACACGTTGTTGCTTTTATTTTACCCTTTCAGGGTATTTTCATTTAAGTCAAAAGCTTGTAACGCTGTGAAGGAATCATTTCCGACCCTATAAACCATATATATTCGTGATCAGCATCAGCAGGCGAATCTTTCTAGGTATCTTCAGAAGAAAAAAAAATGTGTAAATTTTTTCAAAATTTTAAAAGGGGTTACATCGTTAAAATTTTCAAAAAAAAAAATATACAAATTTTAATTTTTTTTTAAATTAAACTGCAGATGCAGATTTATTAACCTAATAAAAACTAACATAAAACAGTTTTCCGAACTAAAATAAATGCCTTTTTGGATGAGTTATGAGTATTTGAAACTGTGGTTTATTAAAAAAATACTCATATACAAATATTAATAAATACTATATTATTCAAAGAATGTGAATATTTTTTTTTATGATCGATTTTTGATACGATCTTATAATTAAATTGCTAATTGCAAGGGTATATTAACTCCGGCTTCCCGAAGTAAGTTTACTTTCTTGTTTTTCTTTTTGCTGTGTGTGCGTTGTAGGTGTATATTACAAAGCGGGATAAAAATTCAGCTATTTTTTCACTTCAGAAATTGAGTTAGATCTTAGAAAGGTATGGAATACATATAACTTAAAATTACATTTATAAATTTCATTAGAAGCTTACACTTTTGAGCATTAGGAATAATGTGGAAAGTATTGTCAACGTTGCGTATGAGTAATATAAGGTGCTTACACCTATTTATGGGTACATTTGATTTTCAAAAATCATTGTTCTGATATGACTATGATTTAATTATTATTTAATTCATTTTATCATTAACTTTTGACACTGTTTTATAGTACTTTGTTTTATTATTTCTGCTTAACTTATTAAAAACAAAAGTGAACCATTTCTTATCTTTTTTAAATCACAATAGAAGCAGAATACCCAAACTCTTTTTAAAGAACGAATTAAAATTGTTTACATTAAATAATATATCTTCAACTTTGACTAAGACATTTTCATAAACTCATTTTCATAGAGACTTTGAGAAAAACAAAAATAAAATCGCCAAATCCGGCTCTGAGCTCCACTGGCAGCGTGTGTGATTGAAAGTAAAAGGCAAAGCTCGCACAGACCGTAAGCTTCATTCATGATTGGGTCCCGTTGCCCGATTACCGTTACATTGTTAACTATTGCAAAACTTTGCTGCTGCGGCTGCGCCGATTGCATAACACTTATCCACAAGCAGCAGCAACAGTCGCAGCAGCAACAGCAACAGTAGCAACAGCAGAAACCTTTTTACTTCATTTTATTTACATGAGCTGTGCTTTGCTTTGGCCAACTCTAGTGGGTAATTAACGACTCTTTGTCCACTGGCCAAACCAATCGACAATTGGCCAAGACAAAGGGCTAATGGATCGATGGCCCGCTAATGTTAAGTCCTCTGACCCAGAGTTGCGTGCCGAGTGAAAGGCTGTCAATCGGTTGATCAATCACTTGCACACACTTTTCCCAAATGAGATTCACACTCCAGTTTTTTATAGTTTCAAAATCATGGTTTAATTACTAAAAATTTGGGGAGAGTGACCTTATAGATGGAGAGATTTACAGTCGATTAAGTAAAGACTTCTATGAAATAGACTTACGAAAAGATAGGTTTAAGCCACATTTGGCACTAATGAATTGTAAAGAAATCTCTGGTCAAGACAAGAAGACAAAGAATGCCTAGAACGCATAAAAGATCTTGTAGCACAGCTTTTTATACCCTTGCAGGGTATTATAATTTCAGTCAGAAGTTTGCAACGCAGTGAAGGAGGCACCTCCGACTATATAAAGTATATATATTCTTGATCAGGAACAACAGCCGAGTCGATCTAGCCATGTCCGTCTGTCCGTCTGTCCGTCTGTCCGTCTGTCCGTCTGTCCTTCTGTCCGTCTGTCCGTCTGTCCGTCTGTCCGTCTGTCCGTCTGTCCGTCTGTCCGTCTGTCCGTTTCTACGCAAACTAGTCTCTCAGTTTTGAAGCTATCTGAATGAAACTTTGTAGTTAGCCTTCTATATACTCTCACTCGTATATATGTCGGAACGGGCCGGATCGGACGACTATATCATATAGCTGCCATAGGAATGATCGTAAAATTTTTACAAAAATTTTTTTAACTTTTTCAGTTTTCAATAGAATTGGATCAAATTTAAGATATAGCCATTTTACTATACTCTACAATTTTGTGTAAAATTTTATGAAAATCGGACCAATATATCATATAGCTCCCATAGGAACGATCGAGAAATTAATACAATTAAATTTATAACTTTTTTAGTTTTCAGCTGATTTTCATCAAATTTAAGGTATAGCTATTTTATATTAGTCTTAAATTTTTTGTCAAATTTTATGAAAATCGAACGACTATATCTTATAGGTGCCATACAAACGATCGTTTGATGTAGAGGAAAAATGCAAATCTGTGAATGTAAAACTGCAAATTTAATATGTATAGGTGAATGAAATGAAAGCAGGTATTATTATTCATTGTTTTTTAACACAAATATATATAATTTATATTGTATGGATTCCTATTCATAGAAGTTCTATCTGCAAGGGTATATAAACTTCGGCGTGCCGAAGTTAGCTTTCTTTCTTGTTCCAGTCTAATATCAAGGGAGTATGTGAAAAAATGACTTAATATTCAAATATTGAAAAGAAAAGTAATGAAACAGTAATGAAGTAATTGAAATTTATAGAATGAAAATATAATTTTTTATAAAACAAATAAAAGAGTAGACTGAAGTTAGTTGGTGAAAATAAATTGGATGTATAAGATTAAAGTTGAATACAGAAAATAAAGGATAGAATCCGCCATATACGTGTATTAAGTGAAAGCTATAAAACTATTATTCAGAGAGCAGTTCATAGTCACATAGGAAATGAAATGGGAAACAAATAAATCAGAAAACAATTTAAAAACATATAAAAATAGTTTAAGAAAGAGTCAGTATAAAGCCAGTAGATAAATATAACGAAAATTAGATATTAAAACAGAAATGGGAAAAGAAATAGTAATAAATATATAAAGTAGGAAGTAAGAACATCGTTTTAAGTTATTTTAGGAATATATTACTGATAGATAAAAATGTAAGTTTGGAAAAACAGAAAGAGGCTTTGGAGTGTGTGCTTTTTTAAAGTGAAAAATTAATCAGATTACGAATGGTTACTAGATAAGTTCTATACTTTCAAAGGGTATAGGATACTTAGGATTGAAATAAAGAAACAGAAAAATCACATATATATCTAAAACATAAATGAGGCTAGTATGGAAAAAGATAGATAAAATTATAGAAAAATAGATATATATACAGATAGATAGATAGATATAAATAAAGATAGATAAATAGATAGATAACATAGATAGATAGATAGATAGATAGATAGAATGATGGATAGATAGATCGATGTATAGATAGATGGATAGTTGTAGTAAAGTGTAGAATAGTATAAAGTTTAAAGTATAGTTTATAAAAAAATCAGTTTATTCTCTTGTATAATAATTAGATGAAAGTCAGAAAATGAAAAATATATACACAGCGATTTGGCAAAAGATTCGATTGGACACAATGATAGTTACAGGATAGACAGGTTGTAGATAGATAGATTAAGTTGAAAGCAGTATTACACAGAATACAGGATAGTAAAGCGATAGATAGATGGATAGATAGATATATAAAAGACAGTAAGAAATTCAGAAGAGAGACAGACACAGTCATGGAGTCAGAGAAGGTAAACAGAGTATTAAAGTTTAACTGCTACACATACGTTCTATAGGAAATGGGCTAGAACTACTAACTTTAAGTGACTAAGACGCGAATCCGTTTTGTTTTTTCAGTGTGTGCGTTCTTGTGTTTGTGCATGAGTGTGAGTGTGAATGCGATGAGGAGTTAGGGACTGGAGCTCCTGCTTAATCCTTCTTGTCGTCCACATCCTTGTACCAGTCCTCGCACCCGGGCACATTCTCCGGAGCGTCACACATTTCGGTGGCATCGTTGTAGACCTCGCCCAGCTGGCAACCCAGATCACGTGGATCCTCGCCATTCAGGCACACATAGAACTTCTGGCAGTCAGTGGGATGGGGGTACTTGGGATGGGTCACCACCTGGCCGCGATCATCGGTCTTAGGCTGGTCCTTGGGGCACACGAAGCCGGTCTCGGAGGTTCCTGTTAGCAAAGATTAGCAGAAGATAAAGGAAATTACTACCGGTTCTACCCTCTGGAAGCTCCCAGTGTTGGGCACTTACTCTGCTCCGGATTGCACCCCTCACGCTTGGCAGTGTCGGGCCAGACACAGGTGCCGGAGTACTCATCGAAGTGCAGGCCCACGGTACACTTGGTCTCTAGAGCATCACCCTCGATGCAGTTGTAGAAGATGTTGCACACGGCGGGATCGGGATGAGCGAAGAAACCGTTCTTGCGGGGGCAGTACTTGCTTGACTTGGGTTCCTCTGTAAATGAAATAATAACGATTATTTTTTATACTTTTATATAGGATAATCAAGCATTGATTGAGTTTGTATGAGATACATACTGAAAATTTTGATTATACTACTACAAACTAATTAAAGTTTATATATTATATCTATCTGAGATATAAATGAAAACATTTTCAAGACAAAATGTAATCATAAAACTTGTTTGTTGAAGGAATAATTAAGCTTCTTTTAAATTTTAGATAAGATAAGACTATAGATTCAATTTTCACATATTCAACTGAGTATGTAAATAGTATGTATAGAGTATGTAAAAAGTCCTCTGTAATTACTTTAATGAACTTTGCCTTGACATATTTCCGTAGAAACAGGTTTACCCCACAATTAAGGATATGAAAACTTACGCAACTCCGTGCGGTCCTCGCAGTCGACATTGAAGGGCTGGTCGCACTTGTTGATCTTGCGGTTGAGGGGATCGAAGACCAGGCCATCGGGACACAGCTTCGCCTTGGCCACGCCCTCGTCGCACACCCAGAACTTGTCGCATTGCACCTCGTCAGCGAACTGGCCGTTGGGTTTCGGGCACTCGTAGTTGTTGTTGTTGGCAGCGGACACGGCTAGAGAGAAGGAGGAGGAGGAGGAGGAGAAGAAGGAGACGGTCAATCAACTTGTTTCCCACTTTCACTTTCCGAACGCCTCTATCACACAACAGAAGTGTAACGAGATCGAACACTCAATTTATCGATTGTAATTCCGCATTCGCGGTTTCCTGCTTGCATTAGAGATGGCCGCCGAGCACTAACAGTAAATAATTTGTGATGGACTGCGACCGATAGAAGGATATGAACAGGATATGATTGTCTTGGAAAATGGTACAGTAAAAATATTAAAATAAGGGAATTATATATTATTTCATCAAAGAAGGAAGATAAAGATGGAAAAGAGCCAAGAGCCAATAGATAGAGAAAGATATTAGAAAATATGTGCCTATATTTTCCTAATAATTTTAGTTTTATGAATTGTATAGTTAATCATAAAAATCAAACAAGAACTCAAGAGCTTAGCACTTTAAACACTGTTCAATTTTTCGTAGCTTTAAGTTTTTAGGATTTAAATTGATATCTATAAGAAATATTCCTTTTCAAAATAAGTTTACGCTTGTTTTACTAAGATTTATGTTACTGAAAGGAATCTTAAAGATTTTGTGTTTAGAAGAGACAAGTTTTAATATAATTCCACGTTATGGGAGAGTAACCATTCCCAGACACGACTCCGACGCCGCTCAGCTCTAGGCCAACAAGTTGCATAACCAGCGGCAGAGCCAGCTACAGGTCTTGGGCTTGGCAAGCTTTCCAGTTTTTCCCAGATGGAGGAGTGGACGCACAAAGAGTACCATCCCAGCCGGTTTTGCATCTCGTTTTTTTTTGTTCGATCTGCAACCACGACTTGATTTTAGGTTGGGTCGCAGGTCTTTAAACAAGTCTTAATGTCATTAGCCAAAATGTCTTGCTATGCAAAAAAAAATAATAATAAACACAAAGTACCGAAGCAATCTTGGTTTCTATCCAATTTTTTTCTTGTTTGGTGTCAGTGTCAAAGCAATTAGCAACAAGTTGCGATTTCTAAGCAGCAACAGATTGGATCACTCCAACTAGGCACAGATCGAAGATATACATACTATAAATGTATATAATTCAAGATTAACACTCACTTGTCGCCACACACAGCGTCACAGCAATGGCACAAAAAAAGAACTTCATTTTGGACTTGGTGGCTGATCCCGGTGGCAAAAACCAAAAAAAATATACACAACAAGGTAGTCGGAGACGATCCTGGAGAGCTGGGTGCTGGGAACTCTTAGTACTGGGCCTGTGAGCAACTCTGATCGCGACCCAAGCGTTGCGATGGTTAAACTAAACTAACAACGGAACGCCAAAGAGGCGCACTTTTCAAGACTTTTTGCCGGCTCCGGATCGACGTCGACGCCGCCGCCAACAGCGGCAGAGCGATGGCAATGGGAGGGGCACTACCACTACCGTCATTACCTTCTCCCCGATCACAGCTGGAGCTGTAGCCAGAGCTTGGGGACTGGAACTGGGACTGAAACTGAGACTGAGACTGGGACGGAAGTCTCTCTGGGCGCAGGCGACCAAGAAAGGCGTGCTTGAGCTCAAGCGAAGATGTAATGGCACTTACCAAAAAATAAATAAATATAAAGCAAGAGGGTAGCACATCAGAGCCGGAAAACCATCAGAGGGATACTCTTTCTTCTAAAAAGGAACATCACAAGGGGGATTTTAAGTTCGCCATAAATAAATCTAGAGCCTCAGGAAAATCCTCTTGAAAACGATCTCTGAGACTTCTGTTCAACATTTTTCATAGATTTTATTTATTACATATAGTTAAAGTTATGCAAATATTAAGATCCAAAGAAGTTTCAAAAAGACAATAAATAATAGCGAACAAATCCATTAGTAAGTAATATTTAACAAGGGAAACAAATGATATTTAAAGTTCTGTAACTGATGTTGAACATTGCCTTTTCCTTGCATCTAAACCTTTCGGAGTAAGCCTGTGTTAAGATAAGCTTATCCAGTGTTTAGCAGTATCCTGCCTAGTTAGGGTATTACCGGGTATCAGTGTGTCGATGTGGCCGAAAAAGTGACACCGAAGCAACAAAATGAACATAACAAATTCATATGCGGCAACGGTCCCCGGGGCTGATTGTGAGTGGGTTTGAGAGTTGATTTTGGTGGCTCATTCGAGTTGATGGGCCGCATGCAAATGACTTTTTACACCGTTTAAAAGCCAGCACATACAACAGACCATACAAAATTAAGAAATTAAAAAGGGACACATCCACTGATACAGATGCAAGCAGGCAAAGCAAGGACGAGAGAGGTGCAGCTTTGAAGAGGACAAAGTGTCTTTTATGGATGAAGCAAAAAAGTGAATTACATTTCAACTTACAGGTTTTTAGGTTTAAAAATATATAAGAACCTTATTTTTAATGTCAAATATTTTTTTAAAATCCACTTCATATTTAGAAAACACAAAACCAGGCTAGGATATTGTATTGTTTAAGGAACCTACTCCTCCTGCAGAAACAATTCTTATGGCGCTCATCCTATAGAACAACTACTCCATCATTCGTGTAAGTAATAGCTGACTGAGAAAAATCTGTGTCACATCCCTATGGGGGAAGCAAAATAGCAGGGTAATGCCGGTAATATATGTACATAATATATGCATAAATATGCTAAACATACCACGCAATGGCTCAAAAGCCGCTGTCCTTGGGGGATGCGATCCGAGCTCCAACTGGCGAGTCGCAAGATGCGGCAAAACCAGACCAGGTCTGAAAACTAGTTTAGGTAACTAATTAAAATGAGACACTTTTACTCTCGTCTCGGGGTGGTTCTTGGAAGCTTAGAAATCTGAAATTCAATTGGCAAATTAATTTGTAAACTAAACACGATTAAATCCCAATGAGCAGCGTGCGAGTATGCGACTGGTTTGGATTTGGTTTGCAATTAGCGAAAGAAAACAAATAAAAAATAAAATTCAAAATAATAAGAAAAACGCCGCTCATCGGTTTGGCAAGATGTCGGTTGGTTGGTTCGTTGGTTGCCGATTTATCAGCCTGGAGCCAAAGCAGTTAAAGATTTGGCAATTCAAGGTTTTTACTGCAACATGGAATCGAATGGGATCGGATCCAGTCCGGTTTATCACTGCGGTTACGACATGGAGATGGAGGTCCGAAAGAGAGTCTCCATATCTGCATTGGATATATGTATATTCGATTCCATTCCATTCCAGTTTATAGGTCATCAAATTTTGGCTTTTAAATGCAGATGCACCCAGGCCAAACCAAAAATAAACCTCGAAGAGATCGATCGGAGACGTTGCAAGCATTTCTTTAGATGTTTTTTGGGGTCGGGTCAGAAAAGCAATTAACAGGTAATTGCGAACGTTAAAAAAGCAAAGACTTAATATGCCCACGTACACACAAACACACCCAAAGTTAAGTGCAGCAACAGCTGGTGGCATTGGTGGCATAAATTATAGAAAACAAATCATTAAATTGCGCATTCTCATCAAGCTTTCTATTTCCACGACGACGGGTTCTAGAGATTTCACTTGCCGGTAAGCATGCACTGCATACCAAAATGAGTTAACCAAGATCACTAATACCAACTAGATTAGATTGTTATTATAAAATTAACAAAAACAAGAAAATAAACTAGCTTCGGGGAGCCAAAGTTTGTATACCTTTGCAGTTAGTCATAGAATCATGGGTTCGAATGTATTATAGATCATAAGCAAGCCAAAGATGCATTTATCTTAAATTGGAAAACTTATCTGTGTTGGATTTTATAAGAATACCAGCATATTGGACTTTAATATTTAAGAAATTACAAATTTTAGGAATTTTCCAAAATTTCATTGCTCAGGTGATATGTTTGGGGTCGAAGGGTAATCAATATCACAATAGATGTAAACACCAGGGAGGCCACGGTCAGAATGAGGTCAGGGCAACGTTAGTGCCTGTATTTATACTATTCAAGTAAAGAGAATAGAGAAAGTGAGATCGATAGAGAAAGAGCTACCTCTAGAGTTAGGCAGAGAAATATTGAGAGAAAGTAGTGCCTCTAGAGATTCTCAGAGAGAGAGGTGGAGCATAAAAGACGCAGGAAGAAGGAAATAAATAGAGATGTTGAGCTAGAGCTATAGAGAGAGACAGAGAAAGAGAGGGAGAGAAAGCTATAATATATTATTATAGAAGCGGAGCACAGTTTTTGCATTTTCCTCTACATTTAATGTTTTTATGGCAGCTATGTGATATAAATACAAAGAGAGAGATTATATATAATTTATAGGGTCGGAAATGACAAGCCAATTATTTAAAGTGAATTTTTAGCTTTTAAAGTATTTTCGTAGAATGCTGTTACATTTATTTAAAATGTAACTGCTAACAATAGTTAACAGTGTTCTGTTAAGCTTAACAGTGCTGCCAGATTGTTCGTTTTCTTAGAGATGAGAGCCCTACAGTTGAGCTATCGCAGTCAGGCCAGCTGTTATCTGTTATCTCCAGGAATCAAAGAAAAATCCCAATTTGGAAAGTGTCTCTCCATGCGAGCTACATAGTTTTCAGAATTGACATCTTCCAATCGTTTGGATATTATTCACCTTTAACTCCAGGCGGGGCACCTTGACGTTTGTGGTAGCCGTGACAATAGATGTGACTGGTAACTGGTAAGCTGGGCAAAGTTCCATCTCTAGCTCTCGGCCATAGTCAAAACATTAAAGTCGCATTTTTACAAAGTTGAAAAATGTTAAATTAAGTACTTACTCAGAAGTAGAACAACGTGAAAAAAACGGCCTGAGGTGGGTAGTGGCTGGTTTTAGTTAAATACCACCATACTGAAGGCTGGGCGGACCTGAAAACGTTAAAAAACGAACGTGAAAAGTTGCCCTTAGGCGTCAGCAGGCGCATCCAATTTATTGATTTTTTTTCGCGAAGAAAGCAAGGTGCGCGTACAGATGTTCTGATTAGAGAGATTGCAAATTAATATGTATTCGTAAAGTGTGCTTTTGCAGTTGCGAATCCCAGTTGGTGTCGCTGTGGAATAAGCCCACTCACACACGCTTTCTTCGCACTTGGCCAGGCCAGTTGGTGACATCATCAGAGCCAACATTATTCACGCTCCCTTTCCTTGCAGCGAGTTTTACCCATATCCACCCGCAGTTCCAGTTCAGCTCTAGACCAGCTCCAGTTCCGCACCAGCAAAACCCGTACACATCCAAGTCCTAAGCAGTCACCGAAATGGATCGTAAGGCTGAGCTGGAACGGAAGAAGGCCAAGCTGGCCGCTTTGCGCGAGGAGAAGGATCGAAGGCGGCGCGAGAAGGAGATCAAGGACATGGAGGAAGCGGCTGGTCGAATCGGCGGCGGTGCTGGCATCGATAAGGATCAGCGGAAGTGGGTTAACTTTATATATTGTCTTTTCATTGAAACTCACCTTGACTCTGTTGGCTTTTCAGGGATCTCGACGAGATGCTGTCGTCGCTGGGCGTGGCTCCCGTATCAGAAGTGCTCTCCTCCCTGTCCTCCGTCAACTCAATGACGTCGGACAACTCCAACACACAGACCCCCGATGCTAGCTTGCAGGCTACCGTTAATGGGCAAAGGTGAGCAATACTCGAATATAAGCCATTTGAGTCATTTGAGCTTATTGAAATAAAACCATACAGCTGTCAGAGTCGCAATACCTTAAGATAGCAGTGAAAATTTACTAAAGTAACACAAAACCAAATAGTTTCAATGAAATTACTTTTGACTCTGAACTCGAGACTATTTTATCCGATATTGATCCTAATTTCCTCTCCTATAGCGGCTCCAAGAAACAGCCCCTCAACCTGAGTGTCTACAATGTGCAGGCAACGAACATTCCACCAAAGGAGACGCTGGTTTACACGAAACAGACACAGACTACTAGTACCGGCGGACACGAACGTGATGGTGCGTATTGTCAACGGGGAGGGGAGCTTGGGTCTATATATCTACCACTGTCCATAGTTTGATTCCATCTTTCGCTACTGTTGCTGTTCTTGGTCTCGTTGTTGACTGTGTTTGGCTTCCCTGCGTCCCCGTCCATCTGGCGGAAGATCTACCTCTCTCTTTTACTCTCTATCCACCTATATATATCTCCTCCGAGTTGTCCCGTTCTGTCTGGCGCTAGTTGAAAATGCTGCATGCTGCCCTTACCCTGATTCCGGTTCCGGTTGCGCGCTTTTCCCTCCTCCATTAAACCCCATATCCTTCGCCTAGCCTCTTCCCAGCAGAGAAAAACAAAACAAAGAAAAAGAAAAGCATAATCCATAGTGAAATAAAATAACAAATACAGTTCTTTCTTGCCACTCCTCGCCTCTGTCAGGATATATGGAGGACTGGTGGCGTCCACGTAAAGGTACTAATCTTAATTTTAAGCAAACTCCACACCTAATCAGATCAGCACAATTGATATGGTAAAAAAAAGAAACCTAGACTGAAAAATATATGTGACACGCATAGAGAGAGCCATGTGCAACGTTTATACGATCTCCAATACGAACCGTATAAACGTGGTAGACTTGGTGCCCAAATTATGACAGTCCCACTGCATTTTTTTTGTTGCTTCAACTCGATGCTGTTACTTGTCGTTTTTGTAAACGTAATCACATCATCTTAAGACAGCTTCCCCTTACTTTGCTTTCTTCGCCTTATTTGTTTTTTCTGCAAGTGCTGCCAATTGAAACCTAAATTCCATTCATATAAAATATTTTGTTTCGAATACAATTAAAAATGTCTTCTAATTTTTTGGTGTCAATAAGTCCTATAGGTTTATATTTTATTTATTCATATTATAACGTATTTTGTTTAATTAAATAAATATGTACCACTTTGTTCAAAAGAAGGTTCTTGGTAGCACTTCCCTTATCGTTCGTTTTTTTGTACGATCCATTTATGCTGCAGTTCTCTCCACTCATCCACTGCATATTATCCACTATATCCCAGTCCAGCATCCATCCATCCATCGATCATTAGCGTTTACACCGTTTGTGAGCATTTAATAATTTGTCTATTTACTTTCTCTCTCTCCCCCCTTATCTGTTTTTGGCACGCACGCAAAAAAACTGCAGCTCATGCTACGGATTATTATGGTGAGTAGTCCTTGTTGTATGCGTTACCTTCTACCTAGAACTTTTCAGCCTTCGTAGCGGTCTGTGTATGGCACCCGTAAAGCGTATCGTATAACTTTACCCGTAATATTTGTAGCCCGTAAACCTGTATTTATCCCAGCTCTATTTATATATATATATTTATCTGTATTAAGTATTCGTACCTGTACATGTGTAGTTCTGATCTATCTCTTCCACACAACTACTCTCCCCTTGATAAACGTAGTTTCTTTTTGACTTTCTGACTTGTATGATTTATATAGTGTATGCCTGATATTGCTATCCAATGTATAGATACATCTATGTTTATGTCTTAGCTTCTTGTAGCTGCTTCTTCGATCTTCGTTTCCAATTCGATCGTTTATTATTTTGTTCCGCAATCCGGATTTTATATATATATATATATAACTGCATATATATATATGCATATATATGAATATGTATGTACAGTTTATATGATTTTAAAAACAACTGATTTGTTTCAATTAGCTCTAGAACCACATCGCAACAGATATTCAGTTTGCATCAAATCGTCATACATACTTTTTGTGTATGAAGCGATTATATCGAAATGAAAAAAAAATCAACAAAAAATTGTTAATCTCCACCCAATTTATAAGTTCTTAATTCGTTTAAGTATCGTAGTTTTCATATTCGTTTTAAGTTTTAACCAGTTTTAATTTAAACCTTTTTTTTATTAAAATATTTTTACGATTTTTGTGCTTCCATATGAAGGTTATATGTATTCAAGAGTTATAATTTTAGAAGAAGCCGTATCTTATCTTCAGTTTTATCGATTTTAGCATAATCGAATTTTAGAATGAATATTTTTAGTCGATTATTTTTTAGAAAAGTTATATATTTTAAGTCTATGATAACCTATAAGAATCGATCACGAACACACAAACATACACACACACAATCACACAGCGAAACTGCATGTGAAAGCACAGAATCGAGAGTCTATATATGTATATCTATGAATACGTACGTATGATTAATTAACCGATATCGTTGAAGCTGTATGATAAAAACTTTTAATCTCCTCCCCTCGCAACATTTTGTGTTCCCATTAAATAAGCCAGGCTTGAGTGCTAATAGTACTTATACATACATACAAACATTTATCCTATATATATACAACATATATTCGTATGTGACCCATATGTGATCATTTCGCAAAAACAAGCCACAAAAAAGAACAGTTTAAAAAAGCACACTAAAAGCATTTTACACTTTTTACCTTATCGTTATAACGTATGCATTTAGTTAAAAAATAATTTGAGTATCGATCTTTGGATCGATATATCGATTTTTATATGGGGTATGCTAATGCCATACTCTTTCCGTTTTGATTTTGATTTGAAATCACAAAACAAGAAAAACTACCAACAATGTATGTACAATATATTTATTTCTTTATATTTCTTCAAGATGAATACAATCTTAATCCGGGTTTAGAGTGGGAGGATGAATTCACAGGTAGGTACAGGCCAGACGCCGCCCCATCGAAATATTGAACAGTGATGAAGGAATCGACATGAAGCAAAATAGGAACATTCCAATTCTCACTTGGCAAGCGAAGCGATATTGAAATCGAATATACATATCTAAAAAAAACAGCACAGAAAATGCGATAAAGAAAATCGATTCTTCGAGATGTCAATGCTGGAAAAATTAATTGAATTTGAAGAACTACACACATTTGCGCTCTCACAACACTATTCTAACGGACCCGTCTCGCTTTCTATCCCTTCTTCATCTATGCTTGTGTACAGCTTTCCTTGCATGATAACTATTGCTCCAGCTCCTGATCCTGATCCTGTTTCTGCTCCTGTTCCTACCACCCCCTACCTCTGTCCCACCCCTGACCACCTGTGTGTGCCGTGTTGCTAACTCCAAATCACTCATCTTAAACTCTGGATATTATAACTTTGTCCTAACCACTAACTCCTCTCACGCAACAAACAACAACCAACAACATTAATAGCAGCAGCAACAACAGCGCAGCAGCGACAGGGACAGAGACAGGGATGCGCTAGGCTTGCTTCAGATCAGGATGGCCATGTTGTTCTAGCCACCCACACTCACCCCATCACTTCCGCACACCCACTCGGCAGCGAGCGATGATGTTTGGCTTCGGCTCTCTCTCACCCTCTCTCCCGCAGCTCTCTCGATCCTCGGTCCTCTTTTTTAATTACAATTACAGCACTGTAACAGACTCGATCAATCGGCCGTTAACTTTACAATGTTAAATATATGTGTAATATATTTTTAGCATACAACTAAATAATTTTAAGTGCAAGCAATTATAAAATGGGTGGAGAAAGAAATCAAAATGATAATGAAACAAACGATGTGGTGTATAATAGCAATAACGTTGATAGAGTTAATTTAAACAGATACCGATCTTAACCGATGCAAGGAAATTGTAAATTTTTTTATTTCTGTAATTGGCTTTGTGTATTAACTAGGTGAAGTAAAAAAACAACCAACCAAAAGCAAACACATACATATGTACTCACCTGTCTATGCCCACTGAACTGTATATATCAATAACAAACAACAGTCTGATATATGCACCTGTGTGCGTGCGTTTTTAACAGCCATGCACCTGCCGCCACATCTCTATCCTTCTATCTCTCTCTCTCTCTCACTATGTCTTACGCACGCGCGCACACACGCATTTGTGATCAACCCACCGCCCACTTTCACGCACGCACACCCACTCAAACAGGATGCCAAAGAAGACAAAGATGGCAAGTGCCATGATGCAACTATTTAAGGTGAACTCCGATTTCTTTTTCCTTTAAAAGCGGAGACAGGTACCTGCAAAGGTTGCTAAGACTACCTTAGGTAGCTGCATCATGGCAACCGAAAAGAAAGGCGACCTCCGTATGCAGCATTCCCATCACTTTCTCCCACTCTCTTTCGCGATCCCTTCCTACCCCTCTCACTCACACGCGAAGCTTCACATTCCCCCCAAAGTCACCCAAAAGCATAACCTAACCCAAAACCAAACTGAATCCCGTCTCAGCAAACCCCAAAAAAGAAAAAACAAAGCCAAAGGTCACAGAAATTTGCAGTTTCAAGTCAAACTAAAATGCAGACGAAGAAGAACGCAAAATGCAAAATATCAAAACGAATCGAAAAGAAATGAACTTAAATTAATGAAGAGCCGAAAAAAAAGTAGAATTGTTCCTGTTCTGTCGATTGTCATGTTCCTCTAGCTGTGTTAGTTTTATACCTTAAACAGTGCTTGCATTTGATGCCCAAGGAGATGACGAAGAGAGCTCGCTGCCACATCTGGACAATGGATTCACTTCCAAGTTGCCCCCGGGTTATCTCACCCATGGCCTGCCCACCGTCAAGGACGTGGCTCCGGCCATTACGCCGCTCGAGATCAAGAAAGAGACTGAGGCGAAGAAGGAGGGTAAGTATATTTAATTTCCAATTTAAATTCTCTAATTAACTTGCTCGTTTTCTTCAGTCAAGGAGCTATCCGAGGAGCAGAAGCAGATGATCATCCTATCGGAGGACTTCCAGCGGTTTGTGGTGCGCGCCGGTCGCGTCATCGAGCGAGCCCTTTCGGAGAACGTGGACATCTACACGGACTACATTGGTGGGGGCGACAACGAGGAATCTAGTGACGAGCGATCGCATGCACGACTCTCGCTGAACCGGGTCTTTTACGAGGAGCGCTGGTCGAAGAACCGCTGCATTACCAGCATGGATTGGTCTACGCACTTCCCGGAGCTAGTGGTGGCTTCGTATCACAACAATGAGGAGAGCCCCAATGAGCCCGATGGCGTCGTCATGGTGTGGAATACAAAGTTCAAAAAGACCACGCCCGAGGACATCTTTCACTGCCAGAGCGCGGTGATGTCAACCTGCTTTGCCAAGTTCAATCCCAACCTAATCCTCGGCGGCACCTACTCTGGTCAAATTGTGCTGTGGGACAACCGTGTGCAGAAGCGCACTCCCATTCAGCGCACGCCCCTAAGTGCTGCGGCTCACACGCATCCCGTATACTGTCTCCAAATGGTTGGCACCCAGAATGCGCACAACGTCATCTCCATATCCTCGGACGGAAAGTTGTGCTCTTGGTCTCTAGACATGTTGTCGCAGCCGCAGGACACGCTCGAGCTGCAGCAGCGCCAGTCGAAGGCCATCGCCATCACGTCCATGGCATTCCCTGCTAACGAGATTAACTCGTTGGTGATGGGCAGCGAGGATGGATACGTCTACTCTGCCTCGCGCCATGGTCTTCGGTCCGGTGTCAACGAGGTGTACGAACGGCATTTGGGCCCCATTACCGGCATTTCCACACACTACAACCAACTCTCGCCGGACTTTGGCCACCTCTTCCTGACCTCGTCGATCGACTGGACCATCAAGCTTTGGTCGCTTAAGGTATTTTAGACTTAACATAGATCTTTCTCACACACTGATCCATACATTTATTGTCTATTTTAGGACACAAAGCCGCTGTATTCTTTCGAAGATAATTCGGACTATGTAATGGACGTGGCTTGGTCACCAGTGCATCCAGCACTTTTTGCCGCCGTTGACGGCAGCGGTCGTCTGGATCTGTGGAACCTCAACCAGGACACCGAGGTGCCAACAGCTTCTATCGTTGTGGCAGGAGCACCAGCTCTAAATAGAGTCTCATGGACACCCTCCGGTCTGCATGTGTGCATCGGCGACGAGGCCGGCAAGCTGTACGTGTACGACGTGGCCGAAAATCTGGCTCAACCTTCACGGGACGAATGGTCTCGGTTCAACTCGCATCTGAATGAGATCAAGCTTAACCAGAGCGACGAAGTCTAAGACGATAGCAGTTGTAGTAGTCGCGAGATGAATCCCACAGGGTGATGATGAGTCCTTGAATGAAATTTAAATTGTATTTTTTTTTGTGATCCCCACTACTCCATAGCGCTGTGTATAGACCAGACAAACCCACGCTCATCCGCAGTCCAAATGCTCAGCATGCTCGATTGATCACTTCCTCGTCCGTAATCCGCAATTCTTAATCCTCAATCCCCTCTATCAAGTAACTGAAGTAAATGTATTAGAATGTTCATCCAATGAAACGGAATTTAGATATTTATAAAGAGACCGATTTGATATGAGCAGTGGTTATAATTGATGCTTGATTGGTATTTTTTTTAGCTTAATATTTATTAGATATTTGTTCCGTTCTTTTCATCATGATCTACCAAATGGTTTCTTCTCTTTTTATTTGATTTCTGTAACTAAAAAGAATCAAGAAACAACGTTTGTAGGCACACAGCGGAGCACATAAATAAATTAACTACATATTAAATACATATATACAACAATAAATTAAGCTTGAACCTGAGAAGAGGAAAGACAGAGAGATAAAAAGAGGGGGCTAGGACAGAAGAAGGAAGACACTTAAAAGAAAGCCCAAAGTTGTAAATGTATTAGAGCGAAGCCTATTTAACGAGATTAAATAAAGATAATATCTATATACACAAATGTCTTACAATTTATTTTTATTATCTGCCTATGCAGTGCTCTTGAATTATTCACGAAAGCTATTTCGGCTTCCTATGACGACCAGTCGTCAGTCATCTTATGAGTGTCGTTAACATTGTATATCATCCGATCTCCGTAAGTGGCTTGGCTTTAATTAATAAATTCCAAGCCAGTGCCCAGAGTGATTCAGTGAGTGTGGAATGCCAAGCCAAGTGCATTAGAAGCTGAATTAAAAGCTTGGGGCGAAAGTCGCGCTCGCAAAAAGCTTCTAGAACCGGTGCCTCCGGAGAACGTGAGACGATGTGGAGAGGAGCAGAGCAGAGAGACCAAACCCGAACCCACTGCACCGTCACCGACACCGTCACTACCTCTCATCATCGGTATTCGTACCATTCCCCGAGAGCGAGCGGAGACGACAAGACGCGTGTTGTGAACTAGAAACCTAGGGAACTCAGGAAAAACGCTGATTTTTGCGAATTTTAGTGACCCCAAATAGAAACCTCCATCAAATAGAAGTACCCCGATACTTATTCTCCAGCCAAGCTATGGACTACAAGGTAAGTTATTGCGCCATAGGAAAGACAGAGCAGTGCACTTATTGATTTGCCACCGCGATGCGTCATCGTCATCCGCCAGCCCGTGCCCACGGTGACGAACGCCACCCCCTTTGATGCCGCCACCGACGCACAAACGCTGCGGGCAGCAATGAAGGGATTTGGAACCGACGAGCAGGAGATCATCGATGTGCTCGCTGGCAGGAGTAACCAGCAGCGCCAGATGATCCGTGCCGTGTACGATGCCGAGTTCGAGCGCGACATGGTGGAGGACCTTAAGAGCGAACTGGGCGGCAAGTTCGAGGATGTGATCGTTGGCCTGATGATGCCACCAGTGGAATATCTGTGCAAACAGCTGCATGCCGCCATGGCCGGCATGGGCACCGAGGAGGCCACACTCGTCGAGATCCTGTGCACCAAGAGTAACGAGGAGATGGCCCAGATTGTGGCTGCCTACGAGGAGCGGTACCAGCGCCCACTTGCCGAGCAGATGTGCAGCGAGACTTCCGGCTTCTTCCGCCGCCTCCTCACGCTGATCGTAACTGGTGTACGCGATGGGTTAAACACGCCCACGGATGCCAACGAGGCCAAGGAACAAGCCGCTCAGCTCTACGCTGCCGGCGAAGCCAAGCTGGGCACAGACGAGGAGGTCTTTAACCGGATAATGTCGCATGCCAGCTTCCCCCAGCTGCGACTCGTCTTTGAGGAGTACAAGGAGCTGTCCGGCCAGACCATTGAGCAGGCCATCAAGCATGAGATGTCCGACGAGCTGCACGAGGCCATGATGGCTATAGGTAAGCTCCATAATTTTGTTATCTGTAAGTTATCTACATAGTTTGCCTTTAGTGGAGTGCGTCCAGTCGCCGGCGGCCTTCTTCGCCAACCGTCTGTACAAGGCCATGAATGGAGCTGGCACCGATGACCCCACTCTCATTCGGATCATTGTCAGTCGCTCGGAGATCGACCTGGAGACCATCAAGCAGGAGTTTGAGCGCATATATAACCGTACGCTGCACAGCGCCGTGGTGGTAAGTAGATCTCGCGAGAATCGAGAATCGAGAATAATTTGCACTTGGCTAATGTATCGCTTTCAATTCCTCTTTACCCTATTATTCCGTATTTGTTCCGGTGTTTGTGTTGTCCTAGGACGTAAGTATTGGTCACGGCATTGTTGGTGAAACGGTTGCAAATTCCCAAATTCCTGTTTGGCCTGTTTACACTATTTCTATTTCTTTCAAATTCCTGGGTCTTCCTTTGGCCAACTTAAAACCAGGTCACTCACTAACATCTAAGTTGTTGTTCCAAATTTAAGTAGCTGTAATGTAGTGTAAATAGGGCATTCAATTAGACCATCTCTCAACGCAACTAAACACGTTCTTTCGTTTTTTTTTTTTGCAGGCCGAGACCTCCGGCGACTACAAGCGGGCCCTGACTGCACTACTTGGAACCGCCTAAGCGTGGCAGCTGGTCCGACACCTTATTATAATCGTATTCATAGCTGTTAATCGTAGTGTGCCTTGTAGGAGAATCGCTTTTAATGTCTGCGCATGCGCACAGTGGTGGCAATAAACAACCGCACTTAGCAAGAGTTCTTGGTTAATGGCAAAAAACTATGCTGTGGGATTTTGTGAATGCGCTGGAAGACGAAGATGAAGAGATCAAGACGAATATAAAGTTGAATCGCTTACGTTCTTCATCTTCGTCTTGGGAATACAATTTGGAAAACAGCCTTGGGCCTGAGAACCGGAGCTTGGCAATTGGTCCTGATAATATATGGAACTATTTAAAGTATAGCTTGTGCAATTCCTTGGATTTCACAGGCAGGTAGTTCTGCATCTCATCTGGGTTGGTCCAATAGACAGTATAAGCCAGGACCTCGGCCCAGGGCGCCTCCCTGTGAATGTACTCCTTTAAGATAAAGTCGTTTTCAATCTCGTGGTGAAACCGGGTGTCGTGCATCCGGATGAGCACGCCGTCCACGCGTAGGAAGTGGCGCAGAAGTATGAAGAAACCAGAGGGCATAACGCGCTGCCAGAAAAAGAAATAGTTTAATCTCTGGGTGTGGCCTGCATACTAGGGACTCTACTTACGATGCGCACACTCATTACCGATATACCGTGGTCATGCAGCTCATCTTCAAATAGGGTGAGATCGTGGTAGAAGATGATGTTCTCGCGCTGCATCAGCTTGGACTTGTTAATATTCTGGTCTGTGCTCTCGGTTCGCACTTTTTCGTTCATGGTGCCCTGATAAGTAGTTGTAAATGTCCAGTCAAAGGGCTTGAATTTCTCCTCCATGGTCTGCTCTGGGCTGTTGGCAAAAGGGAAATCCATTATTTAAACATCTAGAACAATTTAAGCTTATGACATAAACGCACCGTGTTTCGCGCCACTCTTGGGCGCAGGCCACTTCCAATGGCTGCTTGCCGTTGGCGACCATGGTCAGTGAGTCCATGGGCTTAAACTCAATCAGGGCGCCGTCCTTGTGCTTCAGCACCAACTTGTTTTTGTAAAACACCATGTCGGGCAGGTGGGGTAGCTCCAGTGAGTGCTGATAATGGCAGAGATCACAGCGGTTGGCGTCCTCCTTGGAGCAGCTCTGCCCAATGCCCAGCTTGCAGATACTCTTCAGGATGTGCGACTTCTCGTAGCTGATGTCCCAGTCGTGGAACGTTATCTGCTCGCTGCTAACCGGCAACCGGGCCACAACGGTCGGGCACTGCGGAAACGGAAATGTAATGTATGGCTTATGAGGATCCGCGGACCGATAATTACTTACATCGTCAGTCATGTTTTCGGCGGCCTGTTCCTGCACAAAATTTTAAGCGTAAAGCGTCTTTTAAAATGTCAACCTACTTAAAATGTTTGCACTTATCATCTGCAGTAGAGGTGGGACCGGACGAGTCACAATTGTATCGATATATCAAAAGCTTTAGGCAATCGATATGGGAAAATTTAGAGCTTTGGAAATTGGCAAAAGCGTAGAATGAAAAATGTTTTAAAATAGTTTTCTTTTTATCAAAACAGTATATAATTTGCCAAAATTCTGAAAAATTAATATTTAGAAAATCATCGACTATTCAAAATAATTTTTTGAATATATGGTAACTTTGTTATCGAATGCTTATCGCATTTTCAACGTATTGATAATGCGCGCTTTTAAATCAAATCCAATTTATCCAAATAATTATTATGTCTCAGTTTGAATCACGTCATATTCAAAAATAGTTTAGTCCCACTTTATTTAGGTAAGTTCCTAAATCTTTATTCAGTTTATTTACTGACAATTTTAACACATATAACAGGTGCAAGTCCGATTCTTCTAGTATCCCCCAGCAGTCTGGCAGCCCCATTAGCACTTGTGTTTATTCCGTGTCGTTGTTATTGTTTTTATCAGTTCCTTGGTTCCCTTGTGTGAAAAATTTACCGATCTTGAGCGGCAAGCCAAGGATACGGAACCTCGATGAATTCCCTAAGGCGCTTGGAGCGCCTTGCCTCTGCGAGCATGCTTCGCCGCTCCACCGGGATATCAGCGTACCTGCGTCCGCGCCTGTGCAGGACGAATGCCACGAGCTCCGGAAGCAGCTCCACCGGCAAGCCCACCGTGAGTGCTGCAGAGGTGCGCAGCGTGGCGAATATCCTGCGCCAGCAGACGGGCAGCCTGGGCCAGCCAACCAGCATCTCACATCCGCATCTAATCCGGCCGGACGAACTAGTGTCAGGCGTGGAGCTGGACGAGATGAAGGATAGGCGGGAGCAATTGATGCAAAACATCCGCGCCTACGCCCGCAGCTTCGGCAGCGAGTTCAACGGCCACAGTAGCAGTTGTCACATGGTACGTACCTAACGTGCATATCCAGCAAGGTTCTAACGTCAATCTTTGCTACCAACAGTTCGTTTTGGGCGCCGCCTCTAAGAAGTACATGAGTGGAAAGATCCCTTATGTCTTCCGACAAAACTCGGACTTCTACTATCTGACAGGCTGCCTGGAGCCGGATGCCGTGCTGTTGCTAGTCATCGATGAGACCCAAAACGTGCACTCTGAGCTTTTCATGCGCCCCAAGGATCCGCATGCCGAGCTCTGGGACGGTCCGCGTACCGGCCCCGAACTAGCCGTGCCGCTCTTCGGTGTGACGGAAGCCCATCCGCTGGACCAGCTGGAAAATGTGCTGGCCAAGAGGGCCGCTGACCTCAAGCCACATCTCTGGTTCGACCACAAGAGCTCCGACCTACCACTTTTAGTGGAGAACATGCTGCGAGTGAGCAGCACAGAGCAGCGCCCACTCTTGCCCGCCTATACCTTCCTGGAGGCCATGCGGCTGCTCAAGTCGCCCGCAGAGATGAGGCTTATGCGGCGCACCTGCGACATAGCAGCTCGATCCTTCAACGAGGTGATGGCTGAATCACGGCCGGGACAATCGGAGCACCACCTGTTTGCTGCCATTGACTTCAAGTGTCGCATGCGCGATGCCAGCTACCTGGCCTATCCGCCTGTGGTGGCCGCCGGGCGCAATGCCACCGTAATCCACTACGTAAGCAACAGCCAACTGCTGCAGCCACAGGATCTGGTTCTAATGGATGCCGGCTGCGAGTATGGCGGCTACACCAGCGACATAACGCGTACATGGCCAGCCAGTGGAGAGTTCACAGATCCACAGCGTACGCTTTACGAAATGCTGCACCAGCTGCAGGCCGATATTATTGGCACGGTGATGAAGCCCGGCGGCGAGACCCTGGACCAACTGTTCGAAACCACATGCTACAAGTTGGGCAAGTACCTGCAGGAGATCGGTCTGGTGTCCAAATCGGTGAGCGACTACAAGGAGCTGGCTGGCCAGGGCTACCGTTTCTGTCCACACCACGTCTCCCACTATCTGGGAATGGACGTTCACGACACGCCGCATGTACCGCGCAACACGCGCATTGTGGCCGGCATGGTGTTCACTGTGGAGCCGGGAATTTACATTGGACAGGATTGCGGCGATGTGCCGCCAGAGTTTCGCGGTATCGGCATCCGCATCGAGGACGATCTGTTGATAAACGACCGTGGCCAAGTAGAGGTTCTCACCGACGTCTGCGTTAAGGATCCGCGCGCCCTGGAGGAGCTGTGCAAGCGTGACCAAACGGAGCCTGCTGCCTCAAATTTGTTGTGAGGTGTTCCTTTGTTCATTATAAAATTCCTAGTCATGCGCATTCATCCTCTGCAAGCATCTGCGGATCCTGTCTTAAAGTTGGCTCGTTTATTAATAGCAAATACATTGAATGATTTTATTTCTGGAAGCCAGATCACAGCTTGGCGAATACGGGCTTCTCGTCCTTGGTCAACTGGGCAGCCACAGCCTGGGCAAAGTCCTCCGACTGCAGGTTCAGTTTGTTAAGCAGGCGCTGAAGTGGAAGAAGAGTTTGTTAGAACAGATATCACATCCTCTGGCGACTCAGAATGACATACAATGTGATCCAGTCCCTCTTGATTGGTGTGCTCTAGCGAATATACCATATTCTCCTTGGTCGTTCGCACGGCAATCGGGCTCTTGCTGGCAATGGTCTCAGCGAGAGCAACGGCCCCGCTCAACAGGGATTCCTTATCGGGGAAGACACGGCTAACCAGTCCAGAGGCGTGCGCCTCGGCTGCCTCAAAGCGACGGCCGGTGTAGCAGAGCTCGCGGGCCAGCGATTGGCTACCCACCGCCTTGGGCAGTCGCTGCAACGTGCCCACATCGGCGGCCATGCCGATTTCTACCTCGGTGACCTGGAAAAAGGCGTCCTCGGTGCAGTAGCGAATGTCCGAGGCAGTAATCAGGTCTACGCCTGCACCGATACATGCTTTGTGCACGGCTGTGATGACGGGCTTGGGGCAGCGCTCCAGGCTGCTCATTGAGTCCTGGTACAGCTGGATCATGCGCTCCAAGATGACGCCTTTGCGACCAACATCATCGACTTCAGCCAGTTGCATGCCCACACCCATCATGTCGTTGAGATCGATACCGGCGGTAAAGTGCTTGCCGGCGGCGGATACCACGATTGCCCGACAATCTGGATTGATGGCCAGCCCCTCAAAGCAGTCCTTGATCTCTCTGGGAAAAACATAGTGGTTAGGGACTACAACCAGGCTGGGGATACGGCGGAAACACATACAGCCACATTTGCTTGTTGATGGCATTAAACTTGGTGGGCCTGTGAAGCTCGACATGGAAGACGAACGGCTTGGGTGAGCTGACGGCCAGCGTCTTGAACTGGCCAGAGTGTCCTGGCTCCGCGTGGGCTGTCATGTTCCGCTGGGGTTGCATCTGCACGGTGGCTGCACGAACTGTTGGCGGAAAAAAAAAGTTACTGATCCGAATAATTTCACGAAAGCCAAAGGTTCAACGGCATATAGTCGGACTTTGAACTGCGCCAGATCTTGGACCAGAGGGCGGGCGGTTTGTCCTATCGGTAGAGCGTCTACAGTTCGATGTTGACCCTTCACTACATACCGGCCGTGCTGGGAGCAAGTTTCATCAGCGAGCTCAGCCGAGAGAGAGACATATCTGTGTGTAAATTAGTTTTAAATTAAATCAACTTGTTGCGGCCGCGAAGATTGTTTTGTTTTTTTGTTTTTATCGATAAGTAGCAGTGTTGCCACCTTGCTGACGATTTCACTTAAATCAGTCTAGACATTCATTTATTTATATATTTCCAACATAATTAACTTTCTTAACCTTTTTTACTTGATCAAGGAACTAAGAAAAAAGTGTCAAGTGTTTTGACCCCTTTTATAGTCATAGATTTGTAGCCATTTCTAGCTATTTTGCAGAACGAAAGAAATCGAAATTTTGTATCTATTATCAATACATCGATTTAAGCGCGGGAAGACGCTCGGTCGAGCGGCGGCATCCAAGGTGGTCTCGAACATTTTGCGAATTTGTTTTGTTTATAGCGTCGTTTGAACCGACATGGAGCAACCGTGTGTGCTGTGCTGCAGCAAGGAAGATGACGAGTCGATCTTCGGCAAATTTCACAAGGAAGACGAGGTGGTGGTGCACAGCAACTGCTTGGTAAATTCTGCCCACAAATTTATGTGTATACAATAATGTTCTATAATATGCCCCTTCCCGCGAACAGTACTTGAGCTCGAATCTTGTTCAGAATGGAGACGATCGCAACGGCATCTTGCACTTCCTCAAAAAGGATATCATGATGGAGACGAGGCGCTGCCGCGTTCTCAGGTGCTTCTACTGCCAGCGCTTAGGCGCCAACATTGGCTGCTGCCGCAGTAGCTGCCGGCGCAGCTTCCACACCAAGTGCGGCTTCGAAAACTATGCGGTTAGCCAGTTTACCGGCAGCTTCAACTCATATTGCCACCAACACGTACCCAAGTACCGCTTTCGGCCGGGGCCCAAGGAGCAGTGCATGATCTGCTTTGATTCGCTGGTGGCCAAGGGCAAACGATTCAGTGTGGCAAGGGCACTGCAGTCACCGTGCTGTCGGAACGGCTGGTACCATCGCTATTGCCTTCAGATGTACGCCAACTCGGCGGGCTACTTTTTCAACTGTCCGCTATGCAAGAACGAGGACAAGTTTGGCGATGTGGCACTCTTCGGGATCTCGATACCAAATTGGTGGGTTCAGGCACTCAGGTGATCCAGTTCTTTCCTTAACTAACTAAATATTTCTTCTCCAGTGACGCCTCATGGGAATTAGAGCCCAATGCCTTTGCTGATCAGTTGCAGCGGGCTCAGCACTGCACGTCGCTCATGTGCCGTATACGTCCTACAAACAACAGAGGTAATGGGGACAACGATCTGCTCTACTGTATTATGTGCGGCTCCAATCCGATGCACACCCTTTGCACCTCAGAGACGGCATCAACGTATCGTTGTAACGATTGCATTGTTGTCAAACCCAGCGTCGCGTCAGGATCTGCTGAAAGCGATACAGAAGCCGATGTATTTGAGACCTTCATCGAGCGGCAGACGCACCGGCATCGGGCCCCCACCACAAGTGGACTCAACGGCACACGCAACCTCCGACACTCTAAGCTGGTGGCCTCCATGCGCATCTCTTCCGAAAGCGAAGATGACGACGAAGACGATTTCGACAAAGTTTGCGAGATGCTGAACCAGAGCCGCCAGCTGGCAGCTAAACCTGAACCGGAAACCTCCAGTTCCTCTGCCCAAGCTCCATCCGACAGACCCGTAACCCGGTGCTCCAGACGTACAATGCCTGCCACGGTCCCACATCAAAATGAAAATGGAATGGAAAAGGCGAAGAAACGTCGAGGATCGTCTAGATCCCCTATTGCTGGCCCGCAAAGCAGACGTTTATTGCAACCCATTTCCCCGCGAGCCACGGCTGCGCGCTCCAACGTATTTGTCGCTGAATCGACACGCCGCCGTACAATGCCTAGTTCTCGTGATTCAAGATATTCTACCCCCGAGCGTTTCAACATGGATGTGTCGTGTGTGGCCAACAGAACCCGGACCCGTTTGCCAACCTATTTGGCAAACAAGAAATAATATAGGCCTTAGATATTTACACCACTGAAGGAATTTTTGGTTTAAAGATCTCAAAAGAGTTTTTCCACTGCCCAAAATGTTCTACCAGTTGAACCATTTTCCAATTCAGATGATTTCCGAAGTAATTTGCAATTCGAAGCAAAGTATAATATAAGCTGCATTCATTTAGTTATTAAATAAGTTCCTTCCTTAAATTTTTTTCAAAAGAACGCTAGTGAATTGGCTTCTACAGCGGTGTGAAACCCCTTTATATGGATCGCAGTGCGAATCCTATTCTTTGCTTTATTTTCGGACTTGAGCTCCATAATTCTTTATTTATTATTTAAAATTACTATATTAAATTATGCGTTTTTTGTAAATACAAGAGAGGAACAAAGAGAGAGATAATTGAAGGCTTATAGACTTAAAGCTAGCCCTTTTAGCTTTGTATTATTTTGTTATATATATGAACATTCCTTTCGGCAGCAAATAAAAAAAAAAAACCTTACTATCCGAATTTCTGTTAAAAACTTATGTTAAGAATAACGATTGAAATTAGTACGACAATTTCAAGAACAATTCATAATGTATTAACGATGAAAATCGTAAACATGAAATAAATATGGTATTATTATTTGAGACAATATATATATTTCACAAACTAAATTTTATTTTTTTCATAATCTATATCTTATATAGAATATGTGGTTAAAGGGATTTTTCTTTACAAGATGTAATTAAAATATTATTCCAAAATTATTTTACCTAAAAATTAATAACTTGCTCAGTTTTTAAGATAACAACTTGAAACTTTAACGATTTTAATTTCGTAGTCATAGGAAGATACTGAACTAAAATTGTTCAGATCAGATCACTATATCCTATAGTTTCCATAGAAACAACCGTTTTACATTTCTATACCCTTGCAATGTATTATAATTTCAGTACGAAATTTGCAACGAAGTAATGGAGTCATTTTTGACTATATAAAGTATATATATTCTTGATCAGTATCAGCAGCCGAGTCGATATACCCATGTCCGTCTGTCTGTTTGTCCGCCTGTCCGTAGCTGCCATTGGGATGATTATAAAATTTAAAATAAAAAATATTATAACTTTGGCAATTTCCAATATATTTTTATTTAATTTAGTATATGGCTATTTTATATTATTTTATAATTTCGGTTTTAATTTTATGTAAATCGGTCGACTATATCATAAAGCTGTCATGGTAATAATCAGAAAATGTATAAAAAAGTAATATTACTTTTCTGTTTCTGAATATATTTGCATCTACTTTGGGATATAGCCAATATTTATTATTTTAAAATTTTAGTTTTATTTTTATGAAAATCGGATGAATATATAATACACCTGCCATAGAAGTTATCGGAAAATTAATAAAAACATCATATCATTTCGCTGTATTTTTAAATATTTTCATCTATAGCCACTTTTTATTATTCTAGAATTTTGGTTTTAATTATTTGCAAATCGGCAGAATATATTATATAGCTGCCATAGGAATAATCGATACATATAAAAAAAAATGTAAATGTGGAAATATCTGTAATTTTAATGAAATTTTTCGTTATTTCGTTATTTTTTAATAAATATTTATATATAGTTATATTGTATACAAATTTTTACCTTGCCCTATATTTATTTCATATGATTTTATAATAATTCGGTAAAATTAAGCAAAACTAAATTATTATATACTTTTTTGTATTGAATTACTCCTGTAAAATTGCTCTATTAATTTGAACAAAATAAATCGGGTTTTTAATGATTCAATTGCACATTGCAAGGGTAAACTAACTTCGGCTAGCCAAAGTTAGATTTCTTTCTTATTTCAGTGCCGAAGTACCCTGTAATTTTTGACAACATGACTAGCCCGTGACCCGAATATCGATAGATCTCGTGACAACGTGGCGATTATACGGTATTACCGCTGCCCACCCGTTTGGTCACACTGTACAAAAGGTTTTATTGTTTTACGTGTATTTGTGCGTTAGTAATAGTTTATCCAGAATATGAATTAAGGAGCGAGACGCAAACACTAGATGCCCAAGATCCGTTCCGAACCTTCCAGAGCACCAAGCACACTCTACAATTACAATTTCAGTGCTCCGGCAAGCCACAAAGCCGCTCCAACAAGATACGTTCAACAATCAGTCTGGCCCAGCGTCTCTGTGTGTGAGTGTGCGTGACAGAAAATTGCAAGGGAGGCGAACTTGGCAAAATCAAAATCGCTGCTGCCCCCAACCGGCTCCACTGTCGTAATCCGTGATCCGTAATCTCTGGCTGGACTTGCATCCGTGATCCCTCGTCGACAGCATTGTTGCCCAGAGCATGCTTGACGCCCACGAACCGAAAACTTGCTGATAAAAACGGCAAAGAAAAAGTGAAACAAAAGAAACGCAACGCAACAGCAGCACGGCCAAAAAAAGGAAGAGAATATATTTTAATCAAAGGAAATTAAATAACAAAGCGACGGCGGCAGCAACAACAATTACATAAATTAACACACAGCCAAGCCTCAGGCAAAAACAACACCAATAACAATAGCCAGCTTATCACGCAGCAGCAGCAGTAGCAACAGCAACAACACAGAAGCAGCAGCCAGAAAGAACAACAGTTTATCTCAAAGCCACAGCCGGCTACACGAGTGCAAGCGAGCAGGCAATACAGCGAGAGCGAGAGGCAAGGTGTCTGCGTGTGCTTGGTGGGTGTGAGTGTGGGAGCAGAAACAGCAAAAACACACACATTTTGTGGCAACATTTTTTTTTTTTACATTGTTAACAACAGTCGCAACTCGGAAAAATGGCACGCGGCTTCGATCATCTGTTTAAGCTGCTTATAATTGGCGACAGCGGTGAGTTGACTGACGTTGGCTTCCATTTCATTCAGTTTCCCAGGCTTTGGCTGGCCCATAATTCTCAGCAGATGCTTAAAAATAGCAGCCGCAGCCCCATGAGCATAAATATATACACCTCAGAGTGTGGTGTCCCCGATTCTGTGGCCGCTGCACTGCACCACCTGACCCGATGCAGTGAATCAGCTGAAAACCAGGCGATTCCGGTTAAGCTGTAGCTGCTCCCTTGGCTGGCTGCACATCTCAATGACTAATGGTGACGCATTGCCAGGATATGGGCTTTGTATTGCATCGGGTGGCCGGCCAGCCAGCCAGCTGCGGCTGTAACCCGAACTCCCACAGCAACATAGAGTAATTTAATCCTATATAATCAATCTATTGCCATTCAATCTATTCCCCTGCAGGCGTTGGCAAATCATCGCTGCTCATCCGATTCTCAGACGACACATTCTCGGGCAGTTACATAACCACCATTGGCGTTGACTTCAAGATCAGGACCGTGGACATTGATGGGTTACGCGTGAAGCTTCAGATTTGGGATACGGCTGGACAGGAGCGCTTCCGGACGATCACCAGCACCTATTATCGTGGCACCCATGGCGTTATTGTCGTCTACGATGTAACGAATGGCGAATCCTTTGCGAATGTGCGCCGCTGGCTGGAGGAGATACAAAACAACTGCGATGTGGTCAATAAAGTATTAGGTGAGCTTATTGGGAAGCTAGTTAGGATCTATTAATCGATTAATCTTTTTACCTCTTTACAGTGGGCAACAAGAACGATGATCCGGATAGGAAAGTGGTTATCTTCGAGGACGCACAGCGGTTCGCGAAGCAAATGGACATCGAGCTATACGAGACATCCGCCAAAGACAATATCAATGTAGACAACATGTTTCTGTCGATAACACGGCAGGTACTTCACCACAAGCTAAGAACCTCACCGAACGAACAGCAAAAGGACATAGTCAACTTGAGCACCACGAACAACCATCGCCGGAAGTGCTGTAGATGAAAGCGGCTTCGGGATGGGAAATGGCTTTGCAACTGGACCGACGGCGGCAGCAACGGTGGGACGGGTATGGAAAGCGGAACTAGAACCAGGACCTGGATAAAGTCTGGGAATCCTTGGGGGGCGGCAGTTCTCGTAATTTGTAAGATCTGATGTGGGTTATTGGCATATTATATGCCACACACACCCATATACACATACCACACACAGCCACGGCAACATTCACATCTAGACATAGTTAACACCAACCATAACTACAACATAACAACTGCGCCAGCAACAAAATTACCAGAAAACTAACAATTACAACAACTTCAGCGACACCATACAACAACAGATACACCAACACCATTCACCCCACTAGAGACAACAATTTTTTTTGTTTGTTTTGTTTTTATTCGGGATAATGCCAGAATAGCCGTAAAGAAAAGTGTAAAAGTGTAAAGCGCAATTAAATGTATTTAGCAATTTATATACCTATTAATATATACATAAACAAAAATCGAAACAAATCGCATATTTATATACAAGAATATATTTATATTTCAAAACGGAAAATTGTATTTACAATTAGAGAGAAAGAGCAAAAGAGAACGGCAGGGATTTCTCCTCGAAATCAAGAGTTATGAACATAACCAATATATATACCAATACAGACATACAAAGAATGTGACAAAAGGGCTATTCATACCACATACTCGGAGTGGTCTTTAATTTTTGATAAGATCACATAGCCTTGTTAAATTCGAAATGGATAAAATCTTAATTTTGATACAAATATTATTTATTGTGTACAATTGCACTTGGTTCATTTCGTGTTATAATTGGACTTCCTATGTACAGAATAAGCCAAGTTTCAGTGTTATTGGACAGTTGGACGGATTTGAGATGGACAGCACAGAGAACCTAAAACCTTATAATAACAAGATATATAATGACCACACATTTAAGTTGTGTCAGCCTTAAATGTGATTTCATATGTTATGGCGTTACTGATGTTGGTATTATAGGGTATTTTGCAAGAGCTCCCTAAAATGTAGTAACTAAGAGCTCTCTCCTGCACTGTCTTTCTGTTGAGTGAGTTACTTAATATTATTGTCATTCCTTTATCCTATGGTTTTTCCTAAATTTAACTAGCAAGTTTATTATATTGAGTTGTTGAAACGAAATAATTGAATTTCCCAAGAAAAATAAGACTGGAAACGATAAATGTTTTGCTAAATCAATTAATACAAATTGATATTGATCCCAAAATTTAATTAGTGGCGTCTTTTCAGAAGAAAAACTTTTTGTTGTTATTAAATAACAATTTTAAACAGCCAATGTATAAAATGTATATGCGCACAGTAAGCTCATTCATTATTTTGAGTATATCCAATTAATAAAAACCATTTAAGAGATGTAAAGCTATAACAGAATGTCTGTAACAAGTTTAAACACCAAAAATAATTACTTATTTCGCTCCAAGAGACATGGGAAAATAACTACACACAAGCAGTATACCAACCAGATTGAAAACTATATATTTATACATGTATGTAAATATATATGCATATATACATACGTATGTATTTATTTATCGATTGAAATAAAAATATTTAATTTCAATGATGGATTTACAATTTTCTTAGATTATAGCAAATACTGCTTATAAAATTTTGCCTTTACAAACCTCCCCTTGTTGAGGAGGAGATTAAAACTGCATATTTCGTATTATATTATTTAAAATAGTATTATATATATTTTTTTCAAAGTTTTTTTGAGCAGAATATCGAGGTTAATCAACGACTAGTAAGAGAAAGAGAGAAACATAAAAAGAGGGGAAGAGTCAAACATTGAAGGGAAATGACTGGGACTGGCAGGCAGTGCGGCAGCAGCGGCTCCTCCACTCTGCTCCAGCTCAGTGGTACTTGGCCACCGGGAAGGTGCGCGTCTGGCGGCAGGAGACAAGGGCGTCGCCCGATTGCCCGGCTGGACAGCGGCAGACAGCCAGATGAGCCTTGGGCTCACAGCTGGCACCCGTGGCACACTTGCCGATGCAGGGATCGATGCACTGGTAGTTGATGCAGGCCCGATGGTCGGGACATTCGTTGTTGCTCAGGCACTCACCCTGCGGAAAAAGATAAACAACTGGTTAGTGGATATACATTCTAAATATGTTAAATAATTTCTCTATTTCTAATAGAAACTCACCCGACTGCAGTGACTCAATGGGTTGCCGGTATGTCCGGGCAGGCAGTTGCATACGGGTCGCTCCCGTCCAGTGTTATCGTGGCCAGGCACACAGATGGCATTGGTGCCGCATGGATTGGGATCGCATAGGTCCTCCTTGGTAAAGGGTCGGCAGCGAACGAAGGGATCACCGGTCATGTCACGGGGACAGCTGCAAACGGGCGTCAAACCACGCAGATTACAGTCGGCACCAACACCGCAGGCACCTTCACAGGTATTCTTGCAAATGCCATAGAAGCAGGCGGGACGTCCTGCCGGGCAATCTGAGTCGCCATAACATTCTGGCCGACACTCGGTGTACGGGCTGCCAATATATCCCTTGGGGCACTCACAAACAGCCCGATGGTTAGCCACATTGCGGCAAGTGGCACCAGTACCACACTGCCCGCACGCGGGCACACACTTAAAGTTACTGCACATATCCCGGCTGCTGCAATCGCCATCGTACTCGCACTCATGTCGGCAACCGCTGAGCGGATTGCCCAGGTAGCCATGAACGCAGGAGCAGGTGGGCACACCGTTGATGATCTCGCACTTGGTGTTGACGCCACAGGGACTAGGATGGCACTGCTCCTCTGTGTTAAAGAAAGGATTAAAGATTCAGTTAGTATCATATTCCAAAACATAATTAGAGAGTTAAAAGTGTGTCTCCCAAGTAAAACCCATACTCAGCCATCATCTGACCAGAGTTTTAACCCTTTTAAAGCCTTTTAATGGTCAATCTTTACACCAAAGGGCTCCATTAATAAATGGAATTCCTTGGTTTTTAAGCTCATTTGTGATTCCTCCTGTCCTTGACCACATCCTTACAGATTCCTGCACATTAACGGCCATTGGATATTTATTTTCCTTGATTTCATTTGCATCCTCTGGTTGTGCTGCTTTAATTTTTGTCCCCGGCTTGGCACTCATTTCCCACTGCAATACAATATTTATTTGCATTTCCAATTAGCAACTGACTTGGAAACATAAATTGTACACGAACAGTCTACAGGGAGTGGATGGGTGGGTGGTGTTTCTTTTTTCCCTGCCAAGTCCGAAGTCTCCCCTTGTACTCGTATTTCTCGAGAAAGGAAGTATCTGGCAGATGTAATCCCAATGGAGCAGCTCTTGTGGCCAAGTAAAATTCAAAGAAAATTCGGAAAATTGGAAAAGCACTTCCATTACAAAGTTCTACGGTAAAGAAAAGGGCGAGTTGGTTAAATATTCGCGACACATGGATATATTTTTCGTTGCAAACTTAATTTTTCTTATAGGAATTTTAAGACATTTAAACTTGATAGGTTTTTAAACTCGGTTAAGAAATGGATATATTTTAAGGAATGATTAAAATAGCAAGATATCAAATTTGGGATGGGAAGGAAAGTAGGAGTTGATTAGCCAAAGTGAACCTGAAGATGAGCTTAGCTCCTGAAGCTGCCAGGATCACCACAACTTATGACTATCAAAAACTAATATGAAAATATGTGTTACGCCATACCATATAACGCCAACGTTATGCATCTTTTTAAACCCTTGCAGGGTATTATAATTTCAGTCAGAAGTTTGCAACGCAGTGAAGGAGGCACCTCCGACTATATAAAGTATATATATTCTTGATCAGGATCAACAGCCGAGTCGATCTAGCCATGTCCGTCTGTCCGTCTGTCCGTCTGTCCTTCTGTCCGTCTGTCCGTCTGTCCGTCTGTCCGTTTCTACGCAAACTAGTCTCTCAGTTTTGAAGCTATCTGAATGAAACTTTGTAGTTAGCCTTCTATTTACTCTCACTCGTATATATGTCGGAACGGGCCGGATCGGACGACTATATCATATAGCTGCCATAGGAATGATCGTAAAATTTTTACAACAAAATTTTTAACTTTTTCAGTTTTCAATAGAATTGGATCAAATTTAAGATATAGCCATTTTACTATACTCTACAATTTTGTGTAAAATTTTATGAAAATCGGACTAATATATCATATAGCTCCCATAGGAACGATCGAGAAATTAATACAATTAAATTTATAACTTTTTCAGTTTTAAGCTGATTTTCATCAAATTTAAGGTATAGCTATTTTATTATAGTCTTAAATTTTGTGTCAAATTTTATGAAAATCGGACGACTATATCTTATAGGTGCCATACAAACGATCGTTTGATGTAGAAGAAAAATGCAAGTCTGTGTATGTAAAACTGCAAATATAATATGTATAGGTGAATGAAATGAAAGCAGCTATTACTTCATTGTTTTTTAACACAAATATATATAATTTATATTGTATGGATTCCTATTCATAGAAGTTCTATCTGCAAGGGTATATAAACTTCGGCGTGCCGAAGTTAGCTTTCTTTCTTGTTATTAATGAGTCCGAACCTTGTTTGTGCTTAGTTCAAATTTCAAACTTCTTTTCAGTGCAGGAAACTTCACATTCCTAACAAAATTATGCCAAAAAAAATAAAGAAGGAATGCAAGGAAAAAGGTCAGATAATGGTTTAACTTTTGCCATTGGAACGAAAAACAACGGCAAATGATTTTTCGTCCTGCCACTGCCCACCGCACACCACACTCCATCATCATCATCATCAGTGGAAAAGTCGAAGTCAAAGAACAACAACAATTGGCATGAACGTAAAGGAAAAAATTATAAGTAAAATCGAGAAAAATATGCGCATAAATGAGGCCTGACCTATTTGAATTTGATTTTCTATTCCTTGGACCCCAATTATTGGCCCCGTTGACTGCCCTTGAATGGGATATTCTCGTTTCCTGTGACTACTGCGAGAGTACAACCTTTGACCGTCACATAAATCACATGAACCGGCATAAATCATCACATAGGGCAGCAGGCGGCAGTCGGTAGATTCTAGGACAGCGACATCGGATGTTGACAGTACCTCCCTATCGAAGCCCAAATGGAGTGGGAATGGGGGTGAAGATGGGGTTGGGAATTAAACCAAAACTTGTAATGGGTAAGTGACTCTTTTAGGGTATTATCAGAATGTTGCAACGCAGTGAAGGAGTCATCTCCGAGCATATAAGGTATATTATATTCTTGATCAGCATCAACAGTAAGTCAGTAAGTATCACTCAACAGAGTAACTATGATCATATAACTTTGATCCATAAATAAATATGATCAGTAAACACTATGATCAGTAATCAACTATAAGCAGTAAGTATCTATGACCAGCAAGTATCTATGATCAGTAAGTAAATCTGAACAGTAAGTATCTATGAGCAGTATGTATCTATGAGCAGTAAGTTACTCTGAATAAGATGTATCTATGACCAGTAAGTAACTAAGAACAGTAAGTATCTATGACCAGTAGGTAACTCTGACCAATATGTATCTATGACCAGTAAGTAACTATGCTCAGTAAGTATCTATGAGCAGTAAGTAACTAAGAACAGTAAGTATCTATGACCAGTAGGTAACTCTGAACAATATGTTTCTATGAGCAGTAGGTAACTCTGAACAATAAGTATCTATGACCACTAAGTAACTATGATCAGTAAGTATCTATGAGCAGTATGTATCTATGAGCAGTAAGTAACTCTGAATAAGAAGTATCTATGACCAGTAAGTAACTAAGAACAATAAGTATCTATGACCAGTAAGTAACTCTGAACAATATGTATCTATGACCCGTAAGTATCTATGACCAGTAAGTAACAATATGAACAATATGTTTCTATGAGCAGTAGGTAACTCTGAACAATAAGTATAACAACAATAATAATAATACCACTAAGTAACTATGATCAGTAAGTAACTATGATCAGTAAGTAACTATGATTAGTATGTATGTATGTATGATCAGTTACAAACTTTGAACACTAATAAACAATGACTTGCAACTTTTGTAACACAACACATTTCTGAGACCTGGCCGGCAGCAGGCACATCGTTCCGGGGATGTTAGAACCAGTTGGGAATCATATGTACAGATGTGCGAGATTTGTTTTGGAACAAAGACCAAGCTATTTGAATGAAACTATGAAGTTATTTTTCTATATAATTTGACTAGTATATTAGTCTAAGCATGACGAATCGGTGGACTATATATGTATATATATATATATAAAGGAACAATCGGAAAATATTTATTTTTAACTACTATACATAATTAATTTTGATTCTTCTACACAGATAATTCTTTAAAATACTGAATACCTTGAACATATAGTGTGACTTTCGTTCCTGTTTATGTTTTCCAGTAGATCCTAACCCGCAGTCCGCATCCCAATGCCCCTCTTTTGTGGTTGACCAACTCTTGCCCTAGCTTCCGGCTACCTGTATACGAACTGCTCCCTTCCCACCTTCCCTCAGCCCTGTGTTGGTACTGTTTATAACCATAATCGGATGTTGACTTGACACCCTGGGGCTGCTTTTCCGCCAGTTGTCCATTCAGAGTACTCCGTACTCTGTATGTAGTTGGCCTTGGGGGGGCCTTGTGAATCGCCCACTATCCAGCGTCCTTGATCTTGACAATTATGAAACGAAATGCTTGGCTAATTACCATAAAATTACAAAGGCCGTTGGGCGGGCTCTCTGGGTGTGTCTCTGTATATGTGTGTGTTATGGATTGTTATTATTATTATTATTGTTATTATCATAGAGCGCGAAATTTTATGCAAGCCAAGCCCACTGGCTTCTTTGGCCCCCAATTTGGTCAAGACCATTTAGACTCGAGACGTCAGACTAACTCAAAAGGCGGCATTTGCAGTGGGTTGCACTAAAAATAAATATATCAAACAATGACTACTAATTATTAACCAACGTACTGTCAGAATCCGGAATCTGAGAATTCCCACTCACTCACAATTGATTGTTTTTTATGTTGTTTACAAATAGATTACAGAATGAGTGTTGACAGCAGGTGTGTAGTTTTTTCCGCCAATGTTATAGATTCATGGATAATTTTAAACAATTAATATATTTGCAAAAACCCAATTAGTTTAATAAAAAATTAAAATAAAATCGTTTTATTCCCATATAAGCATCATAATAATTTCCTGTCCGGAACAACCTTCGCCCTGGGCAAGAGCGTCCAAGTAAACCAGTTTGTCTTGATTTTAACTGACCTACAAAAATATTCAGGTTCTCAAGGCATCTTTGTGGATTTTGTTGTGAGACCCTTTTATATATATATATTATTTATACTTATAAAATCTCCGCTTTATTTCTACTCTATAGTTATTTTAAAATTTTTTAAATTTGTAATTGAGTATTGAGTATGCAGATTTATTAACCTAATAAACAATGGCACAGGACAGCTTTCCGAACTGAAATTAATGAATTTTTGGCTTATGATATTAAAAAAATGAAATTTTCACCAAAAAATTTGCATAAATTATATCTAGTACCTAATATACTAATTCTCAAAAATGTTTTTTTCAGGTCATTTTTAAAATAATAATTTCCACTTTATTTGAACTCGCCCTTCTTTATTCTCCTAAGTATCAGTATTTCAGTATTAAGTTCTGGTCATAGATTCTTTTTAAACCTCCAAATAGTTCACTTAAAATATGAAATACAAAATCATTCCGTAAATCCCTACCGATTCCTACGGCTGAGTTTGGGGGCATGCACTTTTTTTCATCCCAATCCGAATCCTCGGCACTCACCTGGATCGTTGAGATGGCAGGCATGATACGGGTCACCATTGTAGCCCGCGGGGCAACTGCACACAGCCACGTGGTTGCGGGCCTGCAATGGGAAATTGTAGAGAAGGACTGGATGACGGAGATGCTGTTCCACTTACGTCACAGTTGGAGCCAATGCCGCAGGCGCCAACGCAGGGATTAACACAACGATTGTCCTTGCACTGGAGGTCACCACGACAGTCGACATTGTCCAGGCACTCACCGCGGTTGCAGTGCGTCAGCGGATTGCCACTAAAGCCGGGCGGGCAGGAGCAGACCGGTCGTCCGCCGGCAGCCTCTTGGCAGACGGCATTCACTCCACACGGACTACCGCTGCATCCATAAGACTGGGCTGTGAACAGAGGGTAAAGAGGTGGTGATGGTCAGGTGCGGCGGTGAGTGTGAGCTACTCTACTGGTTTATCTCAGGGTTAGGGGTTAGCACTACGGCTCTATGGTTGTTCGGAGGAGGAGGAAGAGGTCAGTGTGTGTGTTTGTTTGGTGGGATCAGTAGGGGTTTTCTGTGTGGGCGCTGTGCTCTCTTTATATACATCAGGTGCAGGTGCTGCTCGGCTGCTTGGCCAGGTGAGTACGAAAGTTGGATGAGGCAAAAGTTGGGGAATAAATACCACGTGTGTAGACCGGATCCCTATAGACAACCCGCTGCAGGGAACGCCCATCACCGTACGTATAATACGTGCGGTACGAGCAGTTGAGACAACGCTTCTCGATCTTTTTACCTGCAACCAGTTGGGGCAGGGACGCAAAGGCCACTGCCACAAGGGCCAGGCACAGGAGTTGATGCCGATGTTGCTGTAAGAAAGGGAAATTATTAGTATTTATAATTGTTAAAGCCATACAAAGTAATACTTAATAAGGGAAATACTCATTGAATATATATTTGTTAAATAAATCTAAAACAGCATCTAAAGCATTTCCCAGAATTGCTGTTTATCTTTAATATTTATTTTAAATTTATATTGAAGCCACTAAAAACAGAATAACCATGATTTATAGAGCTTGTTTTAGATTTATGATCAATTCAAAGGAAGAACACTATTGATCTTTGACCTTAAAGTATTTAAATAAATACATTTGTTTGAAAACAACCTAATTATATATTAGTTTGTAGTTAAAACATAAAGGAGGGAGATAATCAGATTAGTGAGAGATTTCTCTAGATAGCTTTGCCTATCTATAACTTAAAATAAATAACATTAACTAAATGGTATTAAAACAAAGCCCCTATTTCCGACAAAATAATAAAAAGTAATCTGAAAAACCCCGAGTAACAATAGATGGATAACTCATTCCTCGGGCAAACATTAGTTTGTTGTGTTTTTATAGGGAGCAACTTGACACCTTATTTAGCTTTGACCGATGCCTCTCAATGATGAGATAACAATCGATGATGATATGGTTTCGCGTTCAAGGCGACAACGATGACACACAGCAGAGATAAACTTGTTGTCCGCTTCTTTGGAAGTTCAATTCGGCTTAATAAATAAATGAATCAAATCGGAATACAATATGATTATGCAAATGAACTGCCTTATTAAATTACTCTGATCTGGTATATGGCAAGTCCATATCCGAATTCATTTAGTTGTCGATCATTCGGCATATAAGGTTCGAGCCGGATCCATCGAGGGAGGAAATTGTTATGGGAAATTGGATTCCTATATTTGTATTTATATTTAGTTTGGGAACGGGTAGTCAACGGTTAGCCTTTTACAAAGGGCTAATATCTCTAGTTCTAAATGGTAATTTGAATATAATACTTGTTGAATTTTAAATGGTAATTTTTATATATTTTTAATAATACTTCTAGAGCAGTAGTTAAAATTAATATTATGCAGATGAGTCTTTCCCACTTTTGGGGGGTTTATAAATAACACCAACACCTGTTCCTGGAGTGGTCTCTTAGAGATTTACCTCCATATTTGTTTGTCTTGCGAATATTATTTTTATTATTTAAAGCAATTAATAATGCTTTTGTTATTTGTTTGCCAAGCTCTAAGCTTCTTGGAGTGATTGATCTTCGACAATTAAGAATATCAAGACAAAAGGCAAAACAAAAACAATTTTAAAGACAAAAACCGATCGTGGGTCTGCAGACTTTATGTGGGAATATGAATACAATAATGAGATTTTTGGTTCTATATGCTCACTGCCAAAATCTGTGTTTACTTTTGTGAGTTTTTTGATTGATGACAAAGAAATATGAAAGGGTTTTGTGTATAACTAATGAGCATAGAATGTTTGTATTCTAAGCAAGTAGGAAAGCTACAGAGTGGGACAGACTGTGAGATACACATACTATCTCTACTTATACAATATTCACACAATACAGATTTTTAGATAATTAAGAGTATGATATGATAATTAAGGGTATATATATAGAATATACATATATTTTATTATTTGTATACACTTGCTGGGTATTATAAGTTAAGTCAGAAGCTTGCAACTCAGTGAAGGAGTCATTTCCGACCCTATAAACCATATATATTCGTGATAAGCATCCCCATGTTTAGTTGAAAAATATTTTTTCAAAATTTTATAAGGGGTTACATCATTAAAATTGCCAAAAAATTTACCAAAAATGTAGTTTTTTTATTTAAAAAAAATAAGTATGCAGATTTGTTTGTGCTAGTAAAATTAGCAAAGAAAAGTTATCCGAATAACCCTGAATATTTTCCTGGTGGTATATAAAGAACAATAAGTCAATAAATGCCAAACGTCATATATATTTTGATTTGCTATAAAAATCTGATTAATAAAAGGGGGGTACCATCATTAAAATTGTCAAAAATTCATAATTTGATGGACTTCAAATCGCACCCATGATCCTATGACTGCAATATTTATCTAATATTGCAACATTGATCGATAAGACATTTTGTCAATATATCAGACTGTTCCTCTCGATATACATTTCATGTTTCATGTTAATAGAAACCTTCGATTTTGACCATGTCCGACTGGCCGGAAGTAAACATTAAGCCAAAAGACCCAAGTTCTCAATTAGCTCGAACTCTCCTCTGATTGTTTAAGCCTTGTTTACTTTGGTTTAATGTGCTGACAACTACTTTAATATTCCATTCACGTATCACTGTCCGATTGCACTCTTTTTTTTATTATTATTATAATGTATTGTCTTTGTGCGTAATTTCATTGAGCAGTCAACAAACAAACAAAAACATAAAATTACAAAGAATACACATAAAAAAATATGGAAAAAAATTTTTTTTTTAAATAAGACAACGAAGGGGAGTTCGATTTGGCTGCAACTCACCATTTTCTGGTTAAAGTTCTTGGGACACAAACACACGCACTGCAGGCAGTAGTATATGGTCAACGTAAAATTAAAAACAAAATGAAAATAAATAAATTAAAGTTCGCTGCACCGAGATTGTTCGATTTCAACTGAGACAACTTCTAGGCGAGCCTCGGCTATTTATAAGGCAAGCGGCTCTTAACTTGCCTCTTGGCCGGGTGAGAAACAGCTGAGCGATGTTGGCGTCATCTTCCAGCTGCTCACCTTCCCTCCCCACAACACCTATACCCCTTACCAATGATCTCCCTTTCTCTCACACGGCAAAAAAAAACTATTTTGTAGTTATAAAGTCATACAAAGTGTAAAAAGGGGACAATATAGAAATAAATAAAAACAGAAAGAAAATGTACAGTCCAGCTAAGACTAACTAAATTGTACAAAATTTATATAAGCTTTACGGGCTCTTTAAGCGAATGTATTAATATATATATCACCTGTTCCACCGTCAGACATTTTAAAATCTTTCTTGGAGAGGTTTTGAATAATGAACAGCAATTCTCTGAGTATACAGGTGGGTTAAAGGCAAATCCCGAGGACGAACAATGAAGCAAAGACATTGAAGGGACTTTTATACCACCTGAAATAGAAAGAATATATATATACATTTAATATAATAATACTATGTCATGAAATACCTATGAACTAGTCTCTCAGTATTAATTATATTATATATATCATATATATGGTTATAAGTTATAATATAAAATATAAAAATAAATAAAATAAAATATAACCAATACTGAGAGACTAGTTCGCATAGTAACCTACACTCGAACATAGGTTAATCGACTCCTTTGTTGATGCTAATCAAAAACCGATAGTAATTCTTTTAAAATTACAGATTTGAATTCTCAATTAAATAAATTTCTGTCAGTGCACCGGTGCTGTGACTGATATTCCCCACCATTATATTCTGGCCAGATCTGTTGACAAACTTGGCCAGAGTCGGAACTACTTTTCGCTGTTGATCATTGCGCTGTCACGGGCCGATTTGAGTTAAAAGTCATTTGCTGTATCTTCGAGATACATTCGGAGCGGAGACTGAGTCAGACCCATTCATACGTTTGTTTAGGCATCGTGCTATTTATAAGCGCGTATGTACTTGACGGCTAACTTTGCTTTAGCTTTGGCTTTGGCCAATGCCGACTCATTTGCGATCTCTGCGTGGGTCGGGTGTGTTTGTGGGCCAAATCTGGTCAAGACGAGATGAGCTGCGATAAGGTAGATGAGATCCAGAGCAGGGAAGCAGTTCCCAAGACGAGTCCTAAATGGAACACAATTTAAATGTTAAACATTAGAATACTTAATACTTTCTCAACTTACTGTGCCAAATGCTAGTATTATAAAGCCATAAAAATAGGGTAAATTAGCGTCGATCTTGGTCCGATTGATTCTCAATTTATTGCAGCAGTTATATAGCAAAAGATGTATCATTTGCTACGGATGTCCATTATTAATTCCAGACTAAGTTATTGAATATGGTCATTTGGCAAAATGTTGAAGCAACTGTATTGTTTACTGGCCCCTCCTTTCCATTCCATTCTTAGTCGAATTTACAAATTAATTAGCCACATTCTCAATTTAATTAACCAAGGCAATTTGCATGTGTTTCAGTCCGAAAACTGTCGGAAATTGAGCTCGTACAGCTTGTAAATAAAATCTCTCATATCCGGCGGCCCAGCAAACTAATAAAATATTCATTTGCAGATTAAAAATCATGCGAGACGAAACGCCAGATATTATTTTTGGTGTCTGCAAAAAAAGGAAGAACAATTTAAAACCATCTAGAAATTTCGGGAAAAATTTATATACATATATATAATATTTTTGTTTACTTATGTATAATACAATTTTAATGACAACGAAAGAAGAACAGATAGATGTGCTTTGCATTTATGATATAAATATGTACGAATATATATTTATTAAATATAAATTAAGAAGGGGATTATATATTTTTACGCCCTTGCTAAGGGTTCCTCTCTGGTTTCTTAGATATTTAAAATTCTTGAATAAATACATATATTACATTTAAGTTATCTAAATTTTTGTTTAGTAAAAACTAAAGTGAGTTGTTATATCACAAAAAGTTAAAAGCTATATATTTATCCAACGGATTACAATGAAATTACAACCACAGAATCAAAGTGTTTTGGGATCCAAAATAAATAGGATTATTCCAATGCTAAAAATCACACAAATAAACAAAGGATTATGCAGATGTTAAAGGTAGACTAAATACACACAAATGGGTAATGTTTTCAATCAGAGTTCGATACTTTTGGCAGTAATGTGTGTGTGGCAATACTGCAGTTAAATCGGAATCAATTAAAGGGGGGAGGGATCTTGATATTCGGTTCCAAAGCCAAGTTAATATATGGACGGGCTTAACTTTAACCTAGGGCCATAAGCTACATAGAAGATAATCGGCAGGGCCATTTCCAATTGATTTCCATTTCCAAATTAAATGCGTTGGACGGAATCGCATTAGGACCCGGCCTCGAATCGAATCGAATCAATATGCGGATATTATAAATTGAACTGACAATTGCAAAGTTTCCCATAGCTCCATGGCTCGATGCCAGGAGCTTGGGCTTCTGGATTAGGGCCCAAGCCAGGCCAATTGACGCATGCCAAATTGACTGTAATTGAATGCGAATTCGGAATTTGAACCTATCATCTGGTCCTGGCTGGGCAATGGTGGCACCTGGTTCGATGGAAGCCAATTTAATTATGCCGTCTTGGCGGACAAATCTTTTGGCTTACGTAGCTCATTTTTCAAATGGCCAAGGTCGCGACAGGTTGCCCTGATGGATCAGAAAAGTCGCCCAGCTTCCGGTCGTCGTCTCCTTGCTGTTGTTGTTGTTAATAATTTATACCGCCCAATATCAATCATATTCAATCATGATGGCTTGCCAGCCAGTGTGCGGTCTATTCTGCTGTGTGTGTGTATCCGAGGGATACAATAATACCCCCAACTGCCCTAAGCCATTGGGTCAATCCCCAACAAACACAACAGCTTGCCATTGACAAATGTTATATAATTAATTTGGCATTATTAATTTGAATATATACACACACGAACAACACCTGTGAGACCGTTCCCCCTTGTTCCGAACATGTATTTGAATACATAAACTTAAACTCTGTTTATTTGGGGTTTATTTTGGCCTATTTAGTCAATCAAACATAATGTTTTCCTTTTAAGGAATTACAAATGAGTCTAGGTTTTAACATTTAATTAATGTTTGAAGATGAAATTCTGAGATGGGTTCTCTTCTGGTTTGGTTGTTCCAATCAGATAGCTTTAAAACTGAGAGACTAGTTGGCGTAGAAACGGACAAACGGACATGGCTAAATCGACTCGGCTGTTGATGCTGATCAAGAATATAGATACTTTATATGGTCGGAAATGATTCCTTTACTGCGTTGGAAGCTTCTGACTGAAATTATAATACTCTGCAATACATATAGTAATGTTGCAAAAGTTGGAACCAAAATCAGAGTCAGTTTCGGAACTATCAAAAGGGTAATTAATTGAGGCTTTTAACTTTAATTACACGTTTGTGGATATCACCAATACAAATTGCTGAATCACTGTAAATTAAAATTAAGCAATGAGATCCAAGGCAAGTAATTCCCTTATACTTGAAAAATAAATGAATAGCTAGCAGAGCTGAATCTAGACCAAGGCCTGATCCCTCCTATAGCATCTATATATGTATGGATATGATATAATTGTCATGATTAAGACTTACCTGAGTGTAGGACACGTCATTGTTTACTTCCTCCAGTGTAGACTTCGAATCTTGTTGACTTTAATTAGGGTAGTCATAATATCGAAGATCACTTCCTGGTTATCCAGATGTATTCCATTGGCCACGTCATTCTTTTAAGGTCGAATGGTAATCACTATCACTATCACTACCGATGTTAACACTAGGTACCCCTAGGACAGACTGAGGTCGCGGCGAACGAGGTGCCTCTATTTATAGTTCCCGAGTCAAGAGAACAGAGAAAGTGCGAGCGAGAGAGTAAGAGATAGGCAGAGAAACATACAGAGAAAGAGTTAGCTCTGGAGACGCATAGTGGGAGTTGGACCTACCGGATAAAAAGAGGCAGATAGAGTAAGAGAGAGGGAGAGAGCTGTTGATGCTGATCAAGAATATGTTTACTTAATAAGGGCTTCACTGCGTTCCAAACTTTTGAGTAAAATTATAATACCCTTGCAATGGTATAACTAAACCATGAGGAGCAAGCAATTTACCCTTAACTCAAATAGAATTTAACCTATAAAACTAACAAAACATATAGTTATATAGTCCCTTACAAATCTGAACTACTTTTGATAGCATTTTAGAGCTTTGCCATATTCCCACATTTATTCTGATGACGAAGACTACACAATTATGACGCCCTTCTGGAAAAACTATTGCCCCGTAATTGCTGAAGTGGAATGGATTCAAGTGGTGTGAAGTGGTGGCCAGGCCAAAAAACTTTTTCGGTCTAATTTCCAGCAATTTGCATAATTTGCGGGTGACTGAATGGATGGAGGGGTTGGATGGTTAGATGGATTCGGTATATAAAAGGACCTGCTCAAGCGGCGGACATTCAAGTATCGTCTATTCCCGGACATTATGGCAGCCTTAAAGGACCCAGAAGTGGAAGTGGATTCGACGAGAGCCCTGATCCAACATTGGCGCATCTTTAGGCTGGTTGGCTTGCATCCACCGGATGGTGCCACCTGGTGGGGTCGCCATTATCGTATCTACTCCATCGTTTGGAACTTCATCTTTCACATCTGTATACTAACATCGTTTGTGGTGAACTTCCTGTTGTCCAACTCTTTGGAAAGCTTCTGCGAGAGCCTCTGCGTGGCCATGCCGCACACTCTCTATATGCTCAAGCTGGTCAATGTCGGTCGGATGCGTCGGAAGATGATGCATAGCAATCGATTGCTTCGGCACCTGGATGGACGCCTGAACTGTGATCAAGAGCGTCGCGTGATCAAGGAGGGCGTTGCCCAGGCAAATTTCTTTTTTCGGCAGACTGGACGTGGCTTTGTCTGTGTGATAATCGTTGGTATCCTTTATGTTATCATATCCAGTGAACGCACATTGATGTATCCCACCTGGGTGCCGTGGAACTGGCAGAGCAGCTCTACCTCGGTCTTTGTGGCCACCGCCACTGCGCACTCAATGGCTATCATCGAGAATGCCTTGGTGGTGCTTAATTTGTGCACCTATCCGGATACGTATCTCATCATGCTAAGTGCCCACACTAAGGCGCTGGCCTGGCGCGTCTCCCGTCTGGGTCATGATAGCCGCCAGACGCGGGAGGAGGTTTACCAGCGCTTGATTGGCTGCATCCGGGATCATCAGACAATTTTAAAGTGAGTATCCTGGAGTAGAGGCCTGACCAACCGGAAAATCTCTTTCCTTTTAAGCCTTTTCCGGCTGCTGGAGGAGTCCTTGTCGATGACCTGCTTCCTGCAGTTCTTCTGCACGGCCGGCATCCAGTGCACCATCTGTTATTTCCTGGTCTTTGAGCAGATCGGGATCATGCGCTTTCTAAACATGTTGTTCCTGCTGATGGCATTGACCAGCGAGACCCTGCTCCTGTGTTATATCTCGGAGCTGGTGTGCCAGGCGGGTGACAATCTCCTGGCGGCCGCCTATAGCTGCAATTGGCTGGACCAGCCCGTCCACTTCCGGCGGCTGCTCGTCTTCATGCTGTTATATTGCCAGAAGCCGCTGATCCTTGTCGCCGGTGTGGTGCCGGTGAGCATGAACACCTTCCTGGCGGTGAGTTTTTCGTTTCCTCATCCTATATGTGTAAATGGTATCATTTGCTCTTGTCGTTTCAGGTCTGCAAGGGAGGCTATACCATGCTCACGCTGCTCAACGATATGCGTTAAAAGGATCTGGAATATAAGGATGAAATGTAGAAGGAATACATTTTGGGGAATACTGGACCTTAATACATAGAGTCCACCGTTTAGTTTTGCACTTAATACAACCTATGGACTCATTTACATCAGTCTTGTGGCTTATATAGGGGATCTCGACACCATGATACAATTTAAATACTTTATATAGATAAAAATATGTATTCATTGTAGAACTTTTACAGAATAAACCCAGAAGCTCCAAAAGATTTGAAGAGTTAATGTACTAGAAAATTGTACACCCTGCAAATATATAAAATACATTATTTTAATAATCTCAGAATACCTAAAATAAATTATTTCAATAATATCAGAATATAAATAATATTTACTTTGATTTTTCAATCACTGTAGCTTAATATTTCATGATCCTTATTATTTATTTACCATATTTACATATGCCACGACTATATTAATTTCAAGCTGCATCAGCGGAAGTGTGCATTTTTAAAAGTGTCACCTGCTGCCGTCCAACGGAAGTTATGCGTCCCCCGCTCCTCTCACCTTCTCAAACTCACCTGGCATGATTATTTCATTCGGCTCTTCACCTGGCTAGGGCTTTTAATTATTGCTGCATAATCTAGTAGCTTATTATTAAATGAATTAACAGGAAATTGTACGAACACAAATCTGTCTGTCACGGGCGCCGCGCACCGCACACACCACACCTGCTCTGCACTCGAGCAGTTTAATTGATGCACTTGCATTATCATATTTGTAAAAATAAACAGAAAAAAGAAACTCTTTTTCCAATTTAAATTGACAGCCGGTGCTTAATTTTTTATTTACTTTTTTTGTCGAACTGAAATGGCGTTGGATGGCACAGGAATCAGAGTCATCGGTAAAGTCCCACATAGGTCAATTAATGGATACGAGATTAATGATTTAACCAATGCCCACTAGCGTTTTTAATCTGATACATTGGACAGAATATGTATAATTAAATAGTTACATCTCCCAGCATAATTAAGTGATTTAAAAAGGATATCAAATTATTAGAACTGTTCTTTTAAAGGGTACCGCAAGAAGAACAGTTACTTTGCTTTTTTTTTGTCTTTCGTTCAGAGAGAGGTTCGCTGCCATGCACACATTCACTCATCTCCATAGACTTCCACACATGCATACATACATACAGAGCGGCTGCTGCTTCTGCTGTCTCTCATTGTCCGCAGGAGTCTCAGTTTTTTTCGGTTTTAGTTTTATTTTATATGCTTGCTTACTGTTTTTAAATATGTTTTCATATTATTTATCACATATTACGTTCACTTGGGTATTTGCAATTGTAGTTATTTATTATGCCGGCATTTGCACACTTCCTTTACTTTTTCGCATCCCTTTTCCCTTTTTTCACAATTCCAATTGGAGGGAAAAGCGGCGCTCACTTCACATTTACATTAATTCGTTATAAATACACATGTTTGATGTTTAATTGAGTGTTCCCGCATTAAATACAGTTAGTTTAACTGATTTAATCCTTTGGTTGATATTATTAAACATTTTTTCCGGCCTAAAAATATTTTTTAGCAGCAGCCGGACTTAATTGCGTTTTTTTCTTTTTTCGACGCTCAGAATGCATGGGCAAGATCGAGAGAGTGGTAAGCGGTTTTCAATGTCAGAGAGAGCGCAGGGCAATGAGAGAACGAGGGTTGGCAGAGTGAAATAAGATTAACTGTAAATTAATGGTAGAATGAAAGGATTAGCTTTCTAGGGCTGCACTAACCTGATGGTCATGTTATTTATTTGTAATTATAAATAAAGTAAAAATATAATTATTATTTTTGAGGTGAAATAAATATGGTCGGTGATTTTTTATTTTTATTTTTTTTTAAATTATTATTCTAATACCGATATTGAAAACGCCCGTATTTATAATTATATTATATATTTTCAACCCTGAAATTTTAAGAGGTTTGAAAATAATTTATTTGTTATATTTTATCTTATTTTATAAGCATAAATGTTTTATGTATATTATTCTTCCTATAGAGTATTATAATTAGAGTATTATAATTATAGTTAAAAGCTTGTTACATATAAATATTATATATATATATATATATATATATATATATATATATATATATATATTCTTGATCAGCATCAATAGCAAAGTCGATCTAGACACCTTTCGATGAAAAAAAAGGAATTTGCCAATTTGTTCACAATTTTATAAGGGGTTTCATTGTTAAAATTATCAAAAATTGATAAAAATTATTTTTTTCTTAAATTTTAAATTGAGTATACAGATTTATAAAATTAATAAAAACTAAAGGAGAGACAGCAGAAGCAGCAGTCGCTATGTTTATATGAATGCATAGCTCTAACGAACAGTTCTATTAATTTCTATTCCAAAAGCTTTTCTAAGTAAGTTTGTAAATCTGCATACTCAATTTTAAATTTAAGAAAACCACAATTTTAATTTTTTTTTTACGATTTTAATGATGAAATTATAAAATTTTGAATAAAAATAAATCCTTTTTTTTTCTGGGGTGGCTAGATCAACTTGGATCTTGATACTGATCAAGAAAATATATGATTTATAGGGTCGGAAATGACTCCTTCACAGATTAAAAAGCTTCTGACTATAATTCTAATACCCTACAAGGGTATAACAAACAAAAGATACATAAAACAAATATGTTTATAAAATAAAACAAATAAACCGTTTAAAATTACTATTAATCAGGTTCGAAATATATAATTTAATATAAATTATAAAAATGGGCATTTTTAGTAACGCCATTAAAATTATATTTGAAAATAAATAAATAAATAAAAATTGTCCAAATCGCCTACCAAATTTATTTCACCCCAACATATATAAAGTATGATAAAAATATAATTGCAAACAATATTTAATATATAATTATTAATAATTAACATGACCATCAATTCAGTGCAACCCTAGAAAGCCAAACCTTTCATTGTACCATTAATTTACAGTTAATCTTGTTTTACTCTTTGCCGACCTCCGTCCTCTCATTTCACTGAACTCTCACTAACATTGAAAACCGCTTACCACTCTCTCGATCTTGCCATTGCATTCTGAGCGGCGAAAAAACGCAATTCAGTCGTGCTGCTGCTAAAAAATATTTTTAGGCCGGAAAAAATGTTTAATAATATCAACCAAAGGATTAAATAAGTTAAACTAACTGCATTTAATGCGGGAACACTCAATTAAACATCAAACAAGTGTATTTATAACGAAATTATGTAAATGTGAAGTGAGCGCAACTTTTCCCTCCAATTGAAATTGTGAGAAAGGGAAAAGGAATGCGAAAAAGTAAAGGAATTGTGCAAATGCCGTCATAATAAATAACTACAATTGCAAATACCCAAGTGAACTTAATAAGTAACTTTGTGAGAAATAATATGAAAACATATTTAAAAACAGTTAGTACGCATATAAAATAAAACTAAAACTGAAAAAAAAATCTGAGACTCCTGCGGACAATGAGAGACAGCAGAAGCAGCAGCCGCTATGTATGTATGCATGTGTGGGAGTCTATGCAGATGAGTAAATGTGTGCATGGCACGGAACTTCTCTCTAAACGAAAAAAAAGCAATGTTACTGTTCTTGCGGTAAGTTTTAAAGGAACCTGCGCTCTCTCTGACGTTGAAAACCGCTTACCACTCTCTCGATCTTGCCCATGCATTCTGAGCGGCGAAAAAGAACAAGTGAAAAAGAAAAAACGCAATTGAGTCGTGCTGCTGCTAAAAATGTTTTTAGGCCGGAAAAAATACTTAATAATATCAACCAAAGTATTAAATCAGTTAAACTAACTGCATTTAATGCGGGAACACTTAATTAAACATCAAACAAGTGTATTTATAACGAATTTATGTAAATGTGAAGTGAGCGCCGCTTTTCCCTCCAATTGGAATAGTGAAAAAGGGAAAAGGAAAGCGAAAAAGTAAAGGAATTGTGCAAATGCCGACATAATAAGTAACTACAGTTGCAAATACCCAAGTGAACTTAATAAATAACTAAATATGTGATAAATAACAAGAAAACATATTTAAAAACAGTTAGCAAACATATTGAATAAAACTAAAACTGAAAAAAACTGAGACTCCGGCGGACAATGAGAGACAGCAGAAGCAGCAGCTGCTGTGTATGTGTGCATGTGTGGGAGTCTATGCAGATGAGTAAATGTGTGCATGTGCACTCTCTGAACGACAGAAAAGCAAAGTAACTGTTCTTTTTGCGGTACGTTTAAAATGTACAGTTTTCAACGCAATAATTGTAAATAAAAATAAAAATAAAGTGCGTGTGTGGTTCGTTTCGGTTATTTAACCGGCTTTTTATTCCTTTCCATTTCTTAGTGTCAACGCAAAAATAAATATAGTTTTTTGTTTTTTTTTTAAGTGTTTTATTAATCTTTGAATTTTTTTAATTTCGTGAATTAAAAAAAAAAATTAAAAGGAAGTATTTCCCATTTCTTGGTGTTAATGCAAAAGTAATTTTTGTTTATTTTTTTAAGTGTTTAATTAATAAATAAATTAAATATTATTAATTCTGTGAGTTAAAAAGAGGGAAAGGAAGAATATTCCTTTTCATTTCTTGGTGTCAATGCAGTAGTAAATATGTAACTTTTCTTTTTTGTGTTCAATCGTTATATAAAATTTGATTAATGTGAGTTAAAAAAGGAAATGGAAGGAAAGACATTAAATCTCGCGAGTGCCCAGAATTGGACGTATGCTATGTGTAATTTATTAATTTTTCGATTCAACACGAAAAAGACGAAAAAGAAGCAACCAAAAATTTTGAAATCGGTGAGTGACATAATAATTTAATTCTTATATTGAATATGTTTCGATTCCCCCTTAATACAACCGATAAGATTTGGTAGTTTTTGATAGAAAATATTTAATATATTCATATACCACTTATATCCCCAATTTGCCTTTAATATTTAAATAGTTAAAAATAATTTATTGAAAAAATATATTCGAACTTTTAACATCATTACAAATATCAGAAAAAAATATTTATATTTGAAGTTGTGTTTGCATTTTCCTAGGATGTCCTGATAATTTTATGGACATGTTATCAACTCGTTTGTTGTTATAAATGTAGTAGTTATTTATAATCAAGTTAATTATAATAGGTTGCATAACATTAACTAACATAATTTATTAGTTACATTATTTCCCTTTTCCTCATATTATTTCACAGCCCCACCGACTTTTCATTTTCTGCAACTTTTTTAATTACTTTAGTTTAAGCTTTGGAACTGGGGCTTCTCACAAACAGGTGGATTGTTTCAAATTTTGTTTATATATATATATATACATATAAATAAATATATATATAAATAAATAAATAAATAAATAAATATATATATATATATATATATATATAAACATATACATATACGTATACATATACAAATATATACATTTATCTGGAAATATTGTTTTTTTTTTTCTACTCACCATATATCGCCAACAGCAGATATAAAGGGATATTATAGGGACTGTTTTTCAGTTGCTGATTTTTCTTCCTCTGCTCAAGTTTTTATGTGTTTTCCGGGCAATTTTAAGGACGTTCAGGCAAAACAATAAAGCAAAATTCTTTCCATTTTCTCCTGGGCACTTGTGGTGGGTGCTGTAGCTCGATGTCCAACAATTGGTCAAGTCTCCTGGAGTATCTCACGGGCGTTTGGGTTTTTACAACGCTCCTTAAACTTCTTCTCAGGCGGGGAACCATTCTTATAGCTCTATTATTAAAACTTAAACTTGAATTAAAAAATACACTCAATCTGTTACTCACGATAGGGCTGCGGTTGGATAGGGCTTGGGGTTCGATCCAGATCGAGAGCTTTTCATTGATCCTTACTTTTCTCTGACCTGAGTACTGACTCTCGGACTCGGACTTGGGAATCAGCTTACCTGCTGGATAAGTTTCTCGCAGTCAAGGAATCTCTCATGTTCTCATGAATTCAGTGAGTGTCTGTACTCTTTCCACTTGAGGTAGGACTCCCACCTGCGGTTGCAAATGGTAAATGATAAAACAACGCGGACAGGCAGAAAAGGTCTGAAAAGTTCTGTTATGAACTCGGTCTATGATCTTTCCAATCAGGAACGCCATTATGTATTCACTTTTAAGTCAGGAAATTACTTGGCTTTGGAGGAACAAATGAGCGCAAACATTTACACACACACACAAGCTTCTGAAGAAAGCTCCTGTTTGGTGTCGTTCGCGTTTTATGAGTTTGTGCATTCTTATCGAGATGTTAACTTACACCTGAAAACTAGGATCTTCCACAAAAACTACTCAAATGTGTGTCGACGCGGTGCAAAGTTTGTATTTTCAAGAAAATGGCACCAGAACCGCGAGTTCTAAAGTGACGCCATCTTGCAAGTGTGCAAAAACGCATTGCATCATGTGCTTTAAAATAGAAGAAACATCGATGTTTCCTGATGCTTTAAAAATCATCGATAGGACATCACTGTTTTATCAAATAAGAACATTTTGTTCTTTTACTAAAATAACCTAAAATATAATACATTGATATAAATAAGTAGGCTTCTGAGTTTATTTCACTTATGTTATCATCTTGTAAAAACATCGATAGTCGATCTTTGTAGAAACTTCCATCGGTATTTCTCCACCTCTAATGTGCTTTTATCGTTTCCAAGCACTGAGATTTCCTTTCTTGTGTAAACATTTGGTGACATCTAACAAACGCAGGTGTTCTTTAATTTCGCATTTTCCGAAAACTTGAAGAAAAAAAAGCATCAACATGCCTAGGATTAAATTCACTGAGAAACGCATTGTCGTAAGTTAATTGGAAGTTAATAAATAACTAGCTTTAACATGTGGTAAATTGCAGAAGGAATTACCTATTCAGAAAGGTACAAATAATATTCAAAAAAAGGTCACAGAGTGCGACTCTTTCCCAAAAATTGCAATTGGGGGTTTCAACGAGAAGATCCTGCCCAATCGTGAATGTAGCAATAATATCGTAAGTCAATTGAAAGTTCATAAAAACAACTAGTTTTAAAAGGTGGAAAATTGCAGTTGAATACGGCTGCTGCTACTAATTTAGATCCGAAGACTGATGTCGACTCAAAGTCTGAGTTGGGACACAGTCCAATGAACGCTTCAGCACTTGGTAAAGTGATAAGAAAACGTGGGCGAAAAACTTGTATGTCGTCGGCTGAAGAGACCAACAACTTCAACGCGGGCGCAACATTAGTAAGTCTAGCTTCTGGTGGTTCCGACGGTTCCAGGGGAAAAGATGGGGCCTGGGATCTGGAGAAGCTGCGTAAGGTGCGCATCTACGAGTGGAATGGCAGAAATATGGTTGATCTTCGTAACTACTTCGAGCGTGATGGAAAGATTCTACCCTGTAAGAGGGGTGTCATGATGCCGATAGACCAATGGAAGAAGCTTCTAGAATTTGGCGACGAAATCACCCGCGCAGCTGAGAATTAGAGAATTTGAACGTTGAGTAACATCTACAAAAAAAGCCGAAATATGTCCCCTATTTAGAACCAAATGCATTTCTCTATTCTTATTATATTATAAACATTTTATGAACATTTTTTTCTACTAAAAAACTATTAACCAGACAGGAAGATAACTTTGGGAATTAAGAGACAGCATTTAGGAAACTATTTAATTTTGAACTCCTCTCACTGATTGAAATATTCACAATTGTGCTCTTTTTTCTGATTAGAAATAATTCTTCTGTCGTTGAAACAGATTTTTCTTAAAGAATCGCTTTGGACTCTTGCAAAGGATTCGGATATTTCTAGCTTACAGACTTATTTTCAAATCGTCCGTTCTGGATAAATATTACTAATTAACTCCAAAACGAGTTTAGAACCCAGATGTATGATTTTAGTCTGAAGTGTGTTCGGAATATATATAGAATAAACCAACGAGCTTGCATTTGAAGGTTAATTATATAATTTCCGTGAAATAAGGATCGGACTCTGTGAACTTTTGGCTGACCGCTGGTCCAGTGGCTAGTGGGACACCTTAAGGACAAAATTATATAAAATAATACAAAAAGTCTATAGTTATGGGAAGTGTGTTTCCGCTTTTTTGAAAGATCTTTCTTTATTCATTTGCGTTAATCGATTTACCGAAAATCTGTAATTTTCTTTTTATTTAACTTATTCAGATGAATTATAATCCTTCTCCTGGAGCATATCCTCTAACATAACATTTATAAAACGAAGTTCAAGGCTATCACTGCTCGAAAGGGGGCAGCTTAACTGGCTTGATCATGGCCACGTTTTCGTACTTGCTTGCGGTGTACTTCGCTCGCATTGCCTGCCCCGTCAGCTTCTTTGCCGCCATGTGAATGAGGGACAGCTTTCGAATGATGGCTTTCATATCCAAAATCTTGTAAGCGGTTAGTTTCTCCAGCTCCGGTGTCCACATTTCCTGGCCAAGAGTGTGACGGGCCAATGCAATCGAAGCGCACGACATCAAAGAGGGCAAATACTGGATGGAGGCGCCTCCCCTCATCAGTGAGAGCTCCGAAATGTACATTGCCAAATACTTTAGCTTATTTGGCATGTCGGCCAGCACCGAATACACGTTGATAAAGGAATATGCAGTCGGCATAAACAGACGGAAGGAGAGTAAATTCAGCATGAACAACTCCTTGCGCAGGACGTGCTTCTTGCTGAACATGTTCCCGGTGAGAAATCCAACATTATCCTTCTTCTCTTCGTATTTGACGGCAATGTACAAGGCCGTTGTCCCAATCAAGCGTAAATTGGGTCTCTTAACCATTTTCAGGCTTAAGTAGCGATCGAGATAATAGACCGAGAGGTAAAACGTCTCCGAGTCCAGATTGTACTTCTTGCATATCTTCACCATCCAGTTAACTAGCATTGAGCGATCGTTATAACTAATGTATTTTTGCATGCACATATAACGCGGAAACGGGCGATATTTCTTCTCAGAGTCACGCAAATTATCAAGTATGTCCTTCTGGTAGGGGACCACATTAAAGAATCGCTCGCGTTCTTTGTTGAGAGACATCTCAGTCATCGACACGTCTGACTGGGCGGCAACTTCATTTTCGCTTCCCTCGTTGGACGACGAAGTGTCCGCCGACGTGGACGAGGACGTGTCTGCCGGCGTGGACGACGAGGTGTCCGACGATGTGGACGACAAGGTGTCTGACGACGGGGACGGCGAGGTGTCCGACGACGTGGACGGCGAGGTTTCCGACGACGTGTCCGGAGCGGCGGTATCTTGAGCGGCCTCCATCTGGGTCTGGAAAGTGGCCTCGGTGGACGACGAGGTGTCCAAAACGGCGGTATCTTGGGCGGTCTCCATCTCGGCCTGGAAATTGGCCATCATTTCGTTTATCTCGGTGGACAATGTGTCCGACGACGTGGAAGACTCGATGTCCAGAATGGCGGTCTCCATCTGGGTCTGCAAACTAGCCATTATGTCGCTTATCTCGGTGGACAATGCGTCCGCCGATGTTGACGACTCGATGTTCGAAATGGCAATATCTTGGGCGGTCTCCATCTGGTCCTGGAAACTGGTCACCTTATCGTTTACCTCGGTGGAGGACTGGGTGTCCGGAATGGCGGTATCTTTGGCGGTTTTCATCTGGGTGTGGAAACTGGTCACCTTATCGCTTATTTTGGTGGACTGGGTGTCCGGAATGGCGGTACCATGGACGGTCTCCATCTGGTCCTGGAAACTGGTCACCTTATCGCTTATCTCGGTGGAGGACTGGGTGTACGGAATGGCGGTATCTTTGGCGGTTTTCATCTGGGTGTGGAAACTGGTCACCTTATCGCTTATCTCGGTGGAGGACTGGGTGTCCAGAATGGCGGTATCTTTGGTGGGCTCCATCTGGGTTTGGAAACTGGTCACCTTATCGTTTACCTTGGTGGCGGACTGGGTGTCCGGAATGGCGGTATCATGGGCAGGCTCCATCTGGGTTTGGAAACTGGTCACCTTATCGTTTACCTTGGTGGCGGACTGGGTGTCCGGAATGGCGGTATCTTGGGCAGGCTCCATCTGGGTCTGGAAACTAGCCATCATGTCTTCTACCTCAGTGGCCAACGAGGTGTTGGGAACGGCGGTATCTTGGGCGGTCTCCATCTGGTCCTGGAAACTGGCCACCATGTCGCTAAGCTTGGTGGAGGAGTCGATGTCCAGAATGGCGGTATCATGGGCGGTCTCCATCCGGGTCTGGAAACTAGCTATCATGTCGTTTACTTCGGTGGATGATGATGGTTCCGGAACGGCGGTATCTCGGGTGGTCTTCTGGGCCTCGAAACTGGCCATCATTTTGCTTACGTCGGTGGAAGAGTGGATGTCCGGAACGGCTGTATCTTGGTCGTTCTTCTGCTGATTTTGGAAACTTGCCATCATGGAGACACTTCTTTTTTTGTTTTCCTCGCCTTCGAAATGAGTTTTCACAAAATTATTCAAATTGTGGCCGACACACCCAGAAATAGTTTGACGTTTAAGTCAAATGCCTTTTGCGTTCAGAAAGTTGTGATTTATGTTAATCGTTCGGTGGGTTTTCTAACACTGATTGTACTTGACTTCTTGTTTCCGGGTTCGCAGCCCTGAAAATGCATTTTTTCTTAGTATTTATATTAAATTTTGGTATATTTGTACTTAAGTTTGCTAAAAAATAAACGAAGCTTACTTTGCTAACTTCAAGTTATCTATAGATCCAATGGTTTCGAATATGAAATCGAACATAAGTAAACGAGAGATGCATTAATCTCAATTTGGATTGATTTTATGTGTTGACTTTTTATTAAATAATTAATAAAAGTTGGCGCCAAGGTCAGGGTCAGTTTTGAAATTATCGTATGGCCGAGATATCAATATTTGTGAATAATTTATGATTAAGTTAGGCTCTTAACTTTGGCTATACATTTGTATATATGCTGATTACAAATTGCTGTATCATTTTAAATTAAAATTAGGCAGTGGGATTCATGGCAATAAGGAAACAATTGAGAAATAAATGTATAGCTAGCATATCTGGCCTAGCATCTACATACATCTCATGATATCATCCTGGTTCATCATAATAATTATAATCATCATCATAATCATAATTTTTGGGGTCGAAGGGTAATCACTATCACTGGAAGTAAACACCTAGGAGGCCACGGACAGACTGTGGCCAGCGCGGCTCAGTGCCTCTATTTATATGCTCCGAGTAAAGAGAAGAACAGAGAGAGTGAGAGAGAAAGAGAAAGAGCTACCTCTATAGATCGACAGAGAAAGTTATAGAGAAAGTTATATCTCTAGAGCTACACAGAGAGAGATAGAGTATATGAAAGACAGGGAGAGCGAAATATATAGAAACAGAGAGATGTAGAGCTGGAGAAATAGACTGCGACAGAGAAAGAGAGGATGAACTATTCACTTCCATTACAATATTTTATTATTATAGGCACGAAACCACTTTTTTTGCATAACGATCATTCCTATGGCAGTTATATGATATAGTCGTTCGATCCAACCAGTTTCGACTTATGTACGCTCGTCTACAAATGTATATAAATATTATATAAATATCATATCATATTATTGCATACGCATGAGTGTGTATGTACTGGTCATAGTAGGTTAGTACATTTGGAGTATAAATTTGCTAAGCTATTCTATAAATTTGAACGTAGAGTTGTAGCTTATTACAGTGTTGTAATAGGCTATAGCATTCGGAGTGGACTCCCATGAAATTTGCAAAGTCATTTTAGAAATTTGCACGTAGAGTTGTAGCTTTCGGAGTGGTCTCCCATGAAATTTGCAATGTCATTCTAGAAATTGGCACCTAGAGTTGTAGCATGTTACAGTGTAGAGTCGCTGTCGCCTATTGTGATTCGTTAGTGGAGTATAAGGTTAAACGACCTCTAAAATATATATTTATAACCCAATTATATCAGGAGTATTCACACACTTAAACCCTCATAATTAAATGACTTTCTCCTTTTAAATATTCAAAAATGAGAGTAATTTTTATTAAATATACCAACAAAAAAATAATATTCATAAATGTAAACATAACATTAAAATACAAATAACAAGGCATTTATATATATATATATATTTATATGTATGCACGTATGCTTAGGCAAGTGTTTTTTTGGCGAGTCTATTCGAAAATTTCTCAAATATTTACACAAAAAACCGAACCAACGCCGTCGAGTACAGGCAAACTCATTAAAAGTTGTTAAAGCAAACTCCAAGGCACCAGATTTGCATAACAACAAAGAACAGGGCTCAAGAAGGGGTTAGGAATCGAGTGAATTACGTAATTAGCGTTCTAGAAAACAGGAGCAGCAGCAGGCAGTAGCAACAGCGGATGACAAATAGGATATCCAAACAAAGGTCGGTCAAGGAAGGACTCTATATAAGACCATAGAAATACCCGTCACACACACTTTAGGGAAATAATATAATCTTTCTCTATATAGGCAGGGATTTTTTTCTTTACTTTTTGTTTGATTTGAATTTGATTTATGGATTATTTTATGTATGTATAAAACATACAATTCTATAAACACAATATACCCTTTGTTTCATAGAGCTTAAAGCGAGGCCTTCACTGTTGCTCCTCCTGCTGCTCCTCGTTCATCCTGCTTCTCATCCTTCTACTTTTGCCATTGTTGCTCTGAGCGCTTTAGGGATATTTCACAATATTGTTGCTGCCACCTGGCAGCTGTCCCCCACTTGTTGCGGTCGTCTGTTGCTTCGGGCTTGATGCTCCGCCCACACCCACACCCACACCGGGTCCACCCGCTCCCACTCCCGCCGAGGATGCACCCACCGCTGTGGCTGCTCCCGGGTGATACAAATGCGTGCCATAATGCACGGCACCCGGATGACTGAAATATGGTATAATGGCCGGTGAGGCAGCGGTCATACCGGTTGCAGGAGTGGGTCCAGCCAAGATGGTGGCTGAACCTGAAGGTGAACCTGGCTTTGTACCATCTCCAGTGTACGGCGATAGGTATTGCTGTTGTTGCTGCTGCTGCTGCTGATGCTGTTGTTGCTGCGGGGCAGTATGATGGTATTGAAACGGATGCAGCAGGGTTGCTGGCTGGTAGTGATGGTAATGGTGGATCGGTGGCCCATTGCCTGGCGACAATCTGACAATATGTATTGGGATCGAAGCCGGACCCGCTGATTCATAGCCCTTTGGGTTATTGTTGCTGAAACGTGGCAATATGGAAAATTGATGTTGCTGCTGATGCTGATGCTCAGCGGGTGACTGCACATAAAGGGGATTGTAATGCACCACGGGCAAGTGTTGCTGCCGTGTGGCAGTTGCTGCTGCTGCTGCCTCGGATGTTGCTGATGTTGCTGTCGTTGATGTCGCTTTTGCTGTTGCTGCTGCTGCTGCTGCTACTGCTGTTGAGCTCGTTGTTGATGTTGTCGCCGCTGTTGGCAACGTCTGCTGTGCTGCTGGCGTGTACTTGTGTTGCTGCTGTTGCGACTGTTTCAAGTGGTGTTGCTGATGCTGATGCTGGAGCGGATATGCTGAAATACGCAATGGAAAAGGGATTACAGGACATGACGAGTTCCCCTTAAGCCATGCTAATTGGCCATGCCATTGCAATCAGTTGCTAATCAAGCCTGCTGGCCCTAGCAATCTGCTTGACATGGCCGAAAATGGAGTAGTTGATATTAATTAAGCGAGTGTGTGTCTAGTGCTCACCATAGAGTGGACCCGGCTGCTGCTCGGCGTAAATGGTGGGTGTCTGTGGCTGCGGTGGCTGCAGGAAAATCCGCTGCAACTGGAGCTGTGCCTGCGGAGCTGGAGCTTGCTGATAGATAAACTGGGCGGGAGGAGAGATTGACGGTTGGGCTGAAGCCTTGGCATAGGCTGCCACCTGCTGCTGATGCTGTTGATGATGATGCTGCTGCAGTTGCTGGGCGGCAGCCAACAGAATGCTGGTGGGGATCTGCAGGTATTGCTGCTGCTGGTGTTGCGGCTGCAGCGGAGAAGGAGCTGCAGATGGACCCGCTGTTGGGGCACTGGCTGCATCCGACTGATAGTAGGGTCGATATAGACCCTGGTGATCACGGGCCAGCGGTCCAAGCAGTTGCACCAACGGATGCCGGCTCGTGGGCAGTGGTGCAGCCGTGCTGGTGGTACTACTAGTGGTGCTGCTGCTACCGCTGATGAACTGCTGCTGCTGTTGCTGAAGCTGTTGCTGTTGCTGCAGCTGCCGCATATAAGAGAGTGGGATGGCAATAATGTACTGAATGCGTTGCTGCAGCTTTTGCTGTTGCTGTTGCGCCGGCAGCTGCTGGTGTGGATGATGCTGTTGCTGTTGCTGTTGCTGTTGCATCTGCGGCTGTGGTGGCTCCTGCTCGAGGTCGCCGTAATTGAAAATTGGTGGCTTTATGCCCGTTGGCCGCTGATAAAGTGCCACTTGAGGCGGCACTGCGAAGCTAAAGCGGTGATGCGGTGCCGTCCCAGGGTGGGAGTACTGCAACGTTGGCGGTTTACGTTCATAGAAAGCCTGCACAGAGAGAAAGGGAATTTCAAATGATGGAATAATCTTTTATATAAAATGTGTGTTGGAATCAAAATCATGTTGGTTGCATAATTTTCATTCAAATTTGCTGTGAGTGTAGTTGAGAAAGTGAAATGTGGCCTTAATTAAACGCATTTGCTGCGGTCAGTTGTGCACAACATCAACATACCTGGGGCGCTGCTTCTGCCGCTGTGTACCGCACTGTGGTCGGTCCAAAGATGGGCGTCTGCGTCTCCGCTGTTGCTGCCTCAAAGTAGCTGCCGGCGGAGGGATAAATTGGTCGGAACGGTGGCTCTTTGGAGGATGATGGTCCCGCGAACAAGGCGCCTGCGGTCAACAAGTGGAGTTCGAGTTAGGGTTCGAGTTGGAGAAGAAATTAGGGAGGAGTTGAAGGAGGAGTTTGATTTGGAGTTGGAGTTGGAGATGGAGTTGCAAGAGGAGTTGGTTGAAGAGTTGGATGAGGATCCGGAGTATAAATTTGAGGAGGAGTTGGAGGAGGAGGTTGGACGAGGAATTGAAGAAGGAGTTGGAGGAGATGTTGGTTGAGGATTTGCAGGAGAAATCGGAGTACAATTTTGAGGAGTTGAAGATGGAGTTGACTGATATTTCTTCAAGTTTTAAAGTTTAACATGTGGAAATATTAAGTAAATTTTTAGTTTCAAAGCTTGACTTGTAAAATTATCAATTTAATCTGTATGATATGTTCTTAGATCTCTAATTAAATAAAAAACTTATATTTTTATTTGATTTAAAAGAAATTGAATTTAAAAAAACGAGCTTCGGAAAACAGAAATTTATTAATCCTTGCAGTTTTTAGTCGAATTAGAGGATTTATTGATCATTTGAATCGATAAATATTGATATTTTTTTATGACAATTTTTACAACAAATCAAACCTTAAAAAATTCATAACTCAGCCAAAAACCTATTAATTTCAATTCAGAAAACTTTTCCTTGTTAGTTTTTAGTAGGCTAATCAATCTACATACACCATTTAAAATTTTGCAAAACTTAAATTTTTTGTCAATTTTTTTTTGACAATTTTAACGATATAACCCCTTATAAAATTTGGGAAAAATTAGAAAAAATTTTTCCACCGAAGATAGCTAGAAAGATTCGCCTGTTGATACTGATCAAGAATATATATAATTTATAGGGTCGGAAATGACTCTTTCATAGGGATTGAGGATTTTGCATAAAGTTATATTACCTTTTTTACCTATATTATCTATATTTTTATACGAAAATTTTTACGACAAATCAAAGATTAAAAAACTGATAACTCAGCCAAATATCTAATAATTTCAATTTGAAAAGCGTTTCCTTGTTTGTTTAGTTTAGTAGGTTAATAAATATGCATACACCATTTAAAATATTTAAGAATACAAAATTTTTTAAAATTTTAACGATGTAACCCCTTATAAAATTTTGAAAAAAAGAGAGATAGCTAGGTCGACTCGGCTGTTGACGCAGATCACGAATATGTTTAATTTATAGGGTCTGAAACGACTCCTTCACATAGTTTCAAGCTTCTGACTTAACTTTAAATACCCTTGTAAGAGTATAAAAAGCAAAGCCTTTAAATATAGATGGAAACTCTTAATATTCCCACATAATTGTTCTTGTCTCACCTGTCTGATCCGAGGAGTCGCGCTTCTCCGTCTTGCTCTTGGAGTCCTCGACAATGCTGGCGGTCAATTTGGTGGTGGCCACGTCCTCGGCCTTGTCCGCAGCCTTATTGGCGGCCACAACGACCTCGATCTCCTCCCCGCTGCCAGCAACCAAGAGGCAGCAGGTGATGGCAGCCAGGACCTGAGATCCGTGAAACAAAAAGGATTAATTATTAAACAAAAATAAATGCGAATATTAAATACAAATCGCATTTATCAATCGGTCTTTATCGGCCATCGTTATAGGCAATTTAGTGTGCATTAACTGCGCGGGAAATGCGATTGATTAAACAAAATATCTGCACTGTAATTCGTAATAATAATTTAATTAAATTGATTTATAAATGCAATTATAGAAAATGCATTGTGCCATTGAGCATCTCATTCGATGAAGTGCAATTGTTTTCCGCTCTAGTCTCGCATTTATTTTGCATTATTATTCCATTGCACACAACGATTAATAACTAATACATGTAATTAAGCCGGTCCGGGCTGTACAATGAACCTGGCAAACACAGGTAATTATTAATAAGCCGCCAGCCAGTTAACTGCCAATCCAATCCATTCCTCCCACCGGTTGTTATTTATGTGGGGAATCTCTGATCTAATCCTTGGAGATGAGTCTGGTTTTATCCCCTGTCTTGTAATATACGGAAATGTCTTACCAAGATATATATATGATGTTATAATCTGCAAATCAAGCTTTCTTTTTACTTAATGTGACTTGCATAAAATTTAAAAAGTATACATAATCAAATGAGATTTCAATACACTTGCAATTTAAATTGGAAAAAATGTAATATTTTACGTTGCTTTTCAAAAGAAAAAAAAAACGATGCCATTAAAGGCACTTGGAAAAGATAAATGCATCAAGGCATGCCCCCGCTGTTTAATGAAATAAATAAATAATAAAATAACAAAGGCCATTATTTTATATGCAGCCCTTTGGCCATCTCTGCTCTGCGTATTGCAATCAAGTGGAAATAATCAAAATAGACGCTGATTTATATCATTATCAATATTTGATTGCCAACTTTCAGTGAGTTCGATTTCAATTATAATGGTTTTTAATCCTATTTTTCATTATTCACCCGTATGAGCGGCATTATTCCCAGTTGCTGTTGCTGCTTCTGCTGCTGCTGCTGATGCTTTATTTATTTAAACCAATAAATATATATGTATATATATATATATATATGTATACCAAATGCGGGCAAATGCAAATATATGTATATGAATATATATAAAATTTGTTTTGTGTGTTCACTTTTTCCGGTTTTAATTTGGTTTCCTTCTGTCACTCAATTAAAATTCGTTTCGTGTGGCGGGAATAACAAAAGCAGAAAACCAACAACAAGAACAGCAAAAAAAAAAAGAAAAATGAACTAAAACAAACAAATTTATAAACACTTTTCACGGTTATTTATTTAATGAAAACAACGGGACATCGTTTTCCTGCGTTTTTAACAAACAAACAACCGCGTCGGAGTCGCGCGTTCGCGTTCGCTTTTCTTTTGCTAGCGGCTTAAATCGCTGATCACTGAGGATCGCTTTGGCTTTAACAACGTTCGCGTGTTGGCCAACAAAGTGAGAGTGAAATTGGTGCGGCAACTTTGAGCCGTTTTATAGTCTGCTTGCAACATGCCGCTTGCTGCCTGTAGCTTGCAGCACGCAGCCAAACTGCTGCAGCAACCTGCAAACTAGCAGCAAACTAGCAAACTTGCCACCGTTGGGGGCAAGCACCTGGTGGCAGTGACAATCACCATTTGGGACTGCTTGTTGCTATATATCTATTTGCTATATTGCGCCTCCAAATCGGAATCCAAAATTTCGATGGCCATTGCCAGCCGCGGGCCTTGATCGCCGCTCCAATTTGGCTTGCGTCATCGACTTCTTCTTCTTCGGCCCCCAATACCGCCCCACCCACCTACAACCAACCACATGCCACATTGCGTCTGCGGAAGATAGAGTTGTGTCTGTGTGCAGATACATTTTCTATAGATGTTTTTATGTGCCCCAAAACAGGAGGAAACGATTGAAACATCCATTGCACAAAAGCAAAAATTGCACAAAACACATGCATAGTATATCAATGGCAGGCGGAAAGCCACCTTTAATTTAGAGTATTGTGTTTGTTTCATTTATTAAAATACCATTAAATATTAAATATTTGTTTCAGACAACAATTTAATTGAATTTTTTCTGTCTTTGTTGGTTTTAAATTAAAGTTACATCGGTCTTGCGATGTATTTTCCAAGCGCATATTATTTCTCTTTGGTTTAATAACTTTATAAAAAGGTTTACATAATGTGAAGCTGTCTTCAGCTGAATAGTTTAGTTTGTATTTTGTATTTTTATATATATTTGTATTCTGTCAAAAAATAACATGTAAGTTATGAATGTCTAGACTTAACAACTGGAATTCATGCGTTCCAGGGATGTCCAAAATGATTGTTTTCTCAAACTCAATGACTTGGAAACTGTACAGAAACATTTCTGGTGTTAGAAAAACATCTGTCCTTCACTTAAACTTTAAAAATAAAGGCCTAGTATGTATTTTTTTAGCTTACATAATACAATTTAAATATATATTTATATTTAAATGTTATGTTAATTACCAACAAAGGGTTCATAAAGGGCCTAAAGTTCCGTATAGAAATGTGTTTTACATGATTTAGCTATCTTTAAAAATTGTATTAAAGATGGCTTTAAATTTTTTAAAGAAAAATAAAAATTTCTTTAAACAATTATATGTACCTTGTTTAAACTGACTTGTTGAGATATGTTGAGGTATTTCTTAAGTAATTGCTAAATACCTAATTCAGGAGATATCATAAAAAAGAGAGTATGTCTAATAAAACATTGTTATCCAGGGTGTTATCATTTTGTTTAGAAACTTGCCTAGCAACTTTGTGTTAAATAAAAACAAACAAAAAAGGAGCTAACTGCAGCACGTTGAAGTGTAAAGCTATGTTTTTACAAAAAAACATTAAATATTTTTCTTAAATTATATATTATTTGAGGTACAAAATACCAGGGCATATAAACTTAGGCTTGCTTATCTTAATTATCTTACCTGTTTTTAATTAGACTTGCATATTTGCAATTCCTTTTAAAAATTAAAGAGCAAAAAACAAACAGCAAGCCAACTGTTGTGTAATGTTTATTAAATTGTAAATATTTTAATTGCTCGATTTTTTTTTTTAATATCGTATATAGGTATAAGGGGAGAGACTCTTGCAAGAGCCTTTAATTAGAGCAGGATTCAGATTTTATTCACACCCTCAGATATTTTTGTTATCTTTTCCATCTTCAATATAATTTTATATCTTTGGAAAAAAACCAAGAATAGCTGCAACCTATAACTTATTCTAAGGATTCTAGCTATAGAAAGTGCTCTAGTATCTCCAGTTTCATAGATTTCTTGTAGATCCTGCTTGCATCATGGGACAACTTGTATAATGATATCTCATCTCATTCCTTCTTCTTCGATATAAAAAAACAATATAATGTGTAAATTAAAGATGTAATCGCAATAAATAGGAATATGTTTGTGTGCTTTTTGTGATTGTTAAAGCTGCCACACTCTTTCGATTTGCTTTCCACATCGACAATCGATAACGCTTAGTAAACTTTTTGCTCAATTAAATTTCCACTAATTCCGGACATTACAATAACCCTGCTGATCCTGGTTTCCCTCGCGTGGGATTAACTTGCACTCATTAGGAGTTTTGTATTCGCATTACAGGTTTTGCCGCACTCACCCCGGCACCCGCACCTGTATCCTTGTCCTGGAAAGGATGCCCTGGCATCCCCTGGCAATGTGACTTGGCCATTTCCGTTGTTGAACGAAGCGTTTACAACGGACGATGATTTTACGAGCGCTCCTAATAAAATCAAGTGGCTTTCCGTAAAACTTAACTGTTACTTTAGCAATAACACACAACAACAGGAGCAGGAGGAGCTGGAGTAACATCCAGGACTAGCATCGGTACCATGTACATACCTTCCTTGCCCTTGTTGTGTCAAATAAAAGTCCCCAATTTGCAGTCCGGACATAAAATGTGTGCGGCAAAGTTAAAAGTTCTCCAGGCTTTGGAATTTTTAGGAAGGGAAGGAACGGGATGGGAATGCAGCTACTGTACCGTGGCAGTAGTTAAAAGTCCTGGGATTCCCCTGAATCCCTGAAATCTTCCCCGAAGCCCCGGTAACATCCATTTAATTGTTCTTTCACTGCTGTTGCTGGTCTTGTTTGGGAAAAACGGGAAAGTGTTATAATTAGTAGTGGCAACGATGATGATGATGGGCAGCTGTGGCTCGTGTCCTGGATGGGAGGAGGTGGAGATGTTGATGGTATCTCATGCATGGTTAGTTGTTGTTTGGTCCAGAAGGTTTGCTGATGCTTAAATTGAACGAAGCAAACTTTACTAGTGTTCAAATTCTCTGCACTTTTCATTACATTCATGTATGTTGCAAAGTATTTACCACAAATTGCCGTTACCATAATAGAAATTAATATGAAAATGTTGCAAAAACCTTGTGTTTCCTGACTTTTGAATGGGACTTTATAAAAGTTATTTGAGCCACCCAACACGTCTGTCCGTATGTTCGTCCGTCTGTCCGTCCGTCTGTCTAGTTCCTCAGTTTTAAAAGTATCTCAATGAAGCGTTGCAGTTAGTCTTCTATATCCTCTCACTCTTATATAAGTCGGAACGGGACATATCGGTCGACTAAACCATATAGTTGCCATAGGAAATCGGAAATCTGAAATTTAAAAAAAAAATTATAACTTTTACAGTTTTTAGTTTTTTTAGTTTTTGTGAAAATTGGAATACTATATAATATAACTGCCAGAGAAACAGTTGTTAAATGTAGAGGATCCATAAGTATCAAAGAACATTAAGTAACTATGATTAATAATTAACTATGATCAGTAGATAACTTTGACCAGTAAGTATCTATTAATATTAAGTTACTATGACCAGTAGATAACTATGACCAGTAAATAACTATAATCAGTAATTAACTATAAGCAGTAAGAATCTATGACCAGTAAATATCTACTATATCAAACGTATTGTATTAATTTCTAGTGATCGGATTTCTATATGCAAAGGTGTACAAACTAGATAGACAAACTATATGAACCAGACAAGAAGCTACTTTATTATAACCTTTCAATGGTATTCTAATTTTAGTCAGAGGCTTGTAACCCTATGAAGGAGTCATTTCCGACCCTATAAATTATATATATTCTTGATCAGAACAAACAGCAGAATCGATCTAGCCATCTTAGACTGAAAAAAAATTTTACCAATTTTTCCAAAATTTTTCAAGGGGTTACATCGTTAAAATTTATCAAAAATGTATTAAAATTTTAATGTTTTTAAAATATTAAATTGAGTATGCAGATTTATTAACCTTTAAAAAACTAAGTCAGAACAGGGTTCCGAATTGAAATGAATTATTTTTTGGCTTAGTTATGAGTTTTTTAAACTTGGATTTGCCAAAAGAATTCTCATATAAAAATATCAATAAATATCACTTCAAAGAATGCGTTTATTATGAGCTTAGTTATAATTAATTTTCAATTTGATCCTATAATTTAAGTACAAATTGCAAAGATATATAAACTTGGACTTTCCCAAGTTAGTTCCCTTTCTTGTTTAATAAGTTTCCCAGTTTTGTGCAAGTGTTCCTAGTGCAAATGCTAAATATATTCCCCCTGCACGCTTACACTAAAATTACCATAAATTAGAAAAATTAAACCCTTAAAATACTCATGAAAATCTGGGGTAATCCAATCCAATTGCACTGAAACCAAACCTAATCGAATTGAGTTGGCAAACAAAACCAATTTGCCGCCACGAATAATTGCATCAGCTTTATAATGAAATATTTTAATTTGCCACCCGCTCCATCGCTTGCCTCTTGCTCTCGCCTCTTAGTTCCGCATTTCGCGTTGAATAATATCGGAATATCGAATGTTTGCTGCCTGCATTTTGGGCCAAAATTATAGGCCAGTTCTGCAGTTCTGTGAACCAGGTGCCGATCCACAATTGGACCCGATAATCCATGGGCATATCGAATGCCAGAGGATTGTGTCATCTGACAGTCTGTCATTGCGAACCGCATAATTTATGCGCAGAGTTTTGGTCCAGAAACTAATTAGGGCGGAGCACCTGCCGCCTCCCGGGGACAATCCCGGCCAGGAAATACGCAATACGATGCGTTTTGTCAGCCGAAATGGTATGGTCTCTTATGCAATCGTGGTCGAAACTAAATCAGTGCAGGAAAACTGGTTTTTTGGGACAGCAGAAGGAAGCGTGTGGAAATCTCTTTCGGCCAGCGCCAATTATTGTCACGGAAATGCACCTCGAGCTGTCGCTTTTTTCGTTTTTTTTTTGGGTGAAATCCAGCCTAGCTAGCCATCGGTATCCGCAACCAGGTGGGGTCTTCAATCTCCACATCCATTTGAACTGGTTTAGATACACCTCGGCGGGACAAGTGCACTACTAGCCTTCTCTTGAATCTTCCATGGATCGTCTGGTTAGTAGATGTTGCGATTTAATACCCTAATACACCAATGGAGTTCAATTGAAAAGCTAATATGTAAAAATATAGTTATATAGAAATTTGTATATAGTTTTAGGCAATGTAAAATGCAGTTTACTATTTGGTGGTAACCAAGTTTTTTGCTAAACTAAAGTGGAAAACAATCTGCCTTGAATAACCTTTGAATTTTTATATAGACTCAGGTACGAATTACTTATGGATTTACTTATGAATATTCCCAAAAACGTAACCTTACATTTTCCTATTAATTTTTCTATTATTTTAAGTCTAAATTCCCTATAATTTCATGCTGAAATTTCATGTGTTCTGAAATAATCGACACTCGACTTACGAATATCAAGTTTACCAGACCTCGCTTATATATTTTGCAATTATAATAATAATAATAAAAGGATATTGGCTAATTCTGCAACACCTTTTTACCATCCTCCACTGTTTTTTTTTTTTTTATGTGGCTTTTTTTACCTCTTTGGAAACAAACTAATGGAACACAATAGATTGAAGCCGCCCGAAATGGTATCGTTACTTATTCGCCTTTAAGTGGAGACCCCAAACATCGCTCCGGGTTAGTGGATGCCTCTGGCCAGAGAGAGAGAGATCCAAAGTGGTTGTCAACGCAACCAAGTTGGAGCACAAAAAACAAAAAAAAAGAAGAAAAACTAAGGCCCAAACACATTGGCCATCCAAACCAGATTGCGTGCCGTCGTAGCCGCCGGCCCCCTTTTGCCTCATTCCTCATTCCAACTTGGCCTGCTCCCCGAGCAGTTAAAAGCAAAATTATTCATTACAATTTCCGCGCTGGCGAGAAAAACGCACACACTTACACACATACGGAGAGGGGAAAAGTTTTCCGTGGAAATGCTCAAAATGCTTCAAATGCTCATTTGAATCTGGCAAGTAATTTTGCTTTGCGGTTCGCGCGATTTCGGCGCTGTTTTAAACGCGCCGCGCCAGCAATTGACTTTGAATAAGTTTTGTGCTGCATTGAAACGATGCCAATTTACCCCATGTTGCACAGTGGGGTGATTAGGATTTATTTTGAAAAAAAAAATAAAGTATTTAAAATATATTTATATATTTTTTAAAATTCAAAATTAGTTACAAATAGATGTACATTATATTAAAATTAGATAACTCTGCACACTTTTTATTTCACAATAGATTCTCATTAAATTGGAAAGTGATTTATAGTTTTAACTTATTTATAATTATTTTGAGGTAATTTATAAGCATATTTTGATAATATTATGTACTAAAATCTCCTATATTTTTCCACTGTGCATTGCCTGTCTTTCGGCAAAACTGTGACTGTCCCTGGGATTGCCTGTGACAGTGGCTCACATCGTTTAGAGGGGTTGGCTTAGTGGGGGAACAACTGCTAAAGTTTTTTTGCCCAACAGCAGCAGCAGCAGTTGTAGAGTGTGGGGTGTGTCGGGTTGGCTGCGTTCAACAGTGGAACCTGCAAAAAACAGATTTGAATGCAGTTTTCTTTCACTTAATGAATTTATATGCATTTATATACATAATTATTTGAAAATATAAAGATGTAAAAGAAGATGTAGGTGCTAAATTCAGTCATACGTTAATTCTACCCACATTTTCTTCTCTTTTTAGGCTTTAATTTCATTCTATTTTAGTGAAATAAATAATATATATCTAATGAAATTCTTATAGATGGAAAATGTAGAGGTTTTGCACAAAAATTGATTTATTGATTATTCAAAAGATTCTTTTAGAATACCCACATAAAGGTTATCATACTTTTCAAAATCCGTAATATATTTTTTATATCAAAGTAAACATGAACATATATATATATTTTTTATATATTATATATATTATAGGCTCGGAATTCGACACACAAACTTTGAGTAGGTTTAAAGTAGAGAAGGCGAAAAATATGGATTTATCTTTAATGTATTAATATTTAATTTTATTTAATTTAATTTTATTCTTCGTACTTTTCTAAGGAAACTTGACTGTAAATTGTTATTCTGTAATTCGTTTGATTCCTTTTTTCTGCTTACGCAGCTTATCATGCATTCCACGGGATACATTGTGTCCTTGGCCACTTGTTGTCATCCTCCCCTTTGGGTGGCAGTCACCGCTTGAGTAAGTCACCCAACTGGGCAGGGCGGGCCGACCCGGCACCAAACCCCGCTTGATCCTCTTGACTTTTGAGCCGGGCCAGAAACTTTCTTTAATTTTAATCAAAAAACTTTTTGTTGTTGCTGGTCCTGGCTTGGTCCTTGTGCTGCCA